GTTACAATTTGCTTATTGATTTTAAATAAAAGGTTAAATAATTTGCTATTAATTTATTTATTAATCCTGTAAAGTTAATAAGTAATTAATTTTTTCTTAAAGGTTCTATATTTCTTATTTCTACTTTGAAATAACTTCGTCCTATTTTGGTTAATTAAATTTTTAAAGCTTTTATTTCATAACTAATTAATTAAATGAACTTATTATTTTATGTGCTCATGAATTTCTGAGTTGAGCTACTTGATTAAATCCTGTTCATTTTAACTTTAAAAAGTTTAAGAGCTTATTTAAGTCAGTAATTTTATTAAATTACATGATTGGGTAAAATTTATTCTTATAACCTTGAATAAACTCAATATCACTATTAAAAGATTTGATGATATCTTAAGCTGCTCCATCATCGATGACTTCAATAAATTTGCTATCTAGCTAAAATTCAAATGAAATAATTCCTTTTAATATAATTAAAACATCCTTTATTTTTAACCTATCTCTTGGTTTGAATTTAGTTAATCCATCAATTATGTATTGAAGCTACTTTTTATAAACAAAATTCTAGAAATCTGCATTGTATTTTAAAGGAATGTGTTTATTGATAACTAAATCTAAGTTCCACCCTTAGATCATAATGTATATTAAATAGCCTATAAGATAAATTAAATCTCCATTATATAGATTGATATATTAATTAGTATACCTAAGGAAAATGCTTCACTCTTTTTAAAAGTTTATTGAAATTTTGTTAATTTAAAATTAATATAATCAATCTAATTTAATACTCTTGGACTTGGCTCTTACTTTACAACTACTCCTAACTTTTTATATTCTATAGAATATATATCAAGCTCTTTCGGGTCAAAACATTCTGGTGCTTTACAATTATTATTTCCCTTCTTCATATGTACCAAATAAAATGTAAAAAGAGATTGAATTATTAATAATTAAGTAGATAAATGAATAATAATATAATTAGATGATTAAATGAATGATTGGATTGCTAAATTCAAAAATAATTAAATGAATTTGAAACAAAAAAAAAAAAATTAATAAATAAACAAATTTAGATTTGAATGAACGTTTGTTTAATTGAATAAATAAAAAATATTTAATTGCTTAATGAATGAATTACATATTATTCAAAAGAGTATCCAGATTATTTAGTAAGATTATTTGATAACCCAAAATCAGCTAGTTAAATGAAAGGAAAAAATAAGAAACATTCTTGCTTTGTGGAAAAATTTACAAACAAGAGCATTTCCATTGTAATCTATTAGGATATTTTCCATCTTGATATCATTAACTACACAATTTTTTGAATGGATGAATTAAAGACCCTCAGCAATATCCTTAGCATATTTGATAGCAGAGATTTCATTCAACACATTATTTTTAGTTTGGTTAATAATTTCGCTTAAATTTCCTATTTTAAATTGATTCAATTAATTACTTCTGGAATCCATAATAAAATTATTCTATTTTAAATGTACCTAGGCATTCAGTAAGAACTAAATAGAAAAATTATTATCCTTCTATTTAGCATAAAAAATTGACCACGTAGGGAGAACCTTTGCATTAATTGAGTGTATTTATTTCTTACTAAACTACTTTTAATGCATTTTCGTCTACTTTTCCTTTTTTATCTTTAACTTTAACTCCTTTGATTGCATATCTTCTATTAGATAATTTTTATTTTGCTAGTAACACTGAACCTTGTCCTCCTTATCCTAAATATTTGAATTCATCATATCCTAATTAAGTTAATTCATCAACCATAGTATGAAAGATGTCGCTTTAGTCAGAACTCATATTTGGTTCTTAGATTTTAGAAACTTTTGGTATTTTTAGAATAAATAAATATTAATGCTGCAAGTTCTTAGAATAGAGAACAATTTAATCATCACAAATTAGGGATTGTAGATAAATTTTGAAAATGTAGAAAATGATGATCTAATTAAGAATATTAATCTAATTTCCATTAAATTATTTTTACATAGTAATTATTCTTTATCAAGCATTTAAATACCCTTATCTATATACAACTATTTGATTTTCTACCTATTTTAGATATGTTGAATTAACTTCAACTTTGTGTTCTCTCGTTGCTATAATTCTTAACTCTAATTATCCATTTTAACCTACTTTTTTACCTACTATTTTTTACTAAACTATTTATTTAGATTAATTAATTAGTGAATTATAAAGAAAAAATGAATATATTTTATCTTTATTTGAATCTTATCATGTTTAAATCAATGAAAGAAAATTAAATTATTGTGAATAGATATTAGAATATTAATATGTCCATATCTTTCTTGATATTTTAGAAATGAAGGTACAAATTATAAATATTATAAATTTTCATATATATTGCATTATATTACCCTAAAACACACTAAAATTAGATTTTTTTTTTGATAATATATTTACAAACTTTATAAAAAAACATCAATTATAAAAATAAAACAAGCTATATTATACGAATGAATGAATATATTTATATTTTATTTGCTAAATATATTTTATTAAAAACTCAAAATATTTAAAATCATAAAAATTAATTATGAATTTTAATCATTTTAAGGTGTAAAAGTAAAATTATATTAATTGCTTTTGCAAAATTTTAAGATGATTCTTGCACATATCAATAAATTGAATTAGATATCATTTTTAATAATTTTAATCATAAAATTTCTTATTAAAAGATCATCAAATTATTTATTTATTCTTACTTATTTCAAAACAATTAATTGTGTGTATTTATTTATTAGATATTAATATGCTTTTGATTTGATAAATAATAGAGTAAAAAAAAGTGAACCCATTCCAACTTAAATAACATTAAAAATGAAAATATTATCTAGCAAAGCTATAAGTCTGTTTTTTTTCATTTAGTTGATTAGACTACAAATGAGATAAGCAATGCTATGCTAATAAGAAATAGCGGAGTAATTAAAATAATAATCAATATAATATGAATGTATTGATTAAAAGATTATCATCTAAGATTAATAGTTAATATCATTAAAAATGGATCTTAACAAATTAGAAATATTTTCTAATTTAATCATTCAAAATGTAGAAAAAATATAAATTGATTCAATTAATATTTAATCTTGCTTAGTCAATTTAATTGATAAATAAAGCTCTTTCATATCGATAAATAACATTAAAACTCTTGTAGTAGGAGATATAATTATTGAATAGACTTTAGTCTACTAACTAAATGAAATATTAAATACTAATAATATTGATTAGATTTCAATTAATTAATTAATAATCAATGCTGGTTTTTCTGTTGACCCAAAAAATATTCAAGATTAAAAATCTATACAAAAGACTGAAATTCTTGGCTAAAATTAAATAAATTTAATAGATAAAGTTCCAATTTAAATATATGGAAGTAAAATCAACATAGATCAATTAACTATCAATACTCAATTCAGTTCTATTATTTATATCACTTCTGAATTAATTTTATAAATAAAATAGATTAAAATTAATATTTAAAACAAAAGTGTTGATTAATAAATATCAATGCCTATGATTCAAGTAGGTAGTCTTTCTTAGTTTTTTGTTGACTCAATAGTAATGATTTCAAAAGAAAAACCTATCTCATAATCAAAATTTTTAGATATTAATTTATTTGCAAATAACTTATTGAAAATAGGATTTTTTGAATTAATTTTGCCTTACCCAACAGATTATTTTATAAATATAAAGATAAAAGACAGTTTCTAAGACAAATAAAGGCTTAGAATCTTTGATAACCAAAGCTTGGAAATAAATAAAATTTTTTATAATTGCATAAACAAGTCGTCTTCAACTGATTATTCATTTGAAATTTCCGGATTTAAGAGTGTTTAAATAAATGAAATTAAGTATGGAAATACTTTGTTCATGTTTTGGCATTTTAAAATTAGTCTTTGCGAAAATGTCTTCTTATCAAAAATTTAGGTTTTTTAAGAAAATATTAAAGATGATCTTTCTAACGGACCAATATAGTTTAGTTAAATAGACAATTTAGTGCTTGACAATATAATAATAGAAAATGTTAGTCCCACTTTATAGTTTAATTTTTTAGAAATAGAAAGTTCAAAAGTTTTAATTAAAAACATCTTATTATCTAATTTTTAAAATATCAACTCTAGCATTTTTAATATAATTAATTGCCCAAGCGTCGAAATAAGTAATATCATCATATAAAACTCTTTGATACTTAAATAGATAATTTAATTTTCATAAGTTAAGAACATTAAAATGGCTAATTTACAATTTAATGCTTTAGTAAAAAATGACAAAAACAAATATTTTAATAATTATATTAATCCTACATATTTAATATATGTAAATGAAACTGATTTAGTAACAATTAGTAAGTTTTAAATAGATTTTAATAATAATTATTATGGCTTACTTTATGCATAAAATTTAACTTAAATTGTAATAGAAGAAACTCAGTTAAAAAATGCTTTTGCAATTAATTAAGGAGGTTGTCTATATTTATCTAATAAATATGACTAGCTAAAGTAAACATTTATTACTTTAAGAAATAGCTAATTTTATAATTTTTCTAGTACTTATTTTGGTGGATGCATTTATGGTGGTTAAATTGTTTTGATTGAAAATACTGAAATTAAATATTGCTCTAGTTATGTTGGTGGTGCTCTGTATATCTCAAACGAAACTAATTTAGCTGAACTCAATAAAATCATATTTGAAGAAAATAAAGCTGACTTATATGGTCATAACTTCAGCTTTTATATTCAGGATATTATCGTTACCAAAGTTTACGAGTACAACTCTTAGTTCTAAAATACTAATTTATTTTTATCTTAATTAAGTTAACCTATACATTTTATAAAAGGAATGAATTACATTCTTGCTCTTTAGTTTATGATAAATGACTAGTTTTACCCTTAAAATAAATAAAATGTTTAGTCTTTAAATATGTATTACTACTTAAAAGAATTTTAAAATTTTTAAAGTGATGCAGAATTAGATATTTAATAACCATTTTTATCTTTTTATTTAGATGCATATCAAGGCTTAAATTTAAATAAAATTTGTTTAATAATTGCAGATTTAAAATATGATCTTAAGCATTTGTTTTTATATGAATAAATTGATAATTGTCCATAAATTATGGAAAAAGTCTATGTTAATTAAAAATAAAATTTATTTTTATGTAAATATTGTGATTAGTAGCAAACAATATAAATTTAATAGTTAGAAAATGGTTAGGAGCTTAGCTTATGTCAATCATGTAATAGCTAATACTTTTCTATCTGTTATGCTTATTATTCTTAATTAAGGGAAGGTTATTGGAGAAAGTAATACTCTCTTAATAAAAATGAAATTGTCCCATGTACAATATCCCCATAAAATTGTATTGGAGGCTATGAGTTAGAGAATAGTTTATGTTACTAAGGTCACATAGGACCTTAATGCTTAAACTGTGATATAAAAGGATAATATTGGAATAGCTAGTATTCCTCATATGGTAACTTTTCCTGCAACAAATGTAGTGATATAATAAGAAATACTTTAAAAATTTGTATCATAATTATATTAATTCTAATAAGCATAGGAATAATCATAATTAGCTCTTTTAAAAGCTTATAAAACTAGATTTTAGCACTATATCTTTCAAAAATGAACCTATTTTACATTGGAAAAAGTCTTCTTTTATAAAATTTAGCATCTATTTATGTCAAGCTACTGTTGTTTAATCTTTCAGTCTATTAAACTTCTAATGGATTTACTAATATTGACATTTTCAATTCTATCAAGGATGCTTCAATATCGTTAGCTGATCCTCTAAACTCATAGATAATTTCTATAGATTGCTTGCTTATATAAATTAACCCTAATTTATAAAGCATTGGATTTGCTAATGTTATTCTTTACACTATACTACCATTTATCTTGTTTATGTTTGCTATTCTTGTTATATTAATAATTATGCTAGTGAAGAAGTCGAACAATAAAAAAAGATAGCTTTATAGAATGATGATTTCCTTTTTATACATTTTTATAATAATATTTAATTCTATTTTCATAAAGATAAGCTTAGAAAGTTTTTTCTGTTTGAATCTGTACTAAGATAAGTACTATTCTTTGATAGATCTTAGTCTTGAGTGTTCTTAAAATGATTATTTGAGTAGAATTAGGTCAATTACTATTCCTATTTTCGTTATATTTGTTAACATAACGCCAATAGTTATGTTTTCTCTATTATTCTTTAATAGATAAAAACTAAATAAAGTAAAAATAACTCTCTTGTTTGGATTTTTTTATAAAGAATACAAAAAGCAGCATTACTACTGGGAATTTGTGAGGCTAATTATGAGATTAATTCTTGTATCAATAAGTATTGGCTTTAAATAGTATGCTTTTATTTCAGGAATAATATAAACGCTATTTCTGTTTATATATTATTCAGCTATTTAAAAATTAAACCCATTTAAGCTAAGAATTTTAAATTAGCTAGAAAAGGTGTCAATTTCTTTATCAATAATGATCTTACAAACTTCTTTGCTTTTCTTACAATTTAGCCAAAATGAAAATGAAAGTATAGTTCTTTTTGTGAAAATTGTCTATATCTCTTCTTAATCTCTTAGCTTAATATATGCTATTGTTTTGATAATCTTAATAGTCACTTCTTTCTTATAAAAATAAATTATTAAGCTATATTAAAAATATTAATGGAGATTTTTGCAATATTTTATTCAAAAAAGCTTACTCTAAGTATAAAAAATTAATAAAAACTATAAAAAGCTAAGGAAATGTGTTTAGATTATTGTTTAGAATTAAATTAATTAAATTGATTCTACTATTTAGACTTTTGAAATAGATTAATAATGATGTGTCTATTTGAAATTCATTAAGAATGAAGAATATTAATTGAAATAATAAATCAATTTAAATTAAGATGAATTTAAGTTTGAGACATTTTTTCTAAATTAATGAGGAAAAATGCTAAATATTTTAAAATTAATTTAAGTTCTATTATTATTGAACGAATTAAATTTTAATAAGTATTTTATTTATTTTTTATATTTTAGCTTAAATTAATATTAATAATTTATGTTTAGATTTCTATTTTATTTAAACTGAAATTATTATTTAATTAAGATAAATATCCTATTTTTAATATCCAATAAAAGTAATCTAATTTTATTTAGAAAGATAAATTTTAAAGTCTAACTAATTGATTTTTTAAAATGGAAATACTTTCCAAATATAAGGCTGAATAAAATGGTAAATTTTAATTCAATATTTAAAGATTCAACAAATTTAATTATATTTTATTTTAAGCATTATAAATATCAATAAATTCTTTGTCTAGCATTCTAATATAATAAGTATTTTTAAATTTTACCTACTAGCACAAAAGAATATTCAATCTTTTATATTTTTACTTAATTATTTATGATTAAAATATCTTCATTTTATTTTATAATATTATTTCGCTTAGATATTATTCTATTATTAAAAATATTATATTTTTAAAGAAAGAAAGCTAAAAGTTTATGCGATAGCATGCTAAATTTAATTTATGAATAATTATGTATTTTTCTGTAATAAGGTAAGAGATTAATTTAATTAAAAATATAACTTAAAGGAAGAAGATGCTTTAGTAATATAAATATTTAATCTTCTATTCCAAAAATTAATCAATTCAAAATCTTTAATAAGTAATCTTTGAAAATTCATCCTTTTTATAATCATTAAATTATCCTTGATACTCTTTAATAAAATTAATAAAGAACAGTCCTTGCCTACATAACATTAAAAAAAACATTTTAAAAGGCCTGAAATTATTAATTTGACATGAAAATTTACTTATATTTGAACTTTACATTTACAAATAATGAGGTGTTAAACTAGTTAATATCATAATTTAGTGACGATTAATTAATAAAAAGAATTTATCAGCATATAATTTATAATGAAACTATAAATTTATTAACTTTTATAATTAATTGTTTCGAGCTTAATTTTTTTGATTTCTCCTTTAATTTTGATAGAAGAATAATAATCAAACTTAATAATAGAAACTTTTTACACTAATTGATAAAAGATTTTGAAAAATATTTATTGATTTTTTTAATTAAGTTACATAATTTGTTTTTGATTATAGAATAAATTATATAATATGAGTTTATATTTTTAACTTTACCAAACATCTTCTTAAATAATTTAAACTGCTTAATTTTTTAACAAGACCTCTCTTTTAATTTATTTCACTACGCACTTTATATTTATTTTTGCTAAAATTTCAGTTAAATAATTATTTATAAGGATGTAATTAAGTAAATAGATAAGAAACTATTGTTCCTAACTTAAACTTTTTTAAAGAAATTGCTTTTGTGTCAATAGTTGATTATAAAAATTTTATGGAATAAAAAGGAGTTAAGAAAACAGAATATACCTGATTCAGAATCAGAAAAAATCACTTTTAGGTGGATAGTTGTACTTTTTAAGATGAAATGAATTACAAATACGAAAGTTTTTAATAAAGATATTAAACAAAATAAATCAAATTCAGCTCAAATCAAAATCAATAAAAAAAGAGATAGCCACAAAAATATTGATATCGAGCATATAAAACGAATTTTTAATTAAGAAAGTTAATAACTAGTTAAGATACAAATCTTATTCCAAAACTATGACTTATCAAAGCAAAAAATTAAAAGACATATTGTTATAGCAAGGCGATTATGATGTATTGAATAAAGAAAATGAAGCGTTTGGGTTTTTTTCATTCAAAAAAATTGCAGTAGAATAGAAATATTAGGATAATTTGCTAAATGAAAATAAAGACTCAGTTTTTTCATTATCAGAAAATAAATATGAAAGAATTGAATTAATAAAATGTAATGTTAACATATATGCCCTTAAAATGATCATTAGGAATAACTTAAAAAGCATTAGAGAAATAGAGATAGAAAATTGTAAATTCTACTTCAATGATGAAGACGCTTAAAAAGCCACTAATTAAGTTACTAATCTGCATATGTTTTCTGAGATCAACTTTATTTGGCTGATAGAAACATTCAAATTTTAAGATTTAGACTCCCTCGAAATCAAACTATCAGAGGATCCAAATATTAAGACCTCCTTGAGAACTGCTACAATGGTACTAAAAAATACGGCTAAAGTTTCAGACGCCAAAGACATTTAAAAAGAGGTAGATAATAAAGCAGAACATAATTTAGAGCCTATTCTTGACTAAGAGTATTTTTACTATTATATCATTATAATTATAACTTTTAAATTATTTTATATCTAAAAATCATATTAAGAGGGAATATTTTAATTTAAAATTACTTTTTTATTTTTTAGAATATATTTGGCTAATAAAATTAAAAAAGAAAAAAAAAGTTTTCCATAAAGATTTGAACACCCTGTATTTAATAAATCACATTTAAAAAAGATAATTTAAGCTTTTAAATGCATACAAAAATTATTCCTACTTTGTTATTTCTATCAAAAATTAATAGCTATTTTATTTTATTAAATCATATCTTTAAAAAATAGGACTGCGCAAGAGCTCTTTAAATGTGAAAAGAAATGTGGTTTTATTACTTATGAATATAAAGATTTGAAGAAGTTTTTTAAATCTTATAGCAAAAAGAAAATAAGCAAATTTACTCAGGATTTAATATGGGGAGATTTGTTGTACTAAGAAAAATATTATGATTAGCTTTATAATAATATTTTGGAAGATATCCAAGAAAATATTCGTATATATAAGAAATACACAAAGAATGCCTTTACAGATGGCAAGTTAATCATTTATGGAGATGTTTTAAAAAATGGCTTATCCAGAAATCAACTCTATAATGTAATTTAAATGAATTGTTAGAAGATTAATGGGATTATCTTCAAAGATTGTGGAAAAATCTATCCTTTAGAGTTTAGCGATTTAATGACTTAGCTGTTTTTAATAAATATGATCGATTCAATAGCTTTTATTTCTTCAGTAATTGATTAACAAACTTTATACGAACTTCAATATCTAGTCAAAATGAAGGAAGTTAAATTCTTTGTTTTGCATAAGGCATATTTTCTCAAAACAGAAATTTCAAATTTGTTGGATTTAAATGAAGATGATGCTCCAATAGAAATAAACAACTTCCGCTTTACTATCTTAGATATATCAATAAAAAAGACATTCGAATTTACTCCTTATTCATTCAATTTAGAATCAATTTACAATAAACTTGATGAGCAGCTTATGGATGTAGAAAAAACATACTAATTCCAAAATTTCCATCCAAAGTAGATCTAAGATTAAATAGTGTTTTACTCAGGTAAAAATGTTTCAATCCGCAGCGACTTTGACACCGAAAACATATTATTTGACTACTGGGATATCTTATAAGGTACAAAGGATTTGAATTAAGATAAAATAGATGCTTTTAAAAGCAACCAAGATAAACTTATTAAATTAATTGATTACTTTATAGAACTTGAAGATGTGAATATTTTAAATTATAATTTGTTGATTACATTGATAAATATGATTATAGAGCAAGACATTAAGGATAGCTATCTTTCGTTAATCAAAAATTTAAAATCAGTACAGTGTCTTTAAGATCATGTTTCTCTTTCCTTAGCTGAAAAGCTGTTCTTTGCAGAAGAAAAGCATTTAAATATTACATATGCATACATAAAAGGATTTACAAGAGTTAAAGATTTTAACATTTACTATGTAATTTAAAATGAAACACTTTTTAAAGATATCAGTGAAAACAGCATCTAGACTTAAGAAAAATTAACAAGTTAAATGAATATTCTTTAAATTTCGGACTACATCGATAAGCAATCTAAAGAATTTGAAGGAAATTTCAATTTCCTCAAGCTAAAAGACATAAATCTTACCACAGTTGATTTAAATGATAGCAAATTAAAACTTTTGAATAAAATAATTATAGATTCTAAAAACTTAAAAACCTTAAAACTTTGCGACTGCCATCTCACAAATGAAAAACTATAATTTTTAGATTTCTCAAAAGTCTCTCCATAAATCGAAACATTAGATATCAGTTATAATAGCAATATTGAGAGCTTTGAATTTTTAAATGTCTTTTTCAAATAAGCTAAGAAGCTTAAAAAGTTGAATTTGCATGTTATGGACTTGTCAGATTAGCAAACAGAGAGTGCAGATTTTAGTTTGGTTTCTTCGACTCTCTAAGAACTTAAGCTATAACACAACAAGTTATAGGGTATTGGATTTATGAACAAAATCTTTTAGACAGCTACGAACCTTTAAATACTAGATTTGCTTTCCTGTGGGTTAGATGATGAAAAATTCCAATCTCTCAACCTCCCAAAAGGATTAAAAAAGCTTGATATAAGTTACAATACTGTTCAGCTTATTACTGTGATTGAGCATATTGGTAAAATAGAAGATATTGAAATAGAGGATTTAAGCCTAATATATCTACCAGGAGGTTCTGCTCTACCAGATTAATATAAATAATATTTAAAAGCTGGATCATTGAAAGGTCTTAGGAAGCTGAAAAACGTGCTTTTATAAAAAAATGACATATTTGATATTAACATTATTAATATGATATTAAATAATAGCGATTCTATTGAAGAATTAGCTATATCTGATCAAAAACTAGATAATAGTAAGTTTATGCAATTATCATTTGACAAACTCAGCTCTCTTACTTGCTTTAAAATTTTATATGGAGCAAACATAGATAACTTTAGTTTTCTGACTAAAATGTTTGAATGTTGTAAAAATTTAAAGAAATTATACTTTAATGAATCTAACATTGACGACTATAGATTTCCTAGCTCAATTATTGAATAAATTCCTACTGACTTAGAAGAATTTTACTTTAATGGAAACACTTATAATAGCATAAGTGATCTATTAAATAAATTATTTGTAAGATGTTAGAAATTGAAAGTTCTACATTTAGAAAGAAATAATATCCAAGATTATTAAATCACAAGTGTTGATTTTAAATAACTGAGTTTTTTCCTTAAGGATTTTAATATTTCTACAAATCCTTCAATTAAATCTTATGGATTTTTAATTGACGTGTTTAAATTCGCATCAGAATTAAAAAAGTTAAATCTTTCTAACAATAATGCTACTCCAAGCGATGTAGACATCAGTCTATTTGAAAAAGCTTTTTGTTTAGAAAAATTGGATGCCGAAAATAATACTTTTTACACAGATGAATTTATAAATAATTTGAATAAATCTAGAAAATTATTTATTGACATTAAAAGCTTTGAAGTTACTTATATTGCTGTAGACAAAAAGGATTTCATTAACTACTTTAGAGTATTTGATAAGTATAATTTATCAAATTTGAACTCATTAGACTAATAAGCATATAAGGAGTTTTTAAAAGATAATAACGAAGAAACTTCACAATTAGATATAAGTCTTAATTCTAATGGAGATGAAGCATAATAAGAAGAATAAAACAACAATCAAAAATAAGGGCAAAAAGGAAAAAAAGCCAAAAAGAAATAAATAAAAGTGTATAAGAATTCAAAAGAAGCCAAATTTAGTAACCATATAAATCCTCTATATTTCTACACTCTTTTTAATTTCTTTGATCAAATTATTGATGACGAAGAATGCTATGATAACTTAACAAATGATGCAGAGTCAGTCATTTCGTTTGCAAATTATACAAAAGCTATGGAGACTCTAGGGATGATCGAATCACAGAATGTTTACATGCATACAGAATATTATCTCTTCCATCTAATTAATACTTAATTTTCAAATAAAATATCAAGAAATTTAAGAGAATTGCTAGGATAAGAGAAGAACTTCACTACTTAAAAAATTTCATAATTTTTAACTGAAATAAATCTGAAAAATAAAAAAATATATAAAAATTTAGATTTCCTTTAAATTTTCTTTGACAAATGCGAAAATATTCAAATAATTGATTTGAGTAAAATGAATGTGTCAAAAAAGATCAATTTAAATTTTAAAAATATGCCAAAGCTGGTTGAATTTAATTTTAATGATCAAAGTAAGAAAAATAAAGAATGCAATGCTGAATTTATTGCAAAAATAATAAAAAATGCTCCATAGCTTCAAAAACTAAATCTGAAAAATTCAAACATTAAAAATTCAAGTCTCCTTGATTTTTCGAACAATAATGAGCTTTTAGAATTTAATTTTTCAGGTAATAAAAAGGCAGAGAACTACGAGTTTATGAATGTATTATTTAAAAATAACTAAAAGCTGAAAAAATTATATTTGAGCTCTTTAAGTGACAATATTAGTCAAATTGAATTCTCTTTAGTACCAACCATGATAGAAGAAATTGATCTTTCTGAAAACAAATAAGGTATTGTTGATATTATTAACTAATGCATTTTTAATTGCTAAAGCTTGTAAATATTGAATATTTCTAATTGTGGAATAAACTATCAAGATAATTTTAGAATTTGTTACACAAGTATCTCACCTTAGCTTATAGAATTAAATTTCTCTTCTAATTGTTATTATTATGACATGAATTTCATACCAAGTCTTCTTGAAAGATGTCCAAAATTATTAAAATTAGATATTTCAAATTAAGTTTTCGATTTGACATATGATTGTGTGAATTCTCTAGGTTTTTCTGAGCATTCTCTATAAGAGTTTAAATTTTGTGGTAACAAGAGCTACAACAACTACGATTTCATAAAAGAAATGATACTTACCTCCAAAGGATTCAAAAAACTATGCATTTAAGACATAGATTTGCATACAACAAGATTAACCAATTTTTATTTTGATTAAATTGGACCTTATATTGAAGAGTTAGATATATCTAACCATTCATATATGACAGATATAAGCTTTTTGAACCACTTCAATGCTTCTAATAACTTTTATACACTAATAGCTAATAACACAGTCATCACCAATTAAATGATGAATACTGTAAACATAGACACAGTTTTTAAAAATCTAAAACGTTTAGAGTTTGAATAATGCTATAACTTTATAAACTTAAAGTTTTTCAATCAAATATTTAAAACAGCAACTTAATTAGAAATTTTGAATATGTCTGATATGAAAATCGAATAAAAATTACTAAATAAAATTGACTTTAAATTAGTACCTTCTACTTTGAGATAATTTATTTTCAATAAAAATGATTTAATCACAAATTTTGGATTTTTAACAGATTTGTTTACTTCTACTTAAAACTCTTTAGAAGATTTATCTTTAAGTAAATGTGATTTAAAGGCTTAAAAATTGAAAGAAGCTGATTTCTCTTTAATCTCCTCCAAAATACAAAAAATAGATCTTTCAGAAAATGATAATCTAGATAATTTAGAATTTTTAGTTCCTTTCTTTAAATAAAGTCACTCCACAAATTTAAATACTTTGAAAATATCTAAAATATCTTTTGAAATGCACTTAACTTTGTAAAAGTATTCTCATTAAATACAAGACCTTGATTATCCATTCTAAAACATTGATATGGACCACTTCTCCTATTAAGAAAATTAAAAATATTAATTAAGTATTAATGTCAGAAAACTTCTAAATTATCTATAAAAAGATGCTCATGGTATTTACTTTTTTTCTAATTTAATTAAAATTATTACAATTTCTAATTCTATTTTTTTATTAACTTATTAATTATTTCAATTTAAACTTAAACATTTTAAGCTATTATTATTTTTTTAATAAAAAATTTTTACCCATAAAAAAAAAATTTTAAGCAATATGCCAATCAAAAATTTAGTGGTTTAGATTTCAATAAATTTTTTTATCTTTAAAAATTTTTAAAAAAATTAATTTATAAAAATAATATAAATAAGATAACATAATTTTTATTAATAATAGTTAAAAGTTTTTCACAGTAAATATGGTAAAACTAAACTGCTAGAAGTAAAGCCTTCAAAAACATATTAAGCAGCTTAATGGAATAAAATATGACTTCATAATCTATTAAAACTACAACACATTTCTTATATTTGATGCTGAGAGAAGTTAAATTTTAATGTAAGTAATACTAACCATTTAACTTTATATTTTCACCTTACAGTTTGTTCTAGTAAAGTTAATTGATTGAATGCAATTATGATAATAATTCTAATTAGAATGTTATTCCAGATTCGTACAATTTAGCGTTCTTCACTCTAAACGTTTTAAACAGTAACACTGAGTACATATTTGGTTATGATAAATTCTTTTTTGAAAATTTCTAAGAATTTTATATCCAAAGATTCCCAAAAAATACTAGCGATTTAGAATTCATCATCAACTTAAAGAAGAAAATGGATGAAAAAAAGATTAAAAGAGCATTCCTTCCTATTAAGCTTAATTTAGATTTCAGTAAATTGTAAAAATTAAATATGAATGAATTTGACATACTATTTTATCTTAATTGTGTTCCACCAGCTGAAATATATTTGAGCGGAATGACTGTCCAATTTGTAAAAAGTTGGTTTGCTATTTAACACTCTTCTCCTCTTTCTGTTAAAACTACAATTGATGTCAAATATGATCAAATTTAGAATACATCTATTGCTAATTATTTGATTCTTATCTTTTCAAGGATTTACATACGAAACTTCGAAGGAAAAACTCTTTCTGCTAAGATTAAGAAATTATTAAGTAATATTGGTTACTCATTCTTCAATGTTTTTGGATCTCCTCCTAGGTAGTACAAATTTGACCATACAGTAATTCTATTGAACGAATAACTCCATACATTCATCAAGTAAGGTAAAGAAAATTTCTTGCGTCTACTTTATCCTATATATTTGTTTGTTTGCCTGTTTGCTGTCCTATATTTCTCTTTTAATAAATCTTAATGTGGTAATAGTTTGTCAATGTATTCTTATATTACTTATGCAGGCTTTGGATTTGTTTCTCTTTTCTTAGAATTCTACATATTTTCTATGTGTGTGAAATATATGTCTCACTTAGTTCCTGAAGTTAAGCCAGATTGCAGAGTTACATTCCCAAATCCATTAATTAATAAAGTTAAGACTTTCATTATGGATATTGAATGGCTAAACCAAAAGCTCGTCAACTATATTTTACTCTTTGTTTCAAGTTAACTTTCTCGTTTTGATTTTCTGGCCAACATAGGATTTATCATATAGGCCTATTAATGTTCTGATAAAATTATTTGGATATTAGGTATAGCTTCTCTATCAACAACAGTACTGACTAGTATCGTTTTCTTTATTTAGAATCTTATTGGTTAAAAAACTTACAACTTATTAATAACTGGTTCTATTGATACTATATACTAATTGTGCAATGTTTTGGAGTTTTAAGCAGCAGCTGAAATATTAGATTTTATTTCACCAACAAACTCTGTTATCATCTTCAAAAAAATGGTCAATTAGCGTGTTTTCACAAGCTCTTTAAGAATTCTTTTTCAAGATATTCCTTTGATTGTCCTTAAAGCTCTATTTTTGTACAATTAAGGTACATTAAATGCATCTATGATTTTTTCCATAGTATCTTCATCTATTATGGCTTTGATTTCTTTTAATAAATTTTTAACTATCACTCCTTCCAGACTGGGTTAAGAAGAGTTCACTAAGTTAAACAAATAAAAAAGAAAAGAAAAACTACCTCAATACATAACAAAGCTTGCTAGTTACGAAGCTAAGATTTGCAAATTCAATCTATATGAGATGATTAAATGCATAAAATCACCCAAATTTTATATAGATTAGATTAAAGCTTAAAACTAAACTACTTCTCTCAGTGAAATAAAAAAGGAGATTAAATTAATAAATGACATTCGTAAATTCAAATGTACTTAGGATTTAATATAAGACTTCTTTGGAAATACTTAGTATAATGACCCTAAAATGGATATTCCTAAACCAAATAATTAATAAAATTTTTAAGAGCTCGAATTTAATAACTTAATTAATTAATAACTCAATAAATAGTAAGAAGTAGATGATAAAAATAACTAATCGACAGTTAAATCTCATGTAAAAAGCTAAACTGACCTACTCTTGAATGGGTAATAATCTCCATAAAAAAAAGAAAACAAAATTGAACTTAACAAAAAAGAAAGTAGCCTCTGTTTAGAAAACTAGAATCTATTAAAATAATGATAAGTTGATCTATCAATAAATAAAAATGAGAGTAATGAATGACTCCTTTAAAAAAATATATACAATCAATGCTTTACCAAATTATAAATAATATATTGTTGTGTTTGTTTGTGACCTATATTTTTTTTATAAGTCTTACAATTTTTAATCGAATTTCACCATTAAATTAAAAATAGAGTTTATTTTGTTTTTAAGTAAATTTTAAAGTAATTTCTGAAATTATAAATCTTAATAAATTTATTAGAAAGATAAAAAGAAGGAAAACATTGATAACTATTATATTAATTCTTCTTTGATCAAAATTTTTAATTATAAGATGAATGAATTATTTTATACAAAAAGTTTTATCAATATATACTATATTTATTCTCAAATAATTATTTCTTGAGTAAGAAAAATACATTAAGTAGAATAATAATTAAAATATATTTTTAAAATTCAAATAACTTTTAAAAATGCACCTATTAAAGAAGAATTGCACTACAAACTACTAGATTTTAAATAGTTATTTGATATATTATATAAAGAACAACAGAGAAAAAGAGCTAATGTAATTAATTATAATACCTTTATAATAAAATATTGAAAAAGCTGATTTTTCAGAAGATATATAAACATTTCTCTATCAAAAATTTTATCAGAAATTCTGATAGATAAAAATTTAAGACAAATATTTGTTAAAACATTGATTTAAGTTCTTTTTATTAAAGTTACTTATCCTATTTGTACAAATTATAGATTAACAAATTAAGAATTAAGAAAATGAATGTCTACTTTAGAAAAATCATTATTTGTTTTGTATTTTTAATAATTTTTAGCAGTAAAGTAAATGCTTGCCAATAAGAAATAGAAATATAGCTTTAATAATAGTCTATAATATATACATGCTCTGATAAATAAATTATAATCTAAGATTAATAAGTAGTATCTCTTAGAATTGATCTTTCAGGAATAAATATAAATTCTATCATAATAATAAAGAATGTCAAGATAGTTTAAATCGATTCAATTAATATTTCATTTTGCATGATAGATTTAGATAATAATTAAAATGCTTTCATTTAAATGAACAGCATCTAGAGGGTTCAAATCGGAAATTTGTTGATAAATTAAGTATTAGCCTAACAATTTAATTTAGTTATTAATATTAATAATGTAGAAACAATACAAATAGAGCAAATATCAATAAATGTAGGCTACGCAGAAGAAAACAAAATAGTGAATAATGAAAAATAAATATAAATGTCTGAAAAAACAAATTAAAATAGCTAGTATATATATGAAAGCGCTATAATTGCAGTATTTGGTAAATATATTAAAATTGGAATGTTAAATTTAATTAATTAATTGAACTGTTCTAAAGTATGTATTTATTCATAGGAACTATTAGAAATTAATGAAATGATAATTAATATTGAAAACTAAAATTAAAGCTATCAAAATAACATCTGCTAGTTTGAAATGACTAGCATTTAATAGTTATTTTTGGATAAGATATCTGTAATTGCTTAAATATAACCATAAAAGTAAAATTATTAGTTTAATTTAAATCTAATAGCATAGTCTAATTTATAGATTGGGACAATTGAATTAATACAAGTCTTTAATTTTGATTGTAGTATTCTAATTAGAATAGATGCTAAACGAGGAAATAATTTATAAAATTAATAAATAAATAATAATCAAAGTGTTGAAATAAAGCAGATAATTTTAAGAAAATAAAATAGTAATACTTCAAATTCATTTAAAATAGAAATTTTTGGTATTTAAAATGTTTCAATAAATCTTATTTAAATAAGCGATTACAATACGGCTTAATCAGGTATAATAATATTCAGTTGCCAAAATGTTTATATCAAAAAATTAGATTGTGAATGTAAAAATAATATTTTATAATAATAAATAAATTTAATTTAAATCAGTAATATAATTATTGATTTTATAGCTTTAAATAATTCCTTCTTTTTAGATACAAATTTAAATTTTATAGAGATAAATGAATCAAATCTTTTAATTAAAAATCTAGTTATTTAAAACAGCTAAATTAATTAAACCATTTTTAAGATTTTCAATTGCCCTTTTGCTTAAATAAATGGTTTTTAAATAATTAACTCTTTGATTTTAAACAAAATATTAATATTTTTGTTTACAAAGAAGATTTAAATATCAAATTTTACATTCTCAGCTTTAAAAATTTAAGATAAATATCCATATTTCTTTGGGTATACAAATTTTTCAGAAGCATACATAATATAAGTTACTGATGCCGATTTACTAGAAATTTATAACTGTTAAATAAACTTTAATAATAATGAATTTGGTTTACTACTTTTAGAAGATTTAAATAAATTAGTTATTAGAGATGTAGAGTTAAAAAATGGATTTGCAATCAACCAAGGAGGATGTATCAGTATTTAAATTACAAATAAATAGTAAAACGCACTGATAACTATAATAAATAGCTCGTTTTAGAATTTTTCAAGTACTTATTTTGGTGGATGCATATTTGGTGGTTAAATTTTTCAGATTGAGAATGTTGAATTTAAATATTGTTCTAGCTTTGTTGGAGGTGCTCTTTATGTTTCGAACTAGTCTGTATTAAGTGAGCTCAAAAAAATAAGATTTATTGAAAACAAAGCATAATTGTATGGAGATAATTATAGCTTTTAAATTTAGGATATTATATTAACAAAGATATATGAATACAATCCTTAGTTCTAATCAACTAATTTGTTTTTGTTTGAATTAACTAACCCTATTCAGTTAAAAAGAGGTCTTAGTTATATAATCACTCTTGAGATTAAAATAAATGATTAATACTATCCACAAACGAATTAAAGAATTGAATCCTTAAATATGTATCCATACTTAAAAGATAACTCTAACTTCTAAGTCAGTTCAGATATAAACATTTAATCACCTTATTTATATTATTACTAAGATTTACTATACAGGAAAGACAATTTTGATATTGAGATTTAAATCATGGATTATAAATATAAAGCAATATGTAATTTTAAATATTAAATTTAAGAAGATTGCCCATAAGATATGGAAAAGGTCATCATCAACTAGAAATATATGTAATTTCTCTGTAAATATTGCGGACAGACACAGACTATATAAATTGAATATAGTGATTCAAATTCTAAGAGAAGTTATTGCAAGTAATGTGATTATCAGTATTATTCACTTTGCTATGCTAATTATTCTCAGATAAGAGAAGGCTATTGGAGAAAATCGTATTCATTATAAAATAATGAAGTAGTTGCTTGCTCATTTTCACCTTAAAGCTGCACTGGTGGTTACGAAATAGAAAACAAATTATGCTACGAAGGTCATATTGGGCCTTAGTGCCTAAATTGTGATATAAAAGGAGAATATTGGAATGATTCATATTCTCTTTATGGTAATTTTTAATGTACTAAGTGCAGCTAAATATAAAAAAATACCATAAAAGTGTTTGTAATTATTACTTTAATTCTTTTAAGCATCGGTATCATCATAATTAGTAGCTTTAAAAGTCTAAAAAACCATATCTTGGCAGAATATCTTTCAAAAATGGGTATATTTTATATAGGAAAAAGTTTACATCTTTAAAATCTAACTTCTACATATGCGAAGATCCTGCTCTTTAATTTTTAGATTTATTAAATTTCAAACGGATTAACAAAAATAAACGTTTTTAATTCAATTAAAAATACATCGATTGTATTTGTTGATCCTTTGAACTCATAAATAATTTCAATAAACTGTTTTCTTATATAAATCTTCCCAAATATCTAGAGTATAGGCTTAGCAAACGTAGTTTTTTATATAGTCGTATCAAATATCTTATTTTTATTAGCCCTTTTAGTTATTTTAATTCTTATTATTGTAAAAAAGACTCCTCATAAAAAAAGATAATTTTATAAATTACTTATATCATTTCAATATATTTTTATTATAGTATTTAATTCTATTTTCTTAAAAATATGTTTGCAAAGCTTTTCCTGTCTGAATTTGTTCTAAGATTAATACTATTCTATGATAGATCTTAGTCTTGAGTGCTCTTAAAGCGATTATTTGAATTATATCTAATCAATCACTATACCTATTTTTATCATTTTTGTTAATCTTATTCCTATGATAATGTTTGCTCTAATATTTTTAAACAGAAAAAGACTAAATAAAGTTAGGGTAACACTCTCCTTTGGATTTTTTTATAAGGAATATTAAAGTAAGCTATTTTATTGGGAATTAGTTAGGCTAATAGTTAAATCAATAATTGTCACTATTGATATTATTTTTAAACAATTTCCATTTATATCTGGAATTATGCAGACACTTTGTCTTTTTATTTACTTTTTTGCTATTCAAAAACTTAGACCCTTCAAACTAAATTTTTTAAATAAGATTGAAAAGATATCGATTTCATTGCTTATAATTATTTTATAAACATCTCTCATGTTTTAATCATTTAGTGAAAGTGAAAACTAGCAAATAGTTCTTTTTGTGAAGATAATCTATGCCGTTTCTTAGATTTTGAGTCTTGTTTTTCTTATAACTCTGATAGTGCTTACAATAATTTCATTCTCATAAAAGTAAATTTTAAAGCTCTATCAAAAGTTCTCTTGGAAATGTTTAAAGTATTTTATCCCAGATAGTATCCTCAAATTAACAAAAGCAAATAAAAATTACAAAAAATTGGATAAATGTATTTAAATTATAATATAAAATAATATTCATAGAGATGATTCCTATATTTAGCTAATAAATATTTAAAAATGAAAATTCAATTTATTTAAATTATTTAATTGGTTAAATAAATTATTGTACAAACAAAAAAAATACATATGTGTTTTTTATAAAATGTTTAGATTTGAAAATAAATGCATTATAATCTAAAAAAAGTGGAGTTTCAATAAGTTTTTATTCAAAAACCTAATACAAAAAAAAAACTTCTTAAAAATATTTTATTTTTTGTTTTTAACAGCTTTTTTGATTTCCTTCCCACCTATACTACCTACAATATGTAAAATTTATTTTTATAATTTAAAAATAATTTGAATTTAGCTAAGTTCTAAAATCTCTTAATAAAACTTAAATAAAATGAAGGATTATTTCGAAAAATAATTTGTATTTTATTAAAATTGATATTTTGAAATATTTTAAAAAATAAAATAAAGATTAGTTTACTTTTTTAAATTAACTATTTCAATAGTTGGTAACAATATAAAAATCTTTTCATGATTTAATTAATCTCAAAGAATGTAATTAGGAAATTTTTACACATTATGAGTAAAATACTATTCTTAAATTTATAGATATTTGAATTTAAAAGCTACATTTAAAATTCTAAATAATAATACTTTCATAATTATTAATTTATCTTTTTTTCTGATACAAACAAATTATTTAATTAAATATTGATTAAAACATTGAAACATTTTCATTCAAGTTTTTTCCATTCTATTTCGAGCTTGCATCCACTATCAACTATCATTCTAGCAACAGGGCATCTTTTCTTTAAAATTTCATTCATTTATTATAGTTATTAGTCTGAGCCATCTGTATCAACATAAACAATTCCCCAAATTCTTTATAATCCTGAAGTTATAGGAGAGTCTTCTGTCATGGGAAGATCATTTGTTCCTCTTTCATCTCTTTCAGCTTTAATATCAAATTTTGCTTAGTTTATAGTAAAACCTAAATGTGAAGCTATATTTCTGGCAACTATGTTTTCACAGCCCACTAATGAAGAAAGCAACAATTCAATAGGTGATGGACCACTTCCATTTCCACCAACTTTCTTGGCCATATCTGTAACAACAGTAAATCCGCTTTCTGTTTTAGTTTTAACTGAGAAATTGTCAGTTTCTGATTATATTTGATATTATCTCAATTTATTTTCTTGCATACTTAAATAACTAATTTTTTATTTATTTTGTAAATGTTTTCAATTTAATTAAATTATCAATTTTTAAATACTTCATCGAATTACTTATTCGAAAAATTCTTTTATAATTTATTTTTTCCACTAAGGGCTAAATATTTAACAATACATTTGCTTTTTAATAATATACTATAAATACTCATATACAATAAGTTCCATACATAACGTAAATGATATTTCAATATTAAAAAATTAACCAACTTCACAAAATAAATTAATTTTATAAAAAAATTTAATCATTTGAAATATTTACGGTTGGTGATATTTCTAATGCAGGAATAACTAACTATATTAAAACTACTTTTAATTTAATTAAATTAAAGAAAAATAAACCCACTAATAATCATAGAATAAAAAAATTAATAAAAATTGTTATTTTCTCTCTTAATTTTATCTAAAATTGCTTAGCATCTATTTATTTTAAAATAATTAATATTATTTTGAAAATAATATTTTACTAATTTCTAAAGAATTTTGTTTACAAACAATAAAACCTGATAAATATTTTTTAAAAGAAAATCAAAAAACAATTATATTTTTACTTTAAGTATACTAATTATTTTATTAATTTTAAATGTTTAGCTTTAGTGTTCTAATTTGAGCAAAAATTATTTAGATAACTTTTAAATATATTAAAAAAATAATTTTATCATAAATTAAATATGAAAATTTTTTTATATAAAAATAAAAATGTTATTATTTTTGAATTAAATGCATGTTATCATAATTTTAAAAAATTATTTTTACCTAGATATTAGTATAGATTTATTCATTAAAATAGCCAATAATATTCAAACAAATAATCAATCTACTTTAAATTTAAATTAATTTTGATTATTCGATCTCAAAACGACTTGAATTTTAAGCAGACTAAATGGCTATTACACAAATAATAATATTTATATTTAAATAATTTTTAAGTAAAATTTGTAATTGATAAGTGTTAAATAGATTGATAAATAAATAAATATTAAAAAAAAAATGATAAAATGGATTCATTTAAAAATTAAAATATCAACATTAACACATAAGATATAAGAGTTGATACATAAATAGAATAGACTAATAGAAATTAAAAATAAAACGAAAAAGGGATTGCTATTTATGATTTTATAGACTCATAATAAAATAACTAGAATTAAGTTTAAAATCCTTAAAAACATGTTGGACAATCAAAAATTTGTATAGGCTTTTGCACTTTCTTATTTGCTTTTTTACTTGAAAGTTCTATTTCTTTAGCTTTTGGTATTTTATTTTTCTTGTTTTAGAGAGATGAAGATATGAATGATTATTGTGAGAACGTAACACTTAAAAAATGGGCTTTTGCAACAAGCATACTATTTTTTGTTAATTGTGGAACTGCTTTTCTTAATTCGATTGATTAGCTATTACTTTTTTTAAAAGACTAACTACAAGAAAAACATGGTCTTCTGTATATTTTGGTTTGTCCTTTAAGATTTTTATTAGGAATAGGTTTTTTTGCTAGTTACATTGGAATTTTTATTAATAATACAACTGATTGTGGTTAACTTTACAAATTAAGCTTAGCTTACTGTATAATTAATTCAATATGGTTAGGTATCGCTGCATTAGTAATAATAATAACACTTATAATAAAGATAATTGAATTAATCACAAAATGTGTAAAAATACTTTTTAATAGATGATATTATAAAGAAATAGCAGATTGATTATCAATTTTTATACTTTTATTATTATTGAGCTTATTAATTATTATTAAAATTAACTTAATATAAGTTGAATTAAATCTATTTATATAGACAATTAACCTTAAAAATTTGTAAAAATTCATTGAAAAATAAACAATTTTTCACTTACAATAGTTTATAAAAAATTAAATTGAACCTACATTGATATTTATACATACATTTTAAAAGAAAATGAAATAAATTGAAATTAAATTTTTTGAAATTGGAACTGAATTATATATTTATTTAGTAATTTATATTTAAAACTCATTTATATTAGTATAAGAATAAGTTGTTTTATTATTTATTTATTAATTTATTTTTGGAAAAATTTATTTTCTTTCTATGTTTCTGTCTTATTGATTGATTGATTTATTTATTATTAGTAGCTCATTGAGACATTGTTATGATTTTTATTATGTTTAGATCATTAGAGGCTGTGAGAATGAAATTATGTTAGTCAAAAACAATAAATTCACCTAGTTTAGGGCAAACGGAAGTGAATTTGTTTCCGTTTTCATAATTACTGGTTTGCTTCTCGAGATCCCAAACTTTGATAGACTCGTCAGCACTGCAAGAGTAGAGGTTATTATTCAAGTGAGAGAAATATAATTGATAAACTGCTTTTGTATGTCCTTATAGTTAATTTACACACATTCCTTTTTCTATGTTCCAAAGCTTAATAAGTCCATCTTTTCCAGCAGTAGCAATATCAACATTTGAAGAACCTATTGCAGCTATTATCGAAATACCCTTTTTATGAGCTTTATTATTATAAGATTTGAGTTTATAATCTCCAGGTTTCTTCTGATTCCAAATTCTAAATCCATCTCCGCAGGCACTAACTAAACATCTAAGTGATTCGTTTTAAAATGTGCACAAGCTTGTAGCTGGCTGATCTTAATTAAGAGTTTGAGTACAGAACAGCTCATCTAAATTCCACACTTTTACAGTTTTATCAGCAGATCCTTTTTTTAAAATTAAACATTAATTTTTAAGTTTTTTTTAAACTGGTAGAATTTCAATGTAGGATTTAATTAGATTTCAAATAAATTTGAATTCAAAATTTAAAGAATTACGCGAAAATTAATTCATAATAAAAGTTAATTAAATTTAAAAAATAGCAATTTAAACAAAGTTAGAGTACGAATAAATTTATAATTATTTTACCTGATATCAGGAAATCGTCATTGTATATGATAGACATTACAGCGTCTTAATGATCGTTAAAAGTGGCTAGCAACTCTTTACCTTGAAGGATTGGATTCCAAATTCTAATTTCACCATCAGCTGATCCAGATGCAAGGAAAATATTGTTTTCTTTTTCTATTTTTTAAAGTGCATAAATGGGAGATGTGTGACCTCTTATTGTTTTTATAAAGTCGAAGCTGGAGCTTTCAAGCTACCAGAATTTTATTGTATAATCCAAAGAACCTGTTACGATGATTTTTTTGGTGGAATTTTCTTGGAAGACTATCATAGTACAAATACCAGCTGTATGAAGTGGGTTTTTTTCAATTTAATTTTTAGGTAAAATAGTAGAATAGCTGCTGCTATCAAGAATTTAATTAGTTTCTATTTCAATAGCATTGTAATTTTAATCTTCACTCTAATATCCATTGTATAATGCATTCTTTTGTACTCCAATCAAGCCATTTGAAGAGCTCTTTTGGATTACTTTTTAATTGTTGGCACTGGCTAAACTAAATCCATTTTAATTCATGCTATTTGTGGTGTTGTTATACATGGCCAAAGATGGAATATCGCTTGTGCTGGAAGGAGTGCGATAATATTTGAATTTAAATTCGCTGCTTGAAGAGCCATTCATTCCATTGAGCCCTAATTGGTTATTTATTTTAGATAAATGAAATCTGCTTGTATTAGGAAGAGGAAGATCTTCAGCAGACATCACAAGAAGCTATTTTAACTCATTAAATTTATTTTTGAAAATGCTATTTAGTTCTTCTGTGAAAAACGTAACCATCTTTGTATTGCTTAAATTGTCCAATTCGTGAATATTACGACGAAAAGATTGGACGTAGAAGTTAACTTCGTTTTAAAACTCTTTTGTATTAGCCAAAGGACTTTTAATAATGTTTTCAAAGAAGTTTGTAACTTCATTTTCATTCTGGCGATTAAGAGAAGCTAAATCGCTTAACGATGCTTCTTTGACATGTAATTTCATTTTATTTTCCAAATACTAGAAATGAGCCTACTACTTAGCAACTAAATTAGTCAAATAGTCCTCAATTTCATTCACTATAGCGTTCTTAGCCTACTAAAAAGATTGCTCTACAGCATCTATCACTTTAATGTAAGAAGCATGCTTAGATTTAATGATATTTTCATATTCTTTCATCTGCATCTTGACTCTCATTAATCCCTATTACAATTCACTAACCGCAGCATTATTGAACTAAGAATTCTAGTGAGATTCTAAAACATCATTTATCTCATGAATAGTCTGCTTATGAGCGCATAAGTGAGACGAATTATCTAAAAAGCACTATATACAAAAGAATCTATAATAATTGCAAAAGGGTTCAGTACAAATAGTCTAAACTTTCTTTGTAGGATGACGAAAACAATTGAAGCTAAAGTTATTCAACAAACTCATTTCTTTATTCCTGCTGTTATTAAAATAATTATATTCAAAAAGTATCTTCTCTGTTTTGGCTTTTAAAGGCAGACTTTTTAATTTATAAATAGGTTGGTCTACTTCTTAATTTTAAGTAAATAAATTAATTAATTTCTTGTTAGTTAGAAGGATTTTTTTGTTTGACTACTCCTTATTCTATTTGTTTATTATATTTATTGATTAATTAATTAATTTTTTGATAGCAAAAATACCTCTATATGAAAATTACAAACACAATATAAGATTAATTAACCAATCAATACCGATAGTTTGAATCCATCTTTTGCGCTCTTTATTCTAATAGAATCTTTCATCAAGCCTCTCAATTTATATCAATCAAAAATAATTCTGACTGAAATCCTCCAATCTCAGCTAATTTTGAATGCTTTTTGACATAATTAAAAATTCATAAATTTATTTATGATAAATCTATTCTATTTTTTTCAACAAAATAAAATATTTTTTTATTAAATTTAAACAACAAATTTAATATTTTTGATAATAAATCTCAATCAAAATAAAAATTATTTTTATAAATTATAAAATATATAAATCAAAAACTCTCTAAAAAATGGAAATTTCATCATAGTAAAATCCAATCTAATTTTTTTCAAGCAAGTAATTTTAAAAAATAAAACAAAATAAATATATTTGAATGTTAAAAAAACATTTAAATTAACTCTAAGAAAATTATAATAAATTAATAAAAATAATGTGGATTTCATATTTATAAATATCCTTTGATTTAAATTCCAAAATAAAAATTGTTTTGTTTGTTTGACTGGTTATTTACTTACTTATATATATATGTTTGTGTGTAGGTATAATAAAGATTTAGAAACAAACTACCAAAAAGAAAAGAGATAAAATTATTTAATAAATATGATAATTTTATTTTTACAATAATAAATTAATTTTAATATATTTAGTTAATGGCAATGTACTAATTTTTTTCTACTTTAAGCTATTTAGTTAAGTATTATGCAGATATAATTAACTAACTAAAATCATTAATCAAATTTGCACTCTCTCACCTATAGTTAAACTTGTTTGTTGCATTTATTTACAATTATATAGTTGAATTATTAGTAAATTTTCGTTAATTAATAAATTGCTTGTACGTACAAAAACTTTTTATTCTAAAGCTCTTTATTTGTTTTATAATATTGAAAATATTGAAAAGCTCATTCATTTTTAAAGCACAAAAGCGATAGGAAAATTGTAATAATTATTTATTTTATTTGATGAATAAAATAAAACTGTATTCCAACGATCTATATTTAATCAATCTCTTAAATTGTCAATAGAATTGTTTATAGGTGTTGGTGTATGTGGGTCTTAATATAGTAAGAGATTATCTGACTTTTTAGCACTGCTTTTGACTTCATTATAAATGAATGTCTCTTCTACTTTCTCAGAACGATTTTATAATTGCAAATTAAATGTCAAATGATGAATTTTAGATCCAGGTGCGCTATTATTGAGGCTGGTTATACTTTTGTTTGAAGCAATTACATTTTCTTCACCATTACCAAATTAATTAATTTGGTTATTGCCTATATCCAAAACATTACCAACAGAAGTTCTCCCATTTCCTTTAATACCATTGCTATTTGTATTAGTATTACCATTAGAATTTGAAGATTTCTTTTTGGACTATATTGTAATTATTTCTTCTTCAACATAGCCAAAGTTATTCATATTTTATTTAACATCTGTTTAACTATTTCTTTTTTCATATTGTTATTATTATTATTACTATTATTATTGTGGCTGTTTCTTATCAAGGTAGTTATTCAATGCGTGATTTTCCATCACCTGATTATTAGATTGACTATTTTTTTAAAATAATGTAGTATTGGTTAAATCTAGTAATTCTTACGTCTACATAAATTATTGAGTAGTGTTTTACATACCTCCTGCGTGGTTTGGTTATGCCGGTCTTTAATTATTCTAAATTTGAATCTATTGCTATTCTTAATTCAGTCTATCAGCACTTGAGTCTCCAAAACCTACTCCTCCGCCTATGTTATACTATTGCATTTAAATTTAAATTGGATTACCATTTAAAGGTGTTTAGTTATTTTTGGATCTGTTGTCATTGCTGTGTTAAGGTTAGTACTTATTAATCATAGGCGATTAAGAGTTTTGATTTACAAGATCTTTATTGTCTATTTTTTTCATCTAGTCTCCATTTTCTGGTTAAGATTCACCACTATTTGCGAGATAAACTTATCCATTATTTTGATTTTTTGCGTCTTAAATATTGTAAAACGAATTAAAAAGACTCATGTCTTCTGCCCATGTGGGCTTTTTTTCAAGATTTACATTTGGCTATTTTAAAAATCTCATGTAACCTAATATTCTCTGCTTTGTTAAAAATTGTCTAGAAACAAATACAGTCATGTCAAAAGCCAAAATTATTCCACAAGTCTCAAATAATATAAAGTAAAATTGTGAGTTTTAAAACATCTAAAAAGGTGTCAACCAGACTTCACTTGTTTCGATTGATTAACTGCCCAATAAAAAAGCAAAGTACAGTATTAAACTACTAAAAATAAAAGTAAAGTATGTAATCCAAGTCCAGTATCTTGTAAACATAGCAATTTTCATATCAGCCACCTTTTTATTTTTAATATTTATTATTTTAATAACAACCTTAAAATTGTAAAAATTATTTTTTTTTAAACAATTAAAAAATCTTGATATAAAAATTTCATGTAAAATATAAAATTTTGCTTTATTTTATTTTTAAATTGTCTATAAATTATGAAAAGTTGCAATAAGAAACAAAATATGAAATGTTAATTAAGATTTTACTAAAATGATCGATGTGAATATAATTAAAGAGAAGTTCCAAAGATCTGTAGAGAGACCATCCTTTGAAAAAGTAATGGAATCAAAAGTCAAATAAGTACAATAGAAAATGATTAGACCATGAATCAACCCTTAAATTACCCAAGATAAGAAGTTTGAATCTGTAAATATTGTTTTATCTTAACTTGTATAGTAGAAAGTAGGGAATTTCTTTTCTAAATACTACTCCTTTCTTTCTAAAATTGACTAAAGACGATTGTCTTCTTCTCCCATTTTTACTTAGTCGACAGTAACTTTATAATTAACATCCTAGTCAAATACGGCTCTAGAAATCAAAGGTAAAGCTGTAAAAATCAAATTATACAAAGAAATAAACCAAGCATCAAAAATAGTTTGTCCGCTAAATGCATTATAAAATGAAAAGTACAGCTATGGAATTGTAAATAACCTAGTATTATAATAATATAAATTATAATTGAATTCTTCAATTGATTCTTTATTTATTTTTGTTAAAAAATTACATATTTTTGTAAAAGAAGTAAATAATCATTTCAGCTATTCTAATGTATGACCATCTGCCATGAACTAAAACTAGACGCCAAAGACATTTAAATTCACCAAATGCAAAATCTGAGCTTTATGCAGCTTGCATACCTTCATTACCAAAAATACCACATCCTAATTTAATGATTATTTGAAATTAATTAATAAATATTGCTTATTGATCATTGCTTTAATTTTTATTTCAATTATAATTTATTTGAATTATTTTACCTATATGAGCTTCTTGTATCATATTGACATCATTAGCACCATCACCAATAGCAAGTGTAATTTTTTTTAAGTTGTCTTTTATCAATCTAACTACAAGTGCTTTTTATTTTGGAGTAACTCTACAACAAACAACAGATTCGCAATCTTTAGAGATCTTCAAAAACGCTTTTTATAAATGAACATCTCCAAAAATTAATGTCAGTGAATCTCCTTCTACAAGCATAGATTTTTTAGCTTAATCATTTTTTAATTGAATAAACTTTTCCATAGCAGTTCCAAGTAAATTATTTCTGAGAGATTATTCATCTTTTTCAGATATTTGAATAATCTTCATGTCATTTTGTATTAATTTGCAGCTCTTTGCAATATTTTCTGCTGTTTCTAGCTTATCACCAGTAAGCATCCAAACCTTAATATCTTAAAAAAATATATTTTATTTAATGATATATTATTTGTTGAAATTTTATTACTGGCCTTAATAAGATCATAAATTGTTTCTGGAACTTTATCTTAAAGTTTATCCTCAACTGCAGTAGCACCAATTAAAATAAGATTTCTCTCTATAGAATCAGCTAATTTATCTAATAAAATTTTTAATAAAAATATTTAAATACTAAAATTGAATATCTAAAATATATTTTAATATTTTATTAGTATTTTTGAAGTTCGTTTTATTTTTTTGAAATGTTTCTAATTGAATTAAATGAAATAATTTATACCCATTTCCCTTTCACGATTTTCTGAATCAGCCAAAGCATTCATTTTTCTTTTGAAATCTTAATACTCCTCTTCACTCAAAACCCTCATAGCCATCATAAGGGTACGAAGCCCTATAAGACTGAATTGTGTGAGATAGTCATTAGTTTTATCTAAGAAAGGCTATTATTTGTCTGTATGCAACCTAGATTTTATGATACTATCTGCTCCTTTAATATAAAGCTTAATAACGTTTCCATCTCTTATTATAACAGACATTCTTTTTCTATCACTATTGAATTCAAATGAATTCAATAATGTGACCTTTTACTTAATACCTCTCACATTTATATCTATGGTATCACTTGAGGCTCCTTCAAAGGTAAATCCCATATGTCTGGCTGCATCAACAAGAGTTATTTCATCTGGAGATGGGCCTTGATAGTCTATTTCATTAGTTTCCTTGTCTCTTTAAATAATGCATTCGTGAGCAGTTCCTAATAGCTTCCAATATTCGCATGCTAAGTCACGCTAAGTTTTAATTAGATAAGAACTATTTCCATCTTCACTCTTTAGCTGTAAATTAACTATCGAATCGTGTTTAGCTTCAGCTAATAATTCATTCAAATGGCGATCGTAAAAGTTAAAAGAAGTTAATTTATGCTTTTTTGGTTTATCGCCTTCATGATCCTACTTTTTTTTCTGTAATTTAGGGTCCTTTTCTCCTGAGTCTCCATATAAATTATGACCAATTACACTTTTATTAAACTCCATTACATTGCAAGTAAGAGTTCCTGTTTTATCTGAGAATACATATTCTACCTATCCTAGTTCTTCATTGATTGTTGTTGTCATAACTTTTGGCCAAATGTCTTTCTCTTCACAGTACATTTATTTATCATTAGTAATAAAATAACCTTATGCCACCTTAACCATTTCAAGAGATACAATCAAAGAAATAGGTATCATAGTGTTATATAGTAGAAAATAAGTAAAAAAATATAAAATAGCCAGTGCTCCATATTGATTAATTTAAGAATCATCTTTTAAGTACCAATGTCCATCTAAGTTATTAGAATTCCAAATATAATTCAGAACAGCAGTAAAAAATGAGCAAATCATCTAAAGAATGAGAATTCCTATTATTTATTATTTAAAAAAATAATTTAAAACATTTTTTAAAGGATTTTGTCTTAAAAATTAAACATGATAGTCTAAATTTAATTGGAAAATTATTTAAAGAAAATAAAATTTAATTTCAATTATTAAGTCTTCTCAACCTTTTTAAAATTCCAAAGCATGCCTTGAAAGCAGAAATGATGAAACAATTTTAAAGTGATAAAAATAATTTCAATTTTAGTAACTTTGGTTTAAAATAACTAGAAATCAAGTAATTTATTGACAATTTTTATATAAAAAGTAAGAGTAATATTGGGCTATAACTTAGTTTTTAATAAATTTTATTTGATCTCCAATTAGAATAGAAAAGGTTTTCTAATTTTAATTTTTCTTATATTTATCATTCTAATTTTATTGTTTATTAGATTTATCATTCATTCTATTTATTGTTTATGATATATAATTAAAGGGTTTCATTTTTTATCTATTTTAAGTATTTACAAAATTCGAAATTATTCAAATATATGAAAAGAATTTATTAGCCAAAAAAAATTAATAGTAACCCTTCAATATAATCTAAATAAAAGATACCATAAATGTTTTTTTTCACTAAAGCTTATTTTATTTTCTTTTAAAAATAGGTATTTAATTATTTAGTTAAACTACTAAAGTAGAGATCTCGAAATCAATAAATTGAATCATGATAAATTACAAAAAAGTTACCTATAATATATGTATTCATTGTTTTTTCCATATCAGATGTTTTTTATTTGGGTGGCTCAGAGTTTCTCATAATTTTAGAGTCCAAACCTGTATAAGCAACAATTCCAAGGATATAATCTGTATTTCTCAAAAAGGCACCTCTTAACAGCAATTGTTTAGCAGATGCAAGCACTTTTTAAGGTGAATATGATTGATGTCTCTTGGTTTGATTACCATTTTGAGTAGAAATGTTTACTTTCTAATTTACTTGGCTTTTATTTTGTTAAGTATTATGAGCACTATCTTGCTCGCTATTCAAATATGGTTGAGGATTTGTTTATTTTTGCTTTTTCTCATTTTCCTCATCCACTATTTTTTCAACTTCTTCAATAATCTTCTACATGCTATCTTATTATTTAAGACCAGGAACAGGAGCTCCTACTTTGCTATTTTAAGTTGTTGCCTTTTTTTCTAATTTTACCTCATCCTAATTTTTAAAAAAATACATTTTTAATTCATTTTTAGTTATTTTTGATAGTTTGAAAAAAAAATAATTCATGGCTAATAAGCTAGAAATGATGAAATTATCAATTTTATTTTCCTTTATTATAAAAGCAAAGAAAATTATTTGTTCTTATTTAAATATAATGTTAAAAATATTTGCACTTATTTATTTTTTTGTTTGAATGTATTTCAATAAAATGTCAAAAATGTAATCTGAACTAGTTTACTTCCAATTATTATTAATGAATAAGAAAAAAAATTGTTTGAGAAGTATTTGTTTTGCAACCACAAAATAGATAAAAAATCTATCAAATTGGATCTAATTTCGATTAATTAATTTTAATCTGGTTTCAATCAAATGTTTTTGCTTGGTATTCAAAAAATACTGAATAAAAAATGCTTTTTTAATTTATTGGTTTCTTATCAATCTCTAGTTAGGTTTTTTTTTAAGTTCTAGATAAAAATAAATTAGTTTTGTGAGAAAATTAAAAGAAGAGAATTGATTGATTGATTGGGTATTTATTTTTGTTTTACAAATTGTATTATATATTCATCAACTTTTTTGTAATAATTATGATTATCTCTTCAAAAGAATCTTTATAAAACTAAATGAAGTAGAGTTTTTTAAAAATTTTGTTTATTCGTTTAAGGGCTTAGTTTTTTGTTATCAATTTATTATACTAGTATCACTCACTATTAGTAAATTAAATATTAATAAAGTATTAATAACAACTTTAAATTTTTTATCTCATTCTCATTTAATACCTAATTCCTACTTGAAGTCAAAAAGTTTATTCGGCTTGATAATATATTTTAAACCTATATTTAAATACATAATTCGAAACACCTGCTAAATGAATACTTTGCTTAAATAACACTTTGTTATATATTAGCTTTTTATATTGCATGATTCAACAAACAATTTTATATATTTAAAACTTTAAATTGAAGTAAAAGTAATTGCCATGAGTTTTTTTAAATGATTACCTCAAATAGACCTTCAATACTCCCATTGAATTTATATAATTCAGGGTTCGGTTTTTCAGCTTATAACTTTAAGCTGCGTATTTACTCTAACTTGCATTCCTTAAAAATTTGATAAGTTTCTCTGAGGCACGATTTTGGTTTCATATTTTTTTCTCCATCAAGTGCTCCTGTTTCTATGTAGCAAACACCGTTGGGATAACTACTATCTACTGCTATTAAATCTGCTGGGAATGGTTCATCCTTATAAACCTTGATAATATCGCCTACTTCTACTTGTGCCCAAGTTATTTTTTCCTCAACTAGACTATCTTAAATAAAAATTCTTGTTGTTTCCTCTGAATTAATTTTAGTATCACTTTTGTGTCTGTTATAATCTTCAACACCCTCACGCAACATCGAAACACCCAGCACAAAAACTAGAGGAGCTATGGCTGAGAGAGGAGTTAAGGGAGATATTGTAGGAATTGATTATAAAATTGCTATAATCAAAAAATAAATATTTGCATAGCGCTTAAATTAAAGGAGCAAAGACATTGGTAGGAAATCAATCAATGTATAATGCGATGTCTTAATAAAATTAGAGGGAAACGGACTAATCTTATTCTTGACTCGATCATCCATTTGGACATCAATAATCCTATCATGATTAAATACAAGAGGTCTACGCTTTAAACACATAATAATATTTTTTAGCTCCTAATTTTAGCTTAGATTCGACGATAGCTTGATTGCTTTTATATACTGATGATGATGATGATCTTCTCAATCAATAACTTTCTAACTTTATTTCTCCTATTCTAATTAATTAATTAATTTATTTATTTAATCAATTGATTGCTGATATTAAATACTATTTATTTATTCCTTTTTAATTGTTTTAATTATTAATTAATTGCTTTCCTTTATAATTCTATGAAACCTCTTTCCTTAACTATATTTTTTATTCGTTTAATTATATTTGTTTGTTTTTTTTTTGCTTTTTGATTGTATAATTGATTGATTCAGATCCTGCTTGCAAGCTTGTTGCTCTTTAATTACCTACAGACCCCTCTAAAAAACTGCTTATTGTTAATTATTTTATGGTGATTGATTCGATTTAAATATTACTAATTTTAATGTGATTAAAGCCTTCTTTTTATTAATTTGCTATAAATCACTAATGAATGATTACTACATTTATTCCATTTATATAAATTTTATAATTATTAATCCCTCCTTTCAAATTATTTTCATTCCATTAATTATTATTATCTAACTGCTCTTTCTTTCTCTACTAATTGAAATTAAAAGATATTTATTTACCAAATTCAAAATATCTATAAATACAAAATATTTTTGTAAAATTTCTTAAAAATTTGCTATTAATAGTTTCTTCAATAAATATTTGACTACTTTTTAAGAAATTATTTGCTTAACAATTTTGTTATTTTTAAGGATTAATCAAAGAAAGGCACAATTTAAACTAAAAAATACTCTTTTTAAAAAACACACAGAAGAAAGTATTAAGAAGGGTGTTAAAAATGAGAAAAAATCTTCAATAGTTAATTTGATCTCTCTTCTATTTTTATAATTTATTCATTAAATTAGATTTATATCACTTATTTTATATTTTTTCTTCCTTAAAAAGTTATTGATAATTAATTTACAGATTTCTACTTGCAATTTTTGTTATTTGAAATTTTTAAATTTTTAATAGTATTTAAATTGATAACTAATTCAAAAATTTTATACGAATTCATATATACAATTAATAAATAAGAAAAAAAAATTAAAAACTAATTAATAATTGCAATGAATTATTAACTCACCGAATCGGAATGAATAAAAATAAGAAAACTTTTTTTCACCTGTTTTAACTTTTTCCGTTTAATTTAATTACACACAAATTGAAAAAAAAAAAACATCTATTAACATAATTAAATTTTTTTAAACAATCTACTTGAATTTTCTAACTATTTTTAATAAACATTTTTTCTTGCTTTTAAAAACTGGTTAATTTTAAATTTTATTTTGTTAGAAATCAAAAATAAGTAAAAAATGTAAATCAATTTTAGATGAGTTTGTTTGTATATTAAATAGGGTATATTTTTATTTAATTAATGATTATAAATATTATTAAAATATATCTTCAGCTTGCACAATATTCAAAAATAATGAGAATTTAATATTGAAATAAATAAAATAAAAATAATTTTTAATACTTACTAACATGAATTAATAATTTTTTAAACATCTTACTTAAAGTACACTTTTGTTTATTAATATAATTCTTATCATATTTCTACTAAAAAATAGACATAATGTAAAAAATTAATAAAAGCTCAGTTTTTTAAATGTTTTTTTCTAGAAAATCAATAAAATAGCTAACTGATAAACTATTTTACTAAAAATATTCAGATTTATGAATTAGTTATTTGGTTTAACTTTATTTAATATATAATATTTTGAGATTTCAATATATACCCAACTTTCTTTCTGTTGAGGGTAGTTAAATTATTTGCTCTGATAAAATGTTTCATTTACTTTCTAAATCAACAAATTCTAACTACTTTTCTTTATCTTGTAACATGATTTGAGATAAATTTTACTTCTAAATAATTTTGGCTTTATTAGCTAACCTATTTTATTTATTAAAAAATAATTATAAAAAGTAAATTTATTTTGTAAAAATAAAATTTTACAAAGTGGATATTTCAAATATATTTGATAATTCATCTCCAAGTAAATTTATCAATTTTTTGTTAAACCTATTTTTATTTTTTATTGATTTTAGCAAATTAATTTTTTTTAGATTTACAAATAGAATATTTTACTGACTATTTTATCCTTCAACAATAAGTTTCTCATATGCATCGTAAAGGATATTGTATGTGCTTATTGAATTTTACTAATTTACTTTCGAAATCAATGGTTTTTTAAATTTCATAGCTGCTTTTTATATCACAGATGCTAATTTTATGTTAATTTTAAGCTTTTTTTATTATTTTTCATTTATTTTAAGGGATTTCATAAGGTTAATATTTGATTATGAGTCTCTTTTGATATTTTTTTTAACTTATTCTTCTATTTCTGCTCTTGTGAGATTATGTTCGTCATTTTCAACAGAAATTACTGGTTTTGGGAAGAAATTAAAAAGAATTTCTTGGTTTTTGTCTAAAAATAACTTTTTAAATTTCTCAATTTCCTTCAACCTATTCATTATATTCAAAATATCTAGGTCTTGTTTCATTTGTTTATTAGCTTTATCTAAAAGTAAAACTTGTTCTGTCTTAAAAAACTTATGGCAAGTCAGTTTATACAAAAAGTATTTAAAAGTCATTGAGAGAGTTACTTGCTTTTTTAGCAAAAATTCGAATTCCCTTGAAAGGAATTACTTTTAGTTTTTATACCCAAGGCCATGTAAAAGAAGGTTATTTTAAGAATGATATTTCGATTTTGGTGTTTCTTTTGCTAAATTATTGGAAGGTGTATTTATCTTATTAAAAGTTTAATTTGAAATCATTTGTGCATTTTCAGATGTTGCAGCATCATTCTGGTTCAAATTTTAAATACTTTCAACTTATCTTGCCATTAAATTTGATTGTTACCTTTAATATATTTCTTTAAATTCCTATTCCTTTTCTTAAATACCTTCGTTTATATTTTCAGTCTCAATTACTTTAATATCTTTTTTTAAGTCATTATTATCTTATGAAGTTTTGGCCTAATTATCTAAAGGATTATCAGGATAAATGCTTTCATTCATAATAATTTTCTATTCAATTTTATGTGCAGAACCTTGCTGATCATATCCAAGCATATTTTATATATTGTCTGAAGTTTCCTTCATCTTTTAGATTTGTTATTAATTCGAATTCTATTTTTTACGGTTAAGATTACTCTAAACCTAATTAAAATTTTCTACTTCATCTTCTTCTTCTTCCTCTAGCTCAATCTATTCTTCAGTTTTAATTAGTTAATTTTTCTGATTTAAAGTAGATTATTTTTAAAACAATTAATTTTGCTACTACTTTTCCATCTACTATTTTCTTAAGAATATAATTTCTTTTAGTTAATCTAGAGGTAATAATCCATCATCTTCTCGTAGTGTGACTTTTTAAGATTTTTCTTTTTTAAAATAAATATCTACAAACTACTCCTAGCACCCCCTTATCGTCTCTTAATTTTCTAAATCCAACTATTCTGTTAAAGAAGGTTGCTTGTTTTCAGTTTTGATATCTTAAAAGTTAATTTAAAATTATCCATCGACTTTACACTATTTACCTGATCCATCATCATCTCTTTTTGTATCGTTTACATTTTATGATATTATTTTTTAAGTTTATTTACTTTTATTTATTTTTTTCTTCGAAAATTAAAAGTCGTAAATCTTATTAGCTAGAGAAATCGCATAGACATATTCATTGTAATAATTTACTATTTAAATAAATTTATGAAATGAATGATAAAAACAAAAACAATAAATTTTCTTAATTAATTTTAACTTAAATTTGTAAGTAAAATTTTCTTACCTAAAATAGAAGTTACTAAAATAAAAATTTAAGCAAAACCTCCAATGTAAGAAATAATTTAACTAATCTTTTAAAATGCTCTGTTTTTACTATATACAAAAGCATCTTTTCTGATAAAGAAATCTGCGTATACATCTCCTATTTATCCAAAAATATATTATGGTCTATAGTTCCCAGATTCAAAAGTTATGATTGTTTGATTGGTAATACTAGGAAAAGGAAGAAGGCTTTAATCAGTTTATATAATATTTTCACTTAAGTAAATATCAGATGTGATATATGACTGTTATTTATTATTTAAATATCTTCTCTAAATATTATTTAAATCATTTAAAACAAATATTAATTACATTTTTTTTTTGTATTTAGAAGAACATAGAATCCTCTATAAAATTATTCACATAATTTTTACTTTCCAGAGCATTTATAACATAATTACTTGTGTAAATGTTAAACCTAATGTTTTGAGTTTTATTAAAATATTATTCTACTTCTTCATCACTCTTACAAACCGGTTTCCAAAGAGCAGTTGGTAGAGTATTGTTAGAACACTTAACGATGGAAAATTTCCAATGGTAGAAATTTTCTGAATTATATGATCCTCCCAACTAAAATTGATAGTCTTTTCTAATTAATTAATTTAAAGTTACACAGAAATTATTTTGTATTTACAGAATTGAAGCTATTTATTTATTATATTGGTAAAATTTTTTGAATAAAATTAATTACGTAGGGCAAAGAAATTATTAGAAGTTAAATCTATAGAATTATTCTGTCCAATTAACTTCATATTGAGGTAGCTGAGACCAATGTTCTGGAGTACAAGGTTCTAGTTAAGTTGGGTACTTATATTAATATTTCGTGTAAGATATGTTGTTCAAAAAAATATTTAAAAAATAAATAATTAGTTAGTTATTTACTAAATTTCTAATTTTAGTTCCATTTTTTAATGTGATGTAATTTCTAGTTTCAAAAGAAATATTAAGATAAGGATTTTCCAAGAAATTCTTTTGGCCTATTTAAACAGCAAACATAAAATTTTTAGCGTTGAGAGTAACAACAGGTGGATCTGTATAGAACTATTTGTTAGTAGTAGCAATAACATTTTCTAAATAATAAGAATAAATAATTAATTAATTAAAGAACTAAAGTCTTGAAAAATTAACACATAAATTTATTTTTTCATTTTATACCAGAAATTATAATTTATTTTTAACCATTAAAATTAATAAATTTAAGTTAATTTAACAAAGTAAATATTTTAATTTGTATGTATTAATTTGGTATCATATTTTTAATTTTGAATATTTAATTAAAGACCATTTTAATCAACTTATTATAATAACTTTTTGTTTGAATCATATATCTGTAATATAAAAAAAGGAATTTTAATATTCACCTCTGTTTAGAAATGAGAAAATCTATGTTTTTAAAATAATATATTTATTTATATCTTATTTATTAGCATAATTCATTAATTTACACTACTCCAAAAGAAGATCCCTAAAAACGCAAAAAAACTTAAACTCATGAACCCACCAAAGGTCGTTTTAAAAATGCTGTCCTTTTGATAGTTTAGACCTACTTCAGAACCAAATATGTCAAATTTTGCAAAAGATTTTGTAACAAAATTAGTCATTTACTTTTAATTTCAAAATTTTATGATTTTTTAATCTAATTGATTTAAAATAAATATTCAAAAAAGCAAGCAAGCTGATTTTTTAAAGCAAATATTATAATTCAAATTTAAAAATCATCAAATCTATCAATATATTTAAATTACAGTCAAAAATATGAAATTTATATTTAAATTCAATAATATTTAATCAGCACAAAAATAACTTTCATAATTTAATTAGTAATATGCTTGGTTATATAAAAATATCTACGAAAAAAATTTATTTTTGATTTTTATTTACCTTAAAACATTCTTAATGTGTAATTCTTAATAGATATTACCCAAAATATTAGTAAGACTTTTAATAAAAAAATATTAAGAGCATATTTACAAAACTTTTAAATTTTTTTATAGAAAATATACAGTATTTATTTGATTTTTATTCTTCTTAACAAATTTTCTTTTTTAAATGTCAAAATTAATTAATATATTTGAGCTAAATACTTGGGTTGGAACAAACAATTTGAACAATTTTTTTTAATTTAAGCTTTTATAATTTATTTATTTAGCTAATTAATTAATTATTTATTGAAATTATTTTTAATATTTTTCTCATTAATAATTTGAGAAGAATCCAAGCTTTCTTTCTGTTGAAGGGAGAGATCCTATTTAATCTGTAAATATAAACCTTTTACTATTTAAATCTGCTTATTCTTACTGTTAAAGTTTGTCGTCTTAGCACATTTTTAAAGTTAAATTCTACTTTTAGTTTACTTTGCTTTTGTTTGCTAACCTTTTAAATAAGTGATAACTATAAATATTTAATGTTTTTAAAGAAAATTAAATCTTACATTGTAGAGATCTCAAATATTTTAGACAGTTCATCACCAAGTAGTTCTATTAGCTTTCTATTGAACCTTCAATTAAAAATTATTAAATTATATTTCATAATAGTAGTTAATAAATAAATATTACTTGCTGTTTTATCCTTCTTCTATAAGCTTTTCATAAGCGTTATAAAGCATGTTATAGGTGTTTAGTGTGTTGTATTTTTCCATTTTAGATATGAGAGGTTTTTTAAATTTCTGTGCAGCTTTTTGCACTAAAGAAGCTACTTTTATGCTTATATTTAGCTTTTTTTATTGCTGTTAATTAACCTTAAGTGATTTTTGTTAGTTTAATTTTAATAAAGAGTCTCTTTTAATATTTTCTTTTAGTTTTTCTTCTATTTCTGCTCTTGTAAGATTTTATTCTTCTTTTTCAATAGAAATTACTGGCTTTGGGAAGAAATTGAAAAGAATTTCTTAGTTTTTATCCAAAAATAGTTTTTTAAATTTTTCAATCTCCTTTATTTTATTCATGATTGTAAAGATATCTAAATCTTATTTCATTTTTTCATTAGCCTTATCTAAAAGTAAAACTTATTCAGTCTTAAAGAATTTATGACAAGTCATTTTATATAGGAAGTATTTAAAAGTCATTTAGAGAGTAGCTTGTTTTTTGACTAAGAATTCAAATTCTTTTGAAAGGAATTATTTTTAATTTTTATATCCAAGTCCATGTAAAAGAATATTGTTTTAAGAAACAAATTTAGATTTTGGAGTATCTAGCTTATTTTAAAGCGTATTCATCTTACTAAATACTTAATTATAAGTAATCTGTATATTCTCCGAAGAAATCGCATCTTAGTTAAAGTGCTAATTGCTTTCAACCTACCTATCTATTTAGCTTGATTGCTGTTGTTAGTGATAATCTTTTAATTCTTATTTTTGATCTTTAATTATCTGATTACTTTCTGTGCTTAATATTTAGTTTTCATTTTTTAAAGTGGGTTCTGACTAAAATATATTTTTTTTCTATATTTCTAAAGGAGTTTCAGGGATTATACTATCATCATTAACAATTTTACATTCAATTTAATTTGCAGGAGTAAGTTTATTATATGGGGGTTAATTTTCTAATTGCTATTATTATATTTCTTCATTTTTTTAGTTAGTTTAGACAGCTTTATCCTAACCAATAATCTATATTTAATTTATAGATATCTCTTCTTCTACTACTACTTCAGTCTATTCTTCAGTTTTAATTAATTGCTATTTTTGATTATAGCAAGATTTTTTTGGTTATTGATAATTGAACTATTACTATTCAATTTGCAGTTTTCTTTAGAGTATGATTGCTTTTAACTCATCTAATGGTAATAGTCCACCATCTTCTCTATTTATTTGCTTTTTATTAGTTAGATTCATATCTATTTCCTACTGACTTTCCTTTATTTTGTCTTAGTTTTCTAAATCTATTATTTCTGTTAATACTGTTTATTTATTGTTATTTGATTTCATCTCTTATTCATTTCTATGAGATCTGCCTTTCTCTATACTGTATTAATTACGCTTTCCATTTATTTTTGTGTTATCAAATGAAATTTGTTAACTTTCTTTGTTTGTTTTTTTGCTCTAGAATTAAAAGTCATAAATTCTATTAGCCAATGATATTGCGTATATGTATTCATTATAATAATTTACTATTAAAAATAATAATAATTGAAATTATTTTTCTGTAAAAAATATCAAATAAAATATAAAAATATCAAATATTTTCTTTATTTCTACTAATTTTTACCTAAAATCGCTGTTACTAAAATAAATATTTGAGCGAACCCTCCAATGTAAGAGATAATCTAACTAATTTTTTGAAATGCCCTGTTTGTTCGATAAACAAAAGGATCTTTTCTGATAAAGAAATCGGCATATGAATTTCCAATCTACCCAAAGACATATTATGGTCTATAGTTACCATTCTGAAAAGATATAATTGTTTCGTTTGTTAGGCTAGGAAAAGGAAGCAGACTTTGATCAGTTTGGATAAGGTTTTCACTAAAGTAAATATCAGAAGTTATGTATGACTATTTTGAAAAAATACTTTTTAATATAACAATTCCTCATAAATAAATAAATTACATTCTTATTTTGTATCTAAAAAAAAATAGAATCTTCAATGTAATTACTCACATAATTCTTACTATCGAGTGCATTTATAACAAAATTACTTGTGTAAATGTTGAATCTGATATTTTGAGTTTTGTTAAAATACGTCTATATTTATTCATCGCTCTAACAAACAGGTCTCCAAAGAGCTGTTGGCAGGGTATTATTAGAGCATTTTGTAATAGAGAATTTCCAATGATAAAAATGCTCTGAATTATAAGATCCTCCCAACAAAAACTGATAGTCTTTTCTATTTAATTAATTTTTAAGTTACTCATAAATTTATTTGTGTTTATTTATTTATTGTTTTTTTTCAAAAACTTCTTCTAAAAAATAAATAATTACGTTGGGCAAAGAAATTATTTAAAGTTAAATCTGTAAAAGGAGTCTGTCCAATTGACACCATATTAAGGCAGTTGAGACCAGTGCTCTGGAGTACATGGTTCTAGTTACGTAGGATACTAAATTAATTTATTTTTAAATAATAAGTTGTTTTGTAATAATTCCATAAATTGTTACAAGATTTCTAATTTTTGTCCCATTTTACAAAGTTACATAATCTCTTGTCTCGAATGTGACATTTAGGTAGGGATTTTATAAAAAATTATCTTAACTTATTTAAACAGCAAACATAAAATTCTTAGCATTTAGTGTTACAACAGGAGGATCCAAGTAGAACTGTTTATTTGTGATAGCAAGAACATTTTCTAATCAAATAATTAAATTTCATTAAAAAATTGAAAATTTACTAGTAAATTGATTGTTTAATGTCATGCATTAATTTTTTAAATTTTAGTAACCTTTAAAATTAATTAATTTTTGGTTCAACCAAATCAATATTTTATTGAACAAAATATCTTTGTATGAAACTCACTTTTATAATAAAATTTCTTTTTATCTTTATTTGTTTTCTCTGATTTTATTTAGTCTTTCATTTTTCAAATGATATATCCGAAACATTTCAACGATAATTGTAATAAGCATAAATTTTTACCTTTGTTTAGAAATGAGAAAATCTAAATTATATTAAAATAAAAATAGTTTTTCCTTGTTTTAAACAAAATTTATTTTATTTACGCTGTTCCAAAAGAAGATCCCTAAGAATACAAAAAAACCTAAACTCATGAATCCTCCAAATGTTGTTTTGAATATGTTATCTTTTTAATAGTTTAGTCCTACTTCAGAACCAAATATGTCAAATTTTGCAAAACTTTTTACGATGAAGTTAGTCATTTACTTTTTTTTTTAATTTTAATGATTAATATTGTTAATTAATCATTTATAAATGAAAAACTTAAGCTTTTATTTCATCATTTTTTTCTGCTCAAAAAATATATTAAATCAAGCAAAAAAATAGGAGATAAAAACAAACGTGCAAAAATATAATTTTTACTTCAATTTTAATTAATTGTTTGCTTGAATTTACAAAAATATCAATGGCTAATATTCTTTGTTAATTAATTAAATTATTTGAGTACTTGAAAAGTGTAATTTTATCAAAAAAAATAGTAAAAATTCATTATGGAAAAATCAAAAAAGCAATACAAAACTTACATTAATTTTTAAACAAAAGATAATATAATTTTAATTAATAAATTTAATATCTAAAAATATATTTATCTTTTCAAGTTATTAGTAAATTAATACATGCAAACAAAAGGTTTACGAAAGTTAAGATATTTTTTATCAAAATATATCAGAACGAATTAGAAAAATTTTTAAATTTAAATTTATAAATTTTTCTAGTAATGATGATCAATAATTATTGAACTAAATATAGTTTCTATTTTAATTAATCATTTTCTGTTTATTTGAAAATAAAATACAATAAATTTGTTTAAAATTATAATAATATTTAATAAAAATGTTACAAATTAATAAATAAAATAAATTTATTTCTTTATTTTGATCATAAACATATCATTTATATCTTATTTATTTAGAAGCACAAACATATCTAATTAAAAAATATGAATAAAAAAATTTAAATTAATTAAGTGAAATTAATTTAGTTTAAAGCAAAGAAAAAGACTTTCATTATAAACATTTATTTTATTTCATTTAGTTATATAAACTCAAAATTTGTATAGAAACAGCATCTTTTTTGAGTTTATTTAACCAAAATCAAATAAAAATAATTGATATGAATCAAAGTTTAAAATTAATCTGAGAAAATCTAAGATAATAAACTGGATTTATCAATAAGATAACCTACTTAAAAATATTTCTTTTAAATATCAGAGATTATGACCTAGTCCAATATCTGTTATCACCAAGAGACCCTTACTTTTCTCGACAGATACACAATACCACTATAACCAAAAATAACTATCCATGGTAAACCTAATCCTCAGTAACCCTTATATCCCTACCCAAAGATTTTCACATTATCAAACATTTACAATAGTTTAAAAAATGTTACTTTTAATTAGAGTTGAATGCCTTTTTAATCTTGGATAGGCCATCTATACTAATTAATATTTAATTAAAAGAAATTTAGATAAATTTTTAGATGAAAAAAAAAAGATTAAATTTTGAAAATCTTTGTAAATTAAATCTTTGATTAAACATTTTTAATTTTTTTTGTTTGTCTGTTTAGGTTCAAAACAAACCTATTTCGATACCTTTATTTATTATTTTAATTTATAAATTAATATTTACTATTCTAACCAATATTTATTTTCGACTAGAGAAATAATTATTCAAGAATAGCAATAAATGAGATTTTAATATATATAAAATACTCCCCTCATTAGTTAATTGACTAAAACAGAAAAATCTACTAAATAAAAATAATTATATTCAAAATTAAGTACTTTGATTACAACATTTTTTTCAACATAAATATACCAAACTCTAATTCTTATTATATATTTTAGGATACATTTTCAATATTAATATTAATATTTTAAAACAAATGTTTCACTAAGTTTTTTATAATATATTTTCTTCCTAAAAGCAAATTTATAAATTAATATTTGATAATTATAAAAATTTACTGTTTATTTTATCTAAATTAATTTGAAATAAAAGTAGATTTATTTTTTTTAATAAATTTATTTATAATTAATTTTTATAAATTGCTATTCAACATTTTTGAAATAATAAAAATAAATGAAACCATAGAATATTTATTTTGAAGATCTAGAAGAAGTGAATATTTATTTTATTATTTATATTCTTTAAATTTATTTTTGCTAATAAAAAAAGTTTTTAAGCTCTTCTCTTTAGTCTAATTAGAGTATCCATATTGTTCTGAGGTTTATCTAATTTATTAAGACTATTTTTACTATTATTTATTACTATTTTATATTTAATTTTCAAATTATTTACATATTATTTTTTAAATAAAATTCTCATTAATATTCATTCATTTTTATTTATAAAACATTTTTTAATTATTTTGACTTAATTAATTTTCACACAATTTTTATTTTTACTTTTATTTTTAATTAACTATTCATTTTTTAATACTTTTATTTTATCTCCAATATTTAAAAAGGAGTAGTAATATTCGTGCAATTCGTGCATCAAGCTTAGGTTCTCATTTAGCAAACTGCACTAATCTCTCAAATTTGATACTTTGTCTTATGTAAAACAGTTTATTTATTTTGAATTCTTGGTATTTTTTTAATATAAAAATGAATTTAAAACAATATAACTAGCTATTTTAATTTAGTTCATTGTTTTTATTTAACTTATTTTTCTTATTTTATTCTGATTGAATTTTATTTTTCTTTATTTGTTTATTTGTTAAAAAAAAATCATTTTTTCATTTTAAACTTTTTCCTATATTATTGATTAATTAGTTCGTTCGTTTCTTATTAATTGATATTTTTCTTGATTTACTTTTTATCCAACTAATTAGTTCTTTATTTTCTCTTTAATATTTATAAAGTAACAATCAAATGGGTGATGAAGGTGTATCAAGTTTAGGTTTTGGTTTAGGAAAGTGCATTAATCTCTCAGATTTGACTCTTGAACTTTCGTAAAAATAATTTATGTGTTTTGGATTCTGATATTTTTAATATAAAAATTAACTTAAAACAACAAAACTAACTATTTTATTTTATTTATTTATTTGCTTTTTATTGATTCATTTTTCTTATTTTTATTCCTCTTGTGTTTTTTTTCTTTCTTTGCTGATTTAACTCATTTTTAATTTTCAACTTCTGATATTATTACAAATTGTTTTAATTTTTATCATTTCATATTTTTTCTTCATTTTGTTCTAAGTAACTAATTAACTATATATTTTTTCTTCAATATTTAAATAGAGAAAATTAAATTGGTGCAATTGGTGCATCAGGCTTATGTTCTGGTTTAGGAAAATGCTCTAATCTCTAGAATTTGACACTTCAACTTCAGTAAAAATATTTAATTTGTTTCGGATTGTGATATTTTTTAATGTTAAAATGAATTTAAAACAAATAAACTCTTTAAATTTATTTATTTCTTTTTTTATTCACTTTTGCTGATATTATAAATTAATTTATTTCTTATTATTTGATATTTTTCTTAATTTTTTCCTTCTAATTTACTTATTAACTATATCAACATTTATAAAGGCGAAATCAAATTGGCGAAGAAGGTGTATCAGACTTATGTTTTGGTTTAGGATAGTGCACTAATCTCTAAAATTTGGCACTACATCTTGAGTAAAAACAGTTTATTTGTTTTATATTCTGATATTTGTCAATGATAAATGAATTTAAATCAATCTAGCTCTAATTTATTAATAGCTTTTTATTTAATTAATTTTTCTTTTTTTCTTATTTTAATTATGTTTTTTTTATTTTTTCTATGTTAATTTAACTCATTAGTTAGTTTTCAACTTTTACTATTTTTATTTATTAATTTCTAATTGTTTAATATTATTATTATTTTTTAAACGAATTAACTAAATATTTTTATTTAATATTTAAAAAGGTCTAATAAAATTGGCCCAAAGGGTGCATCATTTTTAGGTTCTGGTTTAGGAAAATGCGCTAATCTCTCTAAATTGACACTTTATCTTTAGTAAAAACAGTTTATTTTTATAATTTTAAATATAAAAATGTATATAAAACAATTTAAATAACTATTTTAATTTCGTTATTGCTTTTTATTTCATTTATTTTTCTTTTCATATTTTATTTTATTTGTGTTTTTTTCACTTCTTTCTCACTTATTAACAATATATTGTTTAACCAACACTTAAAAAGTAACAATAATATTGGTAATGAAGGGTCAGCAGGCTTAGGTACTGGCTTAGGAAATAGCTCTAATCTCTCAAGCTTGATACTTAAAATGAAGTAAAAACTGTTTATTTGTTTAGGATTGTGATATTTTTTAAAATAAAAATGATTTTAAAACAAAATAAATAATTCTTTTTATGTATGTATTGGTTTTTTATTTGATTTATTTTTCTTTTTCAACTTTTGCTTTTATTTTTAATTCATTAATTAATTTCATATTATTTCGTTCTAACTTTCTACAATATTTAAAAAGAGATAATAATATTGGTGCAATTGGTATAAGTAGTTTAGGTTATGGCTTGGGAAAATGCAATAAACTCTCATATTTTGAACTTTCTCTTGAGTAAAAACAGTTTATTTGCTTTTGATTGAGATATTTTTTAATATAATAATTTTTGAAAACAATAAAACTAAATTTTTAAATTTATTTATTTATTTTTCTTTTTATTTATCTAAAATTTTTTGTCTTCTTTCTTTGCTTGTTATTTATTTAACATATTTTTTTATTTTCAACCTTTTTTTATTTCTAATTTATTAATTATTTATTATTTAATATTTTTTCTTAATTTAAAAAGGGGTAATATTATTTGTGCAACTGGTGCATCAGGCATAGGTTCTGGTTTAGCAAAATGCACTACCCTTTCAAATTTAATACTTTATCTTAGGTAAAAACAGTTTATTTGTTTTGAATTGTGATATTTTTTTATATAAAAATGAATTTAGTAATTAATAAATTTATTTTTTAATATTTCATATTTTTTCTTCATTTTTTACTTCTAATTTACTAATTAACTTATATTTTTTCTTAAATATATAAAAAGGAGTAGTAATATTGGTGGAAATAGTGTATCAGGCTTAGGTTCTGGTTTAGCAAATTGCACTAATCTTTCAAATTTGACAATTTATTTTGAGTAAAAACATTAATTTTTTTTTTTTTATGATACTTTTTTAATATAAAAATGAATTTAAAATAATATATCTAACTTTTTTAATTTAATTATTAATTATCTATTTATTTGATTTATTTTTTTTTTATTCTGGTTGTGTTTTTTTTCTTTCTTTGTTTCTTTGTTAATTTATCTCGCTTTTTCTTTTTCAATTTTTGTTTTTTTTATTAATAAATTTATTTTTTATTATCTTTCTTCGTTTTTTCACATTAATTATTAACTAATTAATAATATATTTTTCCTTTAATACTTAAAAAGGTCTAATTAAATTGGCGATGAAGGTCTATCATACTTAGGTTATGGTTTAGGAAAATGCACTAATCTCACAAATTTGACACTTTATCTTGAGTAAAAACAGTTTATTTTTTATTTTTGGATTCTGATATTTTTTAATATATAATTGAATGAAATAATATAAATAATTTTTTTAATTTATTTATTAGCTTTTTATTTGATTTATTTTTCTGTTTTTATTTATTTGTTTTATTTTATTTTTTATTTGTTTGTTTGTTAATTACACTCATTTTTTCTTTATCAATTTTTGTTTTTATTATTAATAAAGTAATTATTCTTTTATTATTTCATATTATTTCTTCATTTTATCCTTCAAATATAACTAATTGACAATATATTTTTTCTTCAATTTTTAAAAAGGGCCAATAATATTGGAGGTGATGCAGGCTTTGGTTCTGGTTTAGCAAATTGCACTAATCTCTCAAATTTGACACTTTGTATGAGGTAAAAACAGTTTACTTGTTTTAATTTCGATTTTTTTGATATAAAAAATGAATTTAAAACAGTATTACTCTTTGAATTTATTTTTAAACTTTATTCTGACTACGTTTTCTTATATTTTCCTTTTTTTATTTGCTAATTCAACTCCTTTTATCATTTTTTTTTGCTTTTATTATTGATTAATTCGTTTCTTATTACCATATTACCTTTTCCCTCGACTCTCATTTCTCATAAAAAAGGAATGAGGTATTAAGATTTTTAGTAAAAATCAAAAGTGAAAGATAAAAGAGGTATTTAAATATCAAAAAAACATTATATTAAACATGAAAAAACATAATTATTATTAAAAATAATTTGTAATATCGCCTTAAAGCTGTGTATCAAGCTTAGGTTCTGGTTTAGGAAAGTGTACTAAACTCTCTAATTTGACACTTCATCTTGAGTAAAAAACAATTTATTTGTTTATGATTTTGATATATTTTATTTATTTGATTTTATTTATTCTGCTTATGTTTTCTTATTTTTTTCTTTGTTTATATGCTTGATTGTTAATTTAACTCATTTTTTCATTTTTAAAATTTACTTTTACCATTAAATGATTTGTTTTTTATTATTTTATTTTTTATTTTTTCTTCATTATTTCTATCTATCTAACTAACAAATTAAATATTTATTTTTTCTTCAATATTTAAAAAGTAACAATAAAATTAGTGCAACTGGTGGATCAAGCTTAGGCTCTGGTTTAAGAAAGTGTGCTAATCTTTCAAATTTGACACTTTATCTTGAGTAAAAACAATACTACTTAGAATTGTTATATTCTTTAATATAAAAATGGATTTAAAACAAAATAACTGACTAGCTAATATAATTTATTTATTTTTTCATATTTGATTTAATTTTCCTTTTTTTTTCTGCTTGTATTTTCTTATTTTTTTCTTTCTTTCTTAATTTAACTTATGATTTTATTTTTAACTTTTTCTTTCATTATTAATTAATTTTTTATTATTTCTTATGTTTTTTCATTTTTTCCTTCTAACTAAGTCATAAACTTTATTATTTTTCTTTAATATCTAAAAAGTAACAATAAAATTGGTCAAACTGGTGCATCAGGTTTAGGTTCTTGTCTAGGAAAGTGTACTCATCTCTCAAATTTAACACTTCATCTTCAGTAAAAAACAGTTTATTTATTTTTGATTGTGATATATTTTATTATAAAAATAAATATAAATCAATTTAATTATTTGAATTTATTTATGAGCTTTTTATTCTATTTATTTTTTAATTCCTATCTTAATCTAACTCATTTTTCATTTCAAACATTTAAATTTATTTTATGAATTTATTTCATATTATTTCATTTCTATTCTTTCTTCATTTTTTCCATTTAAATAAATAATTACCTAAATTGTTTTTCTTCAATCTTTAAAAAGTAACAATAAAATTGGTGATGAAGGAGTATCAGGTTTAGGTTCTGGTCTAGGGAAGTGTACTAATCTCTAAAATTTAACACTTAAACTATCGTAAAAACAGTTTATTAATTTTGGATTCTGATATTTATTAATATAAAAATAAATTTAAATCAATATAACTCTTTTAATTTATTTTCTTTTTTGTAATATTGCTTGATTTTTTTATTTTTTCTTTCTTTGTTTGATTGCTAATTAACTCATTTTTTATTTTCAAATTCTTTTTTTTAATTGCTTCATATCTTATTATTTCATTTTATTTCTTTATTTTTTTACTCTAAATAGCTGATTAACTAAATATTTTTTCTTCATTATTTAAAAAGGAAAAATTAAATTGATGCAAATGGTACATCAGGTTTATGTTCTGGTTTAGGAAAGTGCACTAATCTCTCAAATTTAACACTTCATCTTAAGTAAAAACAGTTTATTTGTTTTAGATAGTGATATTTTTAATATACAAATTAAAAAACTTTTTTAATTTATTTTATTTATAATCTTTTTATTTGATTTTTTATTATTCTAAAGTTTTTTATTATTTTCTTGTTAGCTAATTTAACTCATTTTTTCATTTTTTATTAATTCATTTCATATTTTTTCTTCATTTTTTCCTCCTAACAAATAAATCAACTCTTTATTTTTTCACCAATATTTAAAAAGGGGTAATAATATTGGTGCAGCTGGTAAATTTGGCTTATGTTCTGGTTTAGGAAAGTGCACTAAACTCTCCAATTTGGCACTTTATCTTTAGTAAAACAGTTTATCTTTTTGGATTCTGATATTTTTGAATATAAAATTAGATTTAAAGCAATAAAAATAATTAACTCTTTCTATAGATTTATTATCTTTTTATTTTATTTATTTTTACTATTTTTTTATTGTGCTAATTTTATTATTTATTGATTTAGAATATAATTTTTTAATTTAAAAACTTTATTCAATTTATTTGTAGTTATTTACACTAATTCCTATTAATAGGTATTAAAAAGACAATTAAACTTAATAACTAATATTAAAGTGTATCAAATCAAAAAGATTAGTTAAATTTCTAGTAAGTTTTTGTTGGTGATAAAAATGTGGCGAAAAACTGATGAATAAAAATAAAAATATTTGAATAATATAATATAAAATGTTTTATTTTATATATTTTGTAATTGGATAATTAAAAAAAATAGATATTTATTATGTTTTAGAAAAAAGTGAAAAATCTAGCCCTCTAAGTAAAATGCCTGGAGAAGAAAAGTTAGTATGTTAAATATCAATTTCGAATTTATTGGCTATAAATGCCCCCATTTATTATATCTAGATAAAAACAGTTTATTTGATTTGATTGTGATATTTTTAATAAAATAAATTTAAAACAATATAACTTTTTTAATTTGTTTATTTGATATTTTTTTTCTCTCATTTCCTTTATTGCTAATTTAACTATTTTTTTATTTTTCAACTTTCACTTTTATTATTAATTAATTAATTCCCTTCTTATTATTTCATTTCATATTTTATCTTGATTTTTCATTATTGATTTTTAAATCCTACTTTTTTTCGATTATCGATACTTCAATCGTTTGTTTTTTCAATCATAGATATTTAAATCCTCTTAATTTCTAATTATCAATTATCATAAAAAGATTCTCTAATCGATATGTATCGATTAAGATCACTGAATGAAACGATCAAATTGTTTTTTCAAAAGTTTTTCTTGGGAAATTTTCCAAGCGGTTTTGGAAAAAGTAATTTATGTGTTAGACTGACAGAATAATTATGAGATGATAATTACTTAGTTTTTTGCTTTACCAATATTAGCTGTGATAACTTGAGAAAATTAGGTATCAAGAATATTTAGACTGATAAAAAACCACAAATAAATATAAAAATATATTCGAATTATATATAATAAGATTTATTTTTATATATTTTGTATAGGATAACTTAATCTAAAATATAGATAGAAAGATTTATTTTTATAATAATAATTTCAATATTTTGGTAAATTAATAGATTACTTATTAAACAAAACAAAATTTAAGAATTAAATTTACTTAAGTAAAGTAACAGAACTTTTAGAGTAATTTTTAATCAAATAATTTTATAAAGAGGGTTTTTAGTTTTAAATTCATGCAATGTATGTAAGTTTATGTTTGTATAAATAAATTTTAACTATTTTTATTGACAATATTAATTAATCAAAATTCCAAAAAAGCTAAATTATTTAAATTTAACTTTAAAAATATAAAATATAAATTTATTACTTATAGTTTTATAAAATAAATTCTAAACTATTTATTCATTATTAGCTTTAATAAGAGCCTAATTTTCTTTCAGTTGAAGGTATTGAAGTTATTTATTCAGAGAAAATCTTTCTTTTGTTATTTAAATCTACTAACTCGATTTATTATTAAATCTTATTTTAATGTATCATTTATGTAATATTCTACTTTTAATTTACTTTTCCTTTGTTAGCCAACGTTTTATATAAAATTTAAAAAATTAATTTAGATACTTTTGATAAAAAAATTTACATTGTGGAGATCTCAAATATATTTTACAACTCATCACCAAGAAGTTCTATTAATTTTTTATTCAACCTAAAAAATAAATTAAATTTTAATTATAATATTTTATTGAGTGAATATTTTACTAGCTGTTTTATCCATCAGCAATAAGCTATTCATATGCAGTGTAGAGCATATTGTAAGTGTTAAGTGTTTTATATTCATTTACCTTAGAGATTAAAGGTTTTTTAAATTTAGTGGCAGCCTTTTGTACTATTGCTGCTATTCTTATACTTATATTTAGCTTTTTTTATTTGTATTAACTCATCCTATGAGTTCTTACATTCTATTAAGAGTCTTTCATTTTACTTTCTTTTAATTATTCTTCTATATCTGCCCTTGTTAGATTTTCTTCTTCGTTTTACACAGAAATCACAGGTTTAGGGAAGAAATTAAAAAGAATTTATTAGTTTTTGTCTAAAAATAGCTTTTTAAATTTCTCAATTTCCTTTATTCTATTGACGATTGTAAATATATCCAAATCTTTTTTCATCTATTAATTGACTTTATCTAATAGTAAAACTTATTCGGTCTTGAAAAACTTTTGGCATGTAAGTTTATATAAAAAGTATTTAAAAGTCATTTTAAGAGTAGATTGCTTTCTGAGCAAAAATTCAAACTCTTTTTAGAGGAATTACTTTTAGTTTTAAAATCCAAGACCATGCAAGAGAATATTATTTTATGAAAAGAATTTAGATTTTGGGGTATCTTTTGCTAAATTGCTATTGGGTGTGTTTATAATGTTTGAATTTTAATTGTAAGTAAATTATATATTTTCGCAAGAATTCACGTCTTAGTTCAAAGTTTAAATCTTTAAAACTTATTTAATATTACTATTTGGCTGTTCTTAAAAGCTGCTTTTAAACTCATATTAATCTAACTAGGTAGTTTGTCTTGTATTTTCAACAATATTTGTCATTTTATCTTCATTTTTTGTATTAATGTCTTTTAATGAAAATAAATCTCTTTTCTCAATTTCCAAAGGACTATCAGGATGAATACTTTCATTCATTATATTTTTAGATTCAATCCTATGTGCAGGAGAAACTTAGTGTTCGTTATGAATTTTAATATCATATGTAGGTTAAATATCATCAATTTTTTTAATTATTGAGTCTTTATCCTTATCAATAATCTATACTTAATTTATAGTTACCTCTTATTACTCGTACACAGTATCTTCTTCAGTTTTAATTAATTGTTTTTTTTGATTCAAAGCAGATAATTTATGATTTTACTATTACTATTCAAGTTATAGTTTTCTTAATAGTATAATTGCTTTCAACTCATCGAAAGGTAGCAACCCATCATCTTCTCTTTTAATTATCTTTTTTTAGTTTTTGTTAGCTATATTAATCTCCATTTTCTATTAGCCATCCTTTTTAATGCCTTACTTTTCTAAATCAAGCTAGTCTGTTTGAACAATCTAATTGTGATTTGATTTCGTCTCAAAAGAATTCTTTTTAGTTATGCTTTCAAATCTACTTGGCTTATATTATCCGTCGCTTTTGCGATTATCATTATTTTATGACACAGGTTAAGTTTATTTACTCTTTTTTCCTTAATTGCTTGAAAATTAAAAGTCATATATTTTATTGGCCAATGATATTGTACAAACGTATTCATTGTACTAATTAACTATTTTAAATAAAATTATTTTAATAAATCATCTCTTTATTTTATTTTTTATAAAATATTTTTTACCTAAAATAGCTGTAACTAAAATAAAAATCTGAGCGAATCCTCCAATGTAAGAAATAATCTAGCTAATTTTTTGAAAACTTCTATTTGTCTTGTAAACAAAAGGATCTTTTCTGATAAAAAAATCTGCAAATACATCTCCAACCTACCCAAATGTGTATTAAGGTCTAAAGTTTCCTGCTTGAAAATTTACAATAGTTTCATTTAATATACTAGGAAAAGGTAGCAGACTTTGGTCAGTTTCGATAACATTTTCGCTAAAGTAAATATCTGATGTAATGTATGACTAATAATTCATAATAAATTTCTTTCATTTTAATGTTTTTCAAATAAATAAACAAAGGAGGAAAGAAAGAAAGAAATAAATAAATAAATTGATTGATTACATTTTTATTTTGTATTTAAAAGAAGAGAGAATCTTCAACATAGCTATTTACATAATTTTTGCTTTCCAGAGCATTAATAACGAAATTGCTAGTATATAATTTAAATCTAATATTTGGAGTCTTATTGAAATATGTTTCAAATTGTTAATTGCTCTTGCAAGTAGGCCTCCAAAGAGCGCTTGGAAGAGTATTGTTTTAACATTTAGTGACAGAAAACCTCCAATGATAGAAGTTTTTTGAAATGAATGTCCCTCCTAAGATAAATTCATAATCTTTTCTATATTATTTGAAGGTTACATATTAATTTATTCATTATTTTGCTTTTAAGAGCTTATTTTTTAGTAATTCTAAAATAATTACGTAGGACAAAGAAATTGTTCCAGACCGTTTTTGTAGAATGCCTCTGTCCAATTAAATCCATTTTTAGGCAATTAAGACCAATGCTCTGGTGTACATGGTTCTAGTTAAGTAGGATACTTTTTTAATTAGTTTTAGAGTTGATATGTATTTATTAATATTGCAAATAGTTAATTACAATCTTTTTTATTCTTGTTCCGTTGGGAAAAGTAACAAAATCTCTTGTTTCAAAAGTGATATTCAGATAGGGACTTTAAATGAAATCATCTTAGCTAATTTAAACAGCAAACATAAAATTTCTTGGGTTAAGAGCAACTGTAGGTGGATCTGAAGAGAACTACTTATTCGTGGTGGCAAAAACGTTTTCTTATCAAATAAAATAATATTAAAAATTCGCTAAATTTACTAGTAAATTTTTAGTTTAAATATCTCAAATTTAAATTAAATTTCAGAAAGTAACCTTAGAAAAAAAAATTAATATTTTCCAGTTTATTTCACCCAAATCAAATGTTGTTTACTGTATCAAATTTAATTAAAAACATAAACTTTTATAATAATATAGAATCTTAACATTGGTCTTTTTGGATTTTTTTTTGGTGTTTATATTTTGTTTGATTTATCTCTTAAACGATCTTTCTAAAAACTCACAATAAAGGCAGTATCAAAAATCAGTATTTATTTATTTACCTTTGTACAGAAATGAGAAAATCTAATTTTAAAAAATATCAAATTTTACTTTTTTTCAAAGTAACAAAACATTTAAATTACGCTCTCCCAAAAGAATACTCCTAAGAATGCAAAAAAACCTAAAGTCATAAATCCTCCAAATGTTGTCTTGAATATGTTATCTTTTTAATAATTCAGTCCTACCTCAGAACCAAAAATATCAAATTTTGCAAACGTTTTTGTAATATAATTTGTCATTTACTTTTCTTTTAATAGTTTAATTATTTTTTTTATAAATTATAATTTAAATGGATAGTATTTAAAAATACTTAATAATAATATGTAAGAAGAAATATTATCAATATAAACCAGAAAAAATCTACTTAATTTAAAATAATTAGATCTAGTTAAGTTCAGTTTTTTTTGATAATTTTGTATACTTCTTGGTAATACTAAAAATATTGGATATACCGTAAATCCTCATAAATTATCACCAGTAAACATAAATTTTCACCATATTTTCTGAATATTTATTCACCATATAGTACTCCTAAAGTTTTGGGGTGGCTGGTGAGAATTAATGAGGATTTAAGGTAATTAATTTATCCTATTGTGTATTTTTTTTAAAATATGCAAGAAAATCTAATTAAAATTTTTTTAACTTCTTAATAGAATATCTTCGTTAATCCGTCTGATATTTTCTTTTTCAAATAAGAAAAATATCTAATTCAAAACCAATCATTCAAAAATTAGCATTCAATTTATTAAATAATAATTTCAGAAATCTTATCAAAAAAATAGGATATAAATAAAAAGAAAAAAAACATTCTAGCTTTAATTAATTTTTTCTAGTAAATAGTAAATGCAAAGTATTAACCTTAAAATATTCTTATAGAATGCATGATTATTTAATCAAGAGTAAGCTCGCATAGTAATAACATGAATATTTTTAAATATTAAGTCAAGATTTCTTCATAAAAGGCTACTTTATAGCAACATTTTTAACAACATTTTAATAGCTTAATAACTATATTTATAAATCTTAATTTAAAATAGAAATACTTAGAAAAAAATAAAAATACGATCAACAACTATTAATTCATGTATATTTAAAGGAAAAAATGTCTTTGAAAAAATTTTCAATAAATATTTTTAAGAACTACAATTTAGTTTAAGAAATAAAAAGAGATTTGAATATTAATTAGATGTTGTTGATTTGGTAAAAATTAATTAAAATAAAAATAATGCAAAGTCAACATTAAATTCAAATTATTTCACTTTACACTTAATTTTAATGCTTAAATAAAATTATTTTAGGTTTTATTTAATATTCTAATTTTTTTGAATTTTTAAACCTATTTATATAAAATAAATAAATAAATAAATATCTACTATCATTCCTGAAATTTTAGTTCAGTTTATTAATTAAAATTAATTATGTTTTTTGATAAGAATAAAATTCTTTCATTTTTTCCCTCTAACTAAATTAAACACCAATTGAATTTTCACTTTTTAAATATTGAAGACAAATTATATCATTAAATTGTTAATTGGAAGGAAAAAATGAAGAAATAATATGAAATAATAAGATTAATTAATTAATTAATAATAAAAGTAAAAGTTGAAAATAAAATGATGAGCTAAATTAACAAAAAAAGTAAGCACAATAAAAAGAAAAAGAAAAAAGAGTTTTATTGTTTTTAATTAGTTTTTATAATTAAAAATATCACAATCCAAAACAAATAAACTGTTTTTACTCAAGGTTAAGTGTCAAATTTGAGAGATTCTCGCAATTTTCTAAAGCAGAAGCTAAGCCTGATGCACCCTTTGCACCAATTTAATTGAAACTTTTTAAATATTGAAGAAAAAATATATCATTAAATAGAGTAGGTTACCATACAAATTTACAAAAAGCGAGTTTTATATACCAGTTTTTACATTTTATAAAATTAAAATTTTAAATATTTTTTATGAATAATTTTCCATCCTAGGTTTTAAAAATTTATTTTTTTCAAAATAAAAAGTTATGTTATGCTTTCTAAAAATTAGCTTTATTTATAATGTTATTAAGATATAAATTAAATAGGTATTTCATTCTATCTAGCTAATAGGAGGAAAAAATGAAGAAAAAATATGAAATAATAAGATTAATTAATAAAACTAACAAAGAATGAAAAAATAAGAAATCATAATAAAAAGAATAAGGAAAACAAATTAAATAAATAAAAAGATCTATAATGTTTTAAATTAACTTTTATAATTAAAAATATTACAATGTAAAACAAATAAATAGCTTTTATTAAGTGTAAGTTTTAATAGCAAAAAATTAAGAAAAAATATCAAATAATAAAAAATGAATAATAAATAAATAAATAATTAAAAATTTAAATGAAAATTAAGCTAAGATGGCTAAAAAATTTTAGTTTTAACAAAAATCATTAAATAATGATGATGATTTCTTTTATAAAAATTATTATATTAAAATAAATTGAAAATTAAATATACAAAAAATCTTAATTAAAATAAAAACAATATTTTTTAATTAAATATACCTCAGATCAATATGGAGAACCTAATGAGATAAAAGTGAAGAGCTTACAAACTTTTTTTATTAATTTATATAAATTTAAAGGATTTTAATAAAAAAATTAATAATTACTTCTTCTAATTTATAATATTTTTTATTCTATTATATCATTTTTTTTATCAAAAATATTGAATAACAATTTATGAAATTTAATTAATTAATTATAAATGGATAAAAAGAACAAATAAATATAATAATTAATTAATTATCAAATATTAATTTACATATTTGGTTTTATTAAGAGATATCACAGAAAAATTAATTTAACATTCACTATTTAAACTTAATATTTGTATTTAAAACATATAATTAAAAATATAGTAGGAATTAGAGATGGCCAGTTATTATTTAGTCATATTTGAAAAAAATCTAGTAGTTAATGCTCTTTAATATTATAAAAATAATGTTGTTAGTAGATTTTTCTGTTTTAGCTCTGTAATTTTAGGGATATTTATAATATCCCTAATTATAGCAAAATGCCATTCAAAAATTTCATGGTTTGCATGCCACTTATAATGAAATATATTTTTTATTTATTTATTTATTAAAAAATCTGATTTATATATATTTTTTTTTAAATAGAATTATAATTAATTAATAATTTAATTTATTATAATTTCAAAAATAAATAATTTTTTTACATTTAAATTTTTAAATTGAACTAAATGATAATTACTTGGGTTTGTGCTTCACCAATGTTACCTGGGATAAATTGAGAAAATAAGGTATCAAAATGTTTAGACTGATAAAAAAGTAGAGAAAAAACGATAAATAAATATAAAAATATATTTGAAATATATAAAATAAGTTTTTTTTTTTATATTTTGTATTGGATAACTTAACCAAAGATATAAATAGAAAGATTTGTTTTTATATTAATAATTGTGAAATTTTGGTAAATTAATATATTACTGTAATAATTTTATAAAGAGGGTTTTTAATTATAAATCCATGCAATTTATGTAAGTTTGTTTATGTATGTTATCATAAATTTTAACTATTCTTATATACAATATTAATTAACCAAGATTCAAAAAAAAGTTAAATTATTTAAATTTAACTTTAAAAATGTAAAATAAATTTATTACTAATAGTTTTATTATATAAATTCTTAACTACTTTTTCATTATTAGTTTTAATAAAACCCTAATTTTCTTTCTGTTGAAGGCAAGGAAGTCATTTATTCAGAGAAAATATTTCTTTTACTATTTAAATCTGCTAACTCGATTTATTATTAAATCTTATTTTAATGTATCATTTATGTAAAATTCTACTTTTAACTTATTTTTCCTTTGTTAGCCAACCTTTATATAAAATTTAAAAAATTAATTGAGATACTTTTGATAAAAAAATTTACATTGTCGAGATCTCAAATATATTTGACAACTCGTCACCAAGAAGTTCTATTAATTTTTTATTAAACCTAAAAAACAAATGAAATTTTAATTATAATATTTATTGAGTGAATATTTTACTTGCTGTTTTATCCTTCAGCAATAAGCTATTCATATGCAGTGTAGAGCATATTGTAAGTGTTAAGTGTGTTGTATTCATTTACCTTAGAAATTAAAGGTTTTTTAAATTTATTAGCAGCCTTTTGTACTACTGCTGCTATTTTTATATTTATATTTAGCTTTTTTTACTGGTATTAACTCATCCTTTGAGTTCTTACATTCTATTAAGAGTCTTTCATTTTACTTTCTTTTAATTACTCTTCTATATCTGCCCTTGTTAGATTTTATTCTTCGTTTTACACGGAAATCACAGGTTTAGGGAAGAAATTAAAAAGAATTTATTAGTTTTTGTCTAAAAATAGCTTTTTAAATTTCTCAATTTCCTTTATTCTATTGATGATCGTAAATATATCCAAATCTTTTTTCATCTATTAATTGACTTTATCTAATAGTAAAACTTACTCGGTCTTGAAAAACTTATGGCAGGTGAGTTTATATAAAAAGTATTTAAAAGTCATTTTAAGAGTAGACTGTTTTTTGAGCAAAAATTCAAACTCTTTTTAGAGGAATTACTTTTAGTTTTAATATCCAAGACCATGTAAAAGAATATTATTTTATGAAAAGAATTTAGATTTTGGGGTATCTCTTGCTAAGTTGTTATTGGGTGTGTTTGAGTTTTAATTGTAAGTAAATATATTTTCGCAAGAATTCACATCTTAGTTCAAATTTTAAATCTTTAAAACTTATTTAACATTGCTATTTGGCTATTCTTATAAGCTGCTTTTAAACTCATTTTTATCTAACTAGATAGTTTGTCTTGTATTTTCAATATTTATTATTTTGTCTTCATTTTTAGTATTAATTTCTTTTAATGAAAATAAATCTCTTTTCTCAATTTCCAAAGGACTCTCAGGATGAATGCTTTCATTCATTAAATTTTTAGATTCTATTCTATGTGCAGGCATTTACTATTCGTTGTGTATTCTAAGTTCAGATGTAGGTTAAATATCATCACTTTTCTTAATTATAGAGTCTTTATCCTTATCAATAATCTATACTTAATTTATAGTTACCTCTTATTACTCTTATACAGTATCTTCTTCGGTTTTAATTAATTGTTTTTTTTGATTCAAAGCAGATAATTTCTGTTACTATTAATTTTACTATTACTATTCAATTTATAGCTTTCTTTATAGTATAATTGCTTTCAACTCATCGAAAGGTAGCAACCCATCATCTTCCCTTTTAATTATCTTTTTTTAGTTTTTATTTGATATATTAATCTCCATTTCCTATTAGTCATCCTTTTTGATGACTTACTTTTCTAAATCAAGCTAGTCTGTTTGAGCAATCTAATTGTGATTTGATTTCGTCTCAAAAGAATTCTTTTTAGTGAGGCTTTCAAAAAAACTTGGCTTATATTATCCGTCGCTTTTGCGATTATCATTATTTTATGATAGATATTTAGTTTATTTACTCTTTTTTCCTTCATTGCTTGAAAATTAAAAGTCATAAATCTTATTAGCCAATGATATTGCATAAACATATTCATTGTACTAATTAACTATTTTAAATAAAATTATTTTAATAAATCATAAAAACTTCTCTTTATTTTATTTTAGTTTTTATAAAATATTTTTTACCTAAAATAGCTGTAACTAAAATAAAAATCTGAGCGAATCCTCCAATGTAAGAAATAATCTAGCTAATTTTTTGAAAACTTCTATTTATTTTGTAAACAAAAGGATCTTTTCTGATAAAAAAATCTGCAAATACATCTCCAACCTACCCAAATGTGTATTAAGGTCTAAAATTTCCTGCTTGAAAATTTACAATAGTTTCATTTAATATACTAGGAAAAGGTAGCAGACTTTCATCAGTTTGGATAACATTTTCGCTAAAGTAAATATCTGATGTAATGTATGACTAATAATTCATAATAAATTTCTTTAATTTTGATTATTTTCAAACAAATAAACAAAGAAAGAAATAAATAAATCAATTGATTACATTTTTATTTTGTATTAAAAAGAAGATAGAATCTTCAACATAGCTATTTACATAATTTTTGCTTTCCAAAGCATTAATAACAAAATTGCTAGTATATATTTTAAATCTAATGTTTTGAGTCTTATTGAAATACGCTTCAAATTGTTAATCGCTCTTACAAGCAGGTTTCCAAAGAGCATTTGGAAGAGTTTTGTTTGAACATTTAGTGATAGAAAATTTCCAATGATAGAAGTTTTCTGAAATGTATGTCCCTCCCAACATAAATTCATAATCTTTTCTATATTATTTGAAGGTTACTCATTAATTGATTTATTATTTTGTTTTTAGAGCTTATTTTTTAGTAATTCTAAAAAAATTACGTTGGACAAAGAAATTGTTATAGACCATTTTAGTAGAATGCCTCTGTCCAATTAAATCCATTTTTAGGCAATTAAGACCAATGCTCTGGTGTACATGGTTCTAGTTAAGTAGGATACTTTTTTAATTAGTTTTGATATATAAAGTTGATATGTATTTATTAATATTGCAATTGTTAATTACAAGCCTTTTTGTTTTTGTTCCATTGGGAAATGTGACATAATCTCTTGTTTCAAAAGTGATATTCAGATAGGGACTCTAAATGAAATCATCTTAGTTGATTTAAACAGCAAACATAAAATTTCTTGGGTTAAGAGCAACTACAGGTGGATCTGAATAGAACTACTTATTTGTGGTGGCAAAAACGTTTTCTAATCAAATAAAATATCATTAAAAATTCGCAAAATTTACTAACAAATTTTCAGTTTAAATATATCAAATTTAAATTAAATTTCAGTAGTAACCTTAGAAAAAAATTAATATTTTCCTGTTTATTTCACCCAAATCAAACGTAGTTTACTGTTTGAAATTTCATTAAAAACACAGAATTTTATAATAATATAGAATCTTAATATTAGTTTTTTTGGATTTCTTTTTCGTGTTTATATTTTGTTTGATTTATCTCTTAAATGATCTCTCTAAAAACCCACAATAAAAACAGTAATCAAAAATCAATATTGATTCATTTACCTTTGTTCAGGAAGGAGAAAATCTAATTTTTAAATAATATCAAATTTTGATTTGTTTCAAAGTAAGAAAATATTTAACTTACGTTATTCCAAAAGAAAACTCCTAAGAATGCAAAAAAACCTAAAGTCATAAATCCTCCAAATGTTGTCTTGAATATGTTATCTTTTTAATAATTCAGTCCAACCTCAGAACCAAAAATATCAAATTTTGCAAACGTTTTTGTAAAATAATTTGTCATTTACTTTTCTTTCAATAATTTAATAATTTTTTAGCTTAATTTATAAATTATAATTTAAATGGATGATATTTAAAAATACTTAATTTATGTAAAACGAAATATTTTCAATATAAATCAGAAAAAATGTGCTTAATTTATAATAATTAGGTCTAGTAAAGTTCAATTTTTTTTGATAATTTTGTATACTTCTTGGTAATACTAAAAATATTGGCTATAATTAATTTAACCTATTGTCAAAATAAATGTATTTTTTTCAATGCACGCAAGCAAATTTAATTAAAATTTTTTAAGTTTCTTAATAGATTAACTTCTTAAGTGCGTCTGATATTTTTATTGATTACTTTCTTTTTCAAAAAAGAAAAATATCTTTAATATCAAGTGTAATTTAAATAATTCAAAATCAATCATTCAAAAGTTAACCATTAATTTTATTAAATAAAAATTTCAGAAATCTTTTTAAAAAAAATAGTATATAAATATAAAGAAAAAAAACAATCTAGCTTTAAATTATTTTTTTCTTGTAAATAGTATATGTAAAGTATTAACCTTAAAATATTCTTTAATAGAATACATGATTATTTAATCAAGTATAAGCTCGCATAGAAATAATATGAAAATTCTTGAATATTAAGTCAAGATTTCTTCATAAAAGGCTACTTAATAGCAACATTTTTAATATCAATTTAATAGTTTAGTAACAATATTTATAAATCTTAATTTAAAATAGAAATAATTAGAAAAAAATAAAAATACTATGAAAAATTATTAACTCATGTATATCTAAAGGAATAATTTCTTTCAAAAAATAATCTTTAAAACTTTTAATAATATTTTAAGAACTGCAATTTATCTTAAGAAATAAAAAGATATTTGAAAATTAATTGGATGTTGATTTGGTAAAAATTAATTAAAATAAAAATAACTCAAAATTGCAAATTCAACATTAAATTCAAATTATTTCATTTTACTTAATTTTAAATCTTAAATAAAATTATTTTAGGTTTTATTTAATATTTTGAAATTTTTAAACCAATTTATATAAAATAAATAAATAAATATTTATTATCATTCTTGAAATTTTAATTGAGCTTATTAGTCAAAATTAATTATTAGAATTACAATAAATTTTTATAAAAAATTTATAATTTTTTTTGATAAGAATAAAATATTTTAAAGTAAATTTTTAAGCAAAATTTATTAATCTTTTCTTTTGATCTCTTCTTTTACTTTAGTTAGTTTTTCCCATAGTCCTTTTCAGCTCTTTAATTAAGTTTATTCTCTCCTACTCCTGTTTCTTGATTTTATCATTTTTCCTATTACATTTCCAGAAAAAGGTCTTTATGATACTCAGATTGCTATGTTAAAACTTATGTTTTAAACAGGGGTTTATGATAGATGGATCATCTGGTTATCTGGGTTTGATGGAAGGTATGGTAGAATCTAGGTAGCTATAATTTATTACCTGGGTTTTATGGCAGGTATGGCAGAAGTGCTGAATTAATGCTTAAAGTTTTCTTGAACACTATTGTTCCAGGGCACAAGTATAAAACTAGTATTCTATTATACTTCTGCAGGAAAGTATTAATCGTTGTTTATTGATCTTTGATTTAGAGCATTAAATGAGTAATTATTATTATATTTCATATACTTTCTTGATTTTTTACTCCTAACTAACTAATTTACTATATATATTTTTTTCAATATTTAAAAAGCGACAATAAAATTAGTGATGAATGTGCATCATCAAGATTAGCTTCAGGTTTAGGAAAGTGTATTAATATCTCAAACTTAACACTACATCCTTAATATAAACAATTTATTTTTTTTAATTGTAGTATGTTTTAACATAAAAAAAAATTTAATTCAAAATAACTCTTTTAATTTATTTAATAGCTTTTTATTTGATTTATTGGTTGAAAATGTAATATTTCATTTAAAAATAAATTTTATTGTATATATATTTTTTAGATATTAACTCTAATCTTGTTAATAGGGAAAACAAAGATAATAAATCATAAAAATTGAAAATAAACTGTATGAAAAAGATTAGTTGTCCAAAAAATAAAATTTTTGTGATAAAAAAGATTTGAATAATATAAATAATGTGTTTTATTTTTTTATATTTTGTATAGGATAATTTAACCTAAAAAAATATAGATAGATTTATTATTATTTTTATATTTATAAATATAATATTTTGGTAAGTTAATAGATATTATTAAATAAAATAAAAGAATTAAATTTACTTAAATTAATTAATTAATATCAAGTAACATAACTTTTAGAGTAGTTTTTTAATGAAATAAAAATATTAAAAAAGAAGGTTTTTCATTTTAAAATCCATGCAATTTATGAAATTATATGTATGTAAATATAAATTTTTACTATTTTATTTTATAATATTAATTAAGATTCCAAAAAAGTTAAAAAATATTTTAAATTTAACTTTTAAACGTATAGTAAATATTTGTTATTTTTAGTTTTATTATATAAGAGCTGATCTAATTATTCATTATTGATTTTAATAAAGGCCTAATTTTCTTTCAGTTGAAGGCAAGGAAGTTATTTATTCAGAGAAAATATTTCTTTTGTTATTTAAATCTGCTAACTCGATTTATTATTAAATCTTATTTTAATGTATCATTTATGTAAAGTTCTACTTTTAACTTATTTTTCCTTTGTTAGCCAACCTTTTAAAATTAAAATTAAAAGATTTAGAAACTTTTGATATAATAAAATTTTACATAGTCGAGATCTCAAATATATTTGACAATTCATCACCAAGTAGTTCTATTAATTTTTTATTAAACCTAAAAAAAAAATTAAATTTTAATAATAATATTTTATTAAGTGAATATTTTACTAGCTGTTTTATCCTTCAGCAATAAGCTATTCATATGCAGTGTAGAGCATATTGTAAGTGTTAAGTGTGTTGTATTCATTTACCTTAGAAATTAAAGGTTTTTTAAATTTATTAGCAGCCTTTTGTACTACTGCTGCTATTCTTATACTTATATTTAGCTTTTTTTATTGGTAATAACTCATCCTATGAGTTCTCGCATTCTACTTAGAGTCTTTTATTTTACTTTCTTTTAATTACTCTTCTACCTCTGCTCTTGTTAGATTTTATTCTTCTTTTTAAACAGAAATCACAGGTTTAGGGAAGAAATTAAAAAGAATTTATTAGTTTTTGTCTAAAAATAGCTTTTTAAATTTCTCAATTTCCTTTATTCTATTGATGATTGTAAATATATCCAAATCTTTTTTCATCTATTAATTGACTTTATCTAATAGTAAAACTTACTCGGTCTTGAAAAACTTATGGCAGGTGAGTTTATATAAAAAGTATTTAAAAGTCATTTTAAGAGTAGACTGTTTTTTGAGCAAAAATTCAAACTCTTTTTAGAGGAATTACTTTTAGTTTTAATATCCAAGACCATGCAAGAGAATATTATTTTATGAAAAGAATTTTGATTTTGGGGTATCTTTTGCTAAGTTGTTATTGGGTGTGCTTACCATGTTTGAATTTTAATTGTAAGTAAATTATATATTCTCGCAAGAATTCACATCTTAGTTCAAATTTTAAATTTTTAAGGTTTATTTAGTATTGCTATTTGGGTATTCTTACAAGCTGTTTTTAAACTCATATTGATCTAACTAGATTGTTGGTCTTGTATTTTCAATATTTATTATTTTGTCTTCATTTTTTGTATTAATTTCTTTTTATGAAAATAAATCTTTATTCTCAATTTCCAAAGGACTCTCAGGATGAATGCTTTCATTAATTAAATTCTTAGATTCAATTTTATGTGGAGCAGAAACTTAGTTTTTGTTGCGAATTTTAATATCAGATGTTGGTTAAATATCATCAATTTTCTTAATAATTTAGTCTTTATCCTTATCAATAATTTATACTTAATTTATAGTTACTTCTTATTACTCCTACACAGTATCTTTTTCAGTTTTAATCAATTCTTTTTTTTAATTAATTGCACATAATTTCTGTTACTAATAATTTTACTATTACTATTCAATTTATAATTTTCTTTATAGTATAATTGCTTTCAACTCATCGAAAGGTAACAACCCATCATCTTCTCTTTTAATTATTTTTTTTTAATTTTTGTTTGCTATATTAATCTCCATTTCCTATTAGCCATCCTTTCTTATATCTTATTTTTCTAAATCAAGCTAGCCTATTTGAGCAATCTAATTGTGATTTTATTTTGTCTCAAAAGAACTCTTTTTACTTAGGCTTTCAAAAATACTTGGTTTATATTATTTGTCGCTTTTGCGATTATCATTATTTTATGACGTATATTAAGTTTATTAACTCTTTTTTCCTTAATTGCTTGAAAATTAAAAATCATATATCTTATTGGCCAGTGATATTGCATAAACGTACTCATTGTACTGACTAACTATTTTGAATAAAATTATTTTAATAAAGAATAAAATCTCATCTTCATTTTATTTTAGTTTTTATAAAATATTTTTTACCTAAAATAGCTGTAACTAAAATAAAAATCTGAGCGAATCCTCCTATGTAAGAAATAATCTGGGTAACTTTTTGAAAACTTCTGTTTGTTTTGTAAACAAAAGGATCTTTTCTGATAAAAAAATCTGCAAATACATCTCCAACCTACCCAAATGTGTATTAAGGTCTAAAGTTTCCTGCTTGAAAATTTACAATAGTTTCATTTAATATACTAGGAAAAGGTAGCAGGCTTTCATCTGTTTGGATAACATTTTCACTAAAGTAAATATCTGATGTAATGTATGACTAATAATTAAAAATAAATATTAGATGATTCTCAAACAAACAAATAAAATAAGAAAGAAAGAAATAAATTAATTAATTACATTCTTATTTTGTATTAAAAAGAAGATAGAATCTTCAACATAGCTATTTACATAATTTTTGCTTTCTAGAGCATTAATAACGAAATTGCTAGTAAATATTTTAAATCTAATGTTTTGAGTCTTGTTGAAATACGCTTCAAATTGTTGATCACTCTTACAAACAGGTTTCCAAAGAGCATTTGGAAGAGTATTGTTTGAACATTTAGTGATAGAAAACTTCCAATGATAGAAGTTTTATGAAATGTATGTCCCTCCTAACATAAATTCATAATCTTTTCTATATTATTTGAAAGTTACTCATTAATTTATTTATTTATTATTTTGCTATATAAGAGCTTATTTTTTAGTAATTCTAAAAAAATTACGTAGGACAAAGAAACTGTTAAAGACCGTATTACTAGAAGGCCTCTGTCCAATTAACACCATTCTGTGGTAATTAAGACCAATGCTCTGGTGTGCATGGTTCTAGTTGAGTAGGATACTTTTTTAATTAGTTTTGAAAAAGTTGATAATAATTTATTTATATTTTAATAGTTAAATACTAGATTTTTAATTTTTGTTCCATTAGAAAAAGTGGCATAATTTCTTGTTTCAAAAGTGATATTCAGTAAGGGACTCTAAATGAAATCATCTTAGTTGATTTAAACAGCAAACATAAAATTTCTTGGGTTAAGAGCAACTGCAGGTGGATCTGAATAGAACTACTTAATTGTTGAGGCAAACACGTTTTCTAATCAAATAAAATATCATTAAAAACTCAAAATATTTACTAGCAAGTTTTTAGTTTAAATATCACAAATTTAAAATAAATTTCAGTAAGTAACCTTAGAAAATAATTAATATATTCCCCTTCATTTCACCCAAATCAAAAGCTGTTTACTGAATCAAATTTCATTAAAAATAAAGACTTTTATTATTATATAAAGTCTTTAAATTAGTTTTTTTGGATTTCTTTTTCGTGTTTATATTTTGTTTGATTTATCTCTTAAACGATCTTTCTAAAATCCCAAAATAAAAAAGTAATCAAAAATCAGTATTTATTTATTTACCTTTGTTCAGAAAGGAGGAAATCTAATTTTAAAATTATAAAAATTTTGATTTTTCTAATTAAGAAAATATTTAACTTACATTATTCCAAAAGAATACTCCTAAGAATGCAAAAAAACCTAAAGTCATAAATCCTCCAAATGTCGTCTTGAATATGTTATCTTTTTAATAGTTTAGTCCTACCTCAGAACCAAATATATCTAATTTTGCAAACATTTTTGTAAAACAATTTGTCATTTACTTTTTTCAAATATTTTAATAATTTTTTAGATTAATTTATAAATAATAATTTAAAAATCTGCAAAATTTAAAGAAAGTATAATTTAATATAATGATTCAAAAAAATGTACCCAATTTAAAATAATTAGTTCTAGTTAAGTTCAGTTTTTTTTTAATTTATCTTATTGCTAAAATTAATATATTTTGTTTAATGCATGCAAGAAAATTTATTAAAATTTTTTAAGTTTCTTTATAAAGCACGTTCTTAAATTCATTTATATTTTTCTTTATCACTTTCTTTTCAAAAAAGAAAAAATCATAAATATCAAGTGTAATTTAAATAATCCAAAACTAATAATTCCAAAAGTTAGCCAGCCATTAATTTATCAAGTAAAAATATAAAAAATCTTTAAAAAGAACAATAAAAAATAAAAAGAAAAAAAACAGACTAGCTATAAATTAATTTTTTCTCGTAAATAGTAAATGCTGAGTACTAACCTTAAAATATTCTTTAATAGAATACAAAATGATTATTTAATGAAGAGTAAGCTCGCATAAAAATAGAATGAATATTTTTGAATGTTAAATAAAGATTACTTGATAAAAGGCTATTTGATAGCAACACTTTAGATATCAATTTAAAAGTTTAGTAAGAATATTTGTAAATCTAAATTTAAAATAGAAATATTTAGAAAAAATATGAAATACTTTCATTACCTAATAACTCAGGTATAATTAAAATAAAAAATGCCTTTCAATATATGTTCACTAAAAATTTAAATAAAATTTTAAGAACTGTAATTTATTTTAAGAAATAAAAGGAGAATTGAATATTAAATAAAAATTGATTTGATAAAAATTATTTAAAAAAATTGAAAATTGTAAAGTAAACATTAATTTCAAATGAATTCATATTACATTTTATTTTAATCCATAAATAAAACAATTTTAGTTTTATTTAATATATAAATTTTTGTTGAATATTTAAATAAATAAATATACTATTATTACTCCTGAAATTTTAATTCAATTTATTAACCAAAATTTATTTTCAGAAATACAAAAAAAATTGTAAATGAAATTAGTTGATTTAGCAATCTATTAATTCTAATAGTAAAACAAAGTGCATGAAAAAATTTGTTAAATATTGTATGAAGTAGCATTTATAAAAAAGCACCAAAAGCAAAATACTTTTGTCTGAATTTTTTTTATGGTAACAACAAATGTTTTTAACATATAACATGTATATTCTTAAAGAGCAATGTTCTATAAACCTAAATACAAAAAAATTTTTTAAAGTATAACTTGGTTGATACAAAATAAAAAATGGCAGAAGAAACATCAAATCGATTGCTGAGTGAAGAGATAATGGGGAATAATCTTAGGATGGAAATATTATGATTAATCCAATAAATAAGCTTTAAAAAATATTTGAAATTTAAAATTAGGATCTATTTCAAAAATAATATAGCGAAGATAATCACGATCTTTCTAGTAAATTTAATATAAATGAAATTCAAGAGGCAATAGAATAATTTGTATTAAATTTAATTAATAGCAAAATACCAAACCAATTTTATAACTAGCAACATATAGCCTATTTAAAGATTACGACTCATAATATAGGAGCATACAAATTAGCGCTTATTAACAGAAAATAATAAAATCCTAAGAAAATTGCATAGCAAAAAATATTCCTATTAGAATTTAGAGGAAAATCTATTCATATATGAGTCAATTTTTAGTTTGAAAGACAATAGAATAAAGATTTAGTATGGAAAAAAGCTTTAAACAAAGATATAAAATAAATAATTATTGTGGACATAGTAATAAGAACAGATTTCGACAGGCATCAGTAATGTAGGAAAAACTAAAATTTATATTTATTATTATTATTTAAATTTAGTTGAATATTTAAAATGTTTTGTAAAATATTTTATGCTATTTAATAAATAATATTTCTGTATGATGGTGTTCGCTTGTTGTATAAATATAATATTTAATAATTTGATTTATATAGAGAATCATGTATTAAAATGAATACAATATATGTACAAAAAATATATAAAAATTCCATATAAATATAAAAATTAAATGATTGATTTATTTATTTAATTAATTATAGAGGTTTATCTAGACTTAACATTTTTAAATAAAAATATTATTAATAAATTATTTAATTATTTTTAAAAAAAGTATTGCAAATAAAATCAATATTTTTATTATCTATTCATTAAAGATTTTTTAATTAATTTATTTTATTTTAATGTTCAATATTTCAATTACTACGATAAGGCACTTTATTAAAAAATTATAGAAACTGAATAATTCTATCTACCCAAGATTTTAAAATAATTAAGCAATATCTTATGTAATATTTATTGTGAAAATATTCTTATGCAATTACTCAAAAGAAAGTTTGCTTTTACCAAAAATCCTTTATCCTACTGTTTTTGAAAGAAATGCAATTATTTAAAAATTTTTATAGATCTGGCATTTTTTAATAAAACTTTGATTCTTAAATAGTAAATCAAAATTATGTGTGGGGTTTTCTTTCCCTTTCAGCGGCTTTTCTCCATGAAAGACTGAATTCATCAAGACGACTCATAAATTCATCGTGAAAACCCATACCACTAGAGTCTTCTATTTCTATTTTGTTAATTATAGGTTTATTTTAAGCTCCAGGTTAACCATTTTCTTACATTACAATTTATTTAGGAGGACTAACAGATTTTTACAAGTTTTTCAATTAAAGTTTTTACATATTTGGTTTTGGCATTTTAACTCCATTTCCACTGCTAATAAAACTTTCTCCTGCACCTGATCCTGATGCACAAGGAGTGTTCTATTAATTTGATTTTATATTTTATAAATTTAATTATTATTAGTGTAGCTATATGATTTACAATTAATCTTATAAATATTATTAATTCAATTAATCTTCTGTCAATTCATCATATTCTATATTTGAATTATCTATGTGTGCTAAATCACGAATATTCATTTCTTCTGATTGCTTGCTATTCAAACCACTAATTTGATTAGAATTCTAACTAATTTTAATAGCATTTAAGTTAGGATTTTGCTAGAAGTGATTCTATAACTATTACTATTATTATTACTGCTATTATTAAATGATTTGATTTTATTGTTATTGTTATTAAATATGTTTTTTATTAAATTATTAATTATGGATAAGCTATTATTGTTATTAAATTTGCTGTTGATTTAGTTTTTAATTTTGCTATGGTAAGCATATTTATTGTGGATTCTTCAGAATTTAATTTTGTGCTTAAACATTTTGGGTTTTTAACTTTCCTCCTTTTTATTGTTGTTTAATTTAGTTTTACTATGCAATTAATGCTGCTTCTTGCTATTTAAGCATTTACTAATGCATTTACATCTCCTTTTCATTTTATTCTTAAATTGCTTATTATTAAATAATTAATTTTTGAGTTTCTTAAACTTAAGCCATATTAAGTTTTAGTTTTTCTTTTAACTATCCATCTACTTTTTTTGGAGATTGTTATCTATTCATAGGGCTTTCACTTTATTATTTCTCCAACTCCTATTATGTTTCTATCTCCTGCAAAGTTACTTTTCCAATAAATCCAAAGCTACTTTCTTGAGAATCACTAATTCCTAATATAAATCAAGATAAAATATATTTTTAATTTATTTATATTTTTTTTTTTTAAATAATTTAGGTTTTTTTAAAATCGAGTTAAGTTTAATTAACTTTTATCAATTTTTTTAACAAATTTTGAAAATATTTAATTTTTTTAATAATTTTAAATTATTTAAGCAATTTTTTATGAATGAAATTAAAATCTTACTTGAATCGTCTGCAAGATGATCTCCGTTTATGGAGTTGTTTCCTTTTTATTCTTTTAGGAGTTCTTTGAGATTCTTTTTGCAAAGTTTATATTCTTCCCTGTTTCCAGATTGGTTGTCTTCTGATTCAGGGTTATGATGAATAGAACGAATGAGGGCATCTCCATTTACATCAATTTATATTAATCCCTTCTTATTAAACTCAATCAACAACTCTCTAATTTAATTTTCTCTTTCTTTGTATTGTTCAATTTCAATTTGCTGCTATTAAATGATCATTTAGAGATTTTGATTTTCAGCTATTAATTGTTAATTTTATTACAACTTTGCAGGAGATTTCTCTCCAGAAAGAACAATTAATTGCTCTTAGTTTAGAGATGTTTAAGTGGTGTAATTAGCCAACTATTATTCGCATTTGGTTAAATCCTTTTTAAGTTTAACCATAACACTATCACCTACAGCAACTTTTTATTTCAATTCAGATATTTCTTCCAAGTTAATTTTATTTGCCTGTCTGAGTTTTTCATTTTCTTGATATAAATTGGGGACTTAATTCAAATACAGCTAATTAAATAACAGGATCTAATCTACAATATTTTTAAGAGAATAATCATATTCAGTTATCTATTTAATTCCGTTTTGATATGCCAATAGTTTTCTGCTTGTAAATTGCCCTTAATTTTGTTAACCTGAGCTTTTGTTAGTTTCCTGAACACCCTTGCCTTAAACCATGAGTAATTGAGGCTTCTTTTTCTCTAAGCTATTACTTACACTGGGATTTTGAGAGTTATTATTCAATTATATTAATTTTAACCAATAATTTTGCATGTCTCTTAATTACATTTCTTTTTTTACATATTTTCTATCTTCATCCCCTTTACTGGTTTAGCCTGTAATAAAATTAATATTATCAAACTCATGAACTTTTGATTCATTTTTGGAAGGACTTTTTGACTAAGCATTGCTCATGTAACTATTGTAATTTTTTATTTGCTCTCCTGTTGTAGGAATATAAATTCTTTTCATTTATTCTAAAGAGACTTCAGAATTTTTGATATTTGTGGTATTTTTTATGTTTTATTTCAAGTGGCTGCTATTCATTTACTATTTTTGTTAATTAGCTGCGTTTGTTGTACTCAAGTTTGTGAGATTTGTATAGGTGTTGTTTGGCATATAAAATGTATTATTTCCTACTGCTGAAGTATTATTAATGCTAATATTTAATGTTTATTTTGGATTACTTTAGTTTCTCTTTATTTAAGAAAGAGAGTTGCTATTAGACTAGCTATTTTAGTTTCTCGTAGCATCTTTACTAAATTATTACAAATAGCCTTCTGGGTTAGCTTACACTTATTGTGATTGGTTGAGTTAGAGTGTTTAGTTTGTTTTAATATTAGAAACTGAATATGTTTAACGATGAAAAGGATGAATTTATTATTAAAGTTATATGTGCTGTTTCACAAATTCTTTCCTTTGATTTGAACCTAATTTTCCGCTTCCAACTGATTTTATCAAAGGCGAAGAGGCATTCGTGTCATCATTTGGTATTTGTTATAATTAATTAGCATTTAATGTTAGAAGATCTGATTAGGAGTTGGATGTAGTCAAGTTCGATTAAATTTAATGGTTTTATTATTGTTGCATGTATTAAATTTGCTTACTATGAGAAGGAGTAGAAGAATAGACTCTTCCATCGTTTTGATTGTTGTGTCCATGAAAAAAAAATTAATTCTGTTAAGTTTGTGCTAGAAATTACGAATGTTCTTTGCTGTTGCTTTAAGAATGTTTTGTGGATTTGCTCTCACCCAGATTTGTCTTTTATCCCCCTGAACGTATGTTTTTCATAGGAGAAGATGGCTGATTAGCCAATGCTTCGGAGAATAAATTTAATTTTGACTACTCGCCTGACTGTCTCTTTAATTAAAGAGATGAATTCATTGATTAACCCTTAGAACCAGATTAAGATTACTATACTTTTGAACTATCGTTATTTTACAATGGCTAATTTGTTTGCTACTAGCTATTTTGAAGCTAAGATTATTTTAAATTTTTTTGATTCACAGCCATGACTGATTAGTAGTTAAATTATATCATCGGAGATGAAGATTTTTTATTTTCAGGTGAATAGCTGCTATTCTTTTGCATATTTTACTGAAATTACTTTGTTGATTAAGCTATCTTTTGATACTAATTCTCATTTTAACTCTTATTACTGTTTTACTAATTTTACTAACTGAAAATATTGCTTTATGAATTGCTATTAGTAGAAAATTTATTTGAGAGATCTTCAGATTGATTGAACCCAATCCTAGAATTGCTGGCTTATTTACTTTACTTCATTTATTCATACATTTAAGAATACAACTTGAATTAAGGCTACTATTTATTCAGTGGGATATGCTCCTTTGCTGATATTTGATTAGATGATGCAGAAGAAATGTTACCTTGGGCTAATCCTAAATTAAGTTCATTGGAGCTAGTAATAACGTTGCTATTTAATGAATTTTCTTCATTATTGTTCATTTAATCTATTTAATTGGCTTAAGCCAACTGTTTGACGAATAATTGTTACTAATTTAGCTAGTTTATTTCCTCGCTATTAGAGCCGTTGCTCTCTTTTCTACTTATTTTCTTACTCCCCTAATTATTTACAAGACTGTTTGAAGGAAAGTATTATAAAGTTTAATTTTGCATTTTAACTTCATTACCCTATTTAATTAAAAATGATAAGAATCAAACTACTTTTTTTTATTGTTGAAGAAAATATGTATTTGCATCAATCTTTTAACATTCACAATTAAATAAAAATCCTAAGAATATTAAATTACAGAAAGATTCAAATATTTTGGAGAGCTTTTACCATTGATACTATTCTTCTTTTACTAACTTGTTGGATGCAATAGTACTGAATTAGAACCTATAACTTTTCTATTTAATATTTTAAATAAAAGTAAAAAATAACAAGCTGATTCATTTTGATATTATTTTATTTTTATGTTTTTTGTATTATTGCCTTGAGCTGATATATAACAAATAAAATGAAAGTGTAAGAGCATTTATAGGGATCATAATATAGATATTTGCTTGTGAAAAAGTTACTTTATATTTGAAACAATAGAATTTGAAGGAGTAGAGTTTTAACTGGCTGATGATGTACCAAATGGAACATGATACTTCTCATGAATATCTAAAATTTTAGGATTGCTGCTATTATTGTTAGACTCATTTAAATTAGAATAGGAAAGGTTTTTTGAATGGCGAACGTTAGCTTTATTAACACTCATTATTAAGAAATCAGCTATAAGAAACTAATATGATTGCACTTCCTGTAGATTTAAATCTATTAATGACTCTCTATTTCTATTGACTAATGAAGAGCTTTTAAAATAAATATGATAATTATTGCCTGCCTGTATATGCTATTTGTAATAAACCTTTTTGCAATTGTATCAATTATTATTGCGATATAAATATAGCTATTTGTTAAAAACTATATAGATAGATAGATAAATTGTTAATTATATTGTTAATCTTTCAAATTAATTTCTTCTATTATACAATAAAAAGAAATATTTACAAAATTAAACGAATGGACGACTACACACCAAAACAGACATATATATAAATTCATAAACAGATTCATTAATTCATATTATTATTTAACAATTTCTTTTTGATTGATAATAAATTTTTCATTTACTTCATTTATTTATAAGATTGTTTGTTTGATAAATTATTAATCATCTTTTCTTTTGATTGCTTGTTATTTATTTTTAATTATTAGATTCTTATTTACATTAAATATGTTCTTTTATTAATATAACAAGGACATATATATATAAATACACATTTTATAATTCAATAGAGATACATTTGTATCATTATTTTTTTTGGTAAATATTATCTTTCAATCTTCATTTTTACCCATAAAAAAAAATAATTAAGTTTCATTCAATCATTTACTAATTTCCCCTCATCTTAAATCAAAATTCTAATTTTTTTCTGTAAAAAATATCATTTTTGATTTCCATGCATTTTAGTGAATTTCAGAAATATTAATTTGTTTATGAAATGATTAATAACTTTTAAAATAATGATTATGCCTTTTTTATGTAATCTTTCTTTACTTTTCGAATTGAATATCATTTCTTGGTAATTTATATTCACAAAAAAAATAATCTAAAGTTCTTACATTTAATCGAATATTTACAAATCTAATTAACAACTTTTTTCGTTAAAATTGTGTAACTTGTATTAATCTAAATCATAGATTTTAAAACTAAAATATTTATATAAATTTAAATTAGCTACTGAAATTCGTAAATTTAATAAAATTAAATTTCATTCTTAAAATGAATTATTTCTTTTAAATGAAATTATCTCTTACATATTTTATTGGTAGATTACTTTATTTTATAATGCTTATCTTATGAGCAAAATACAATATTTTTAAAGAGCATTTACTTTTTTGTTAGGAATTTTTAATAGATTAAAATAAAAATAAGATAAATAGATTTTTATTTGTTAAATTCTATTTAAACTAAAAGTGAAAAATATACTTTCTTGAATTATATGAAATTAAATATTCACTAGCTTCGAGCAAAACTTTTTTAGAAAATTAAATTTTGATATTATATCTTATATATGATAATCATTAAATATGATTTGGTATTAGCATATTATTTAATTGAAAAATTATTCACCATAAGTATTCATTTAATTTTCAAGTTGAATCACGAGGGGAAATTAAATTTAAAATATATTTTATAGAAGTATTATGGCTATTTTAAGTAAAATATAGACTTTAAAAAAATATATTTCCTATTAATAGGTTATAAATGAATAAATATTTATATTTCCAGCAAATCTGTAATGCAATTAAATTATATCTTTTTTAAAGATAAAAGGTCAGAAAAAATAAATATTGTACAATTTGTTTATAAGTCTTACAATAAATAATTTAATAATATTTATTTATTATTTTTTTTGCAAGCTAACTTTTATATAACTAAAATATTTATGATTAAATTAACTAGAGTGCGTTTTATATGTATGTAAATTGCTTAATTTAGTTAATGATTTATTATTTATATTTCACTTTCTCTAAATTAAAAAGAAGAAGTCTCTATTTATTGTCCAGTTCCTTATCCTAGCCTTTCATCTGTAATTAGGTAGATAGATAATGTATATTTATTAAGATAGATCTTTAAAAAATGAAATTTTTTATCCTGTACATTTTTATGTTATTCCATCTTTTAATATTAGCCAAAATTTATTTTTTAATGTATTTATTTGTTAACTTATTTATTTATTTTAATATAAATGTTTTTTTTCTTGTTTTGTTTTTGAGTATTAATCTCAAACCATTCCTCCAGTTCCACAGCATTAATTTCTCTATGATACATCTACTCTATGTTTAAGCAAAATATTTTTATTTGTAGAAACATTGTAACTATTTGATCTAATCAGTCTCATGGTATCTTTAAATTTATTTAAATGAAATTTTTAATTTACCAATTCACTGGCAATAAATAAATGTATTTTTGTAAATTTATTTATTTTTAAGTAAAATAATTGTAAAAATGAATTGGATATTCATATATTACCTTCAACAACAATTCCAACTGCTTCATCTATATTATTTCCAGTTAAGGCACTAACTTCTATGTATTTAATATTCCTTTATTTTGCAAAATCTTCTGCTTCTTGTCTTGAAACTATTCTTAAATTGCTTAAGTCTGTTTTATTTCCGACTAAAACTATTTGAATATGTGGGTCTGCTAGCGATGTTATTGTATTGTACCATTTTTCGCAATTAAGAAAAGAGTCTTTTTTTGTCACATCAAAAATTAGCAAAGCTCCTGTGGAAGCTCTAAAGTAAGAAGGTAACTTCTATAAAAATCCATATTTTCCTGCGCTATCCCATAATTATACTAAAATTTTATCCTATCCAGGCATAGTGGGGTAGAATTTTTAGTCAAATTCAACTCCAATAGTGTCCTTGTTTTCAAGGTCAAAATCTTCTCTTATATACTATGATAAAATATAGCTTTTTCCTACTTTTGGATCGCCTTTTTTAAAAAAATACAGATTATTTATTCGTACAATAGATTTCATAATTTTTTAATATAAAGATGGAATTAAATTTCATTTGTTCTATTTAATGAATAAATAATAATCTAAATAAATGATTTAATTAAATACCTACCTACTAATACTATTTTAAATAAGTAATCATAATCTTAGGGAAAATCTATCATATTGGTACTTGCTTAGTTCTTGCTTTTGCTTTTAATTTGTATACTTAATTTACTACACTTGACTAATTTGTTTTGTTATCTAGTTTGAATACACACAAACTCACAATTAATTCTTAATAATATTTATTTTTTTAACTTATCAATTATCTTTTTAGGGATGGTTTTTTAATTAATTCAATTTTTATTTTAATAGAAAGATGATGAATGAATATTGTCTTTATTTTATATTTAAAGATTTCTTACAATTAAACTTGAAAAAAACATATTTAACGAGATTGAATATTATTCTGAAAATTACTATTATTCAAAACTTTAAAACCTTTATCTATCTATCTAATCAATCTATCTTATTGTATGTATGTTTTTTAATTAATCTATTTTTTTAATTTCTATTCCCTTTAAATTTTATTAAAATATGGAGTAGATAAAACAATTTATCATATCAATAATTCATTAATTACTTTTTAAATATTTTTTATTTAACAAATAAAGCTAAAAATTATAAAATTGTTTGAAATTTTTTGATACTTGCCAAAGATTTAAATTAAAAATTTTATCTAATTTTTTTACTGTTAAAGCCAAATAAATAATTAAAATATAATAAATTAAATTTTTTCATTTAAAGATAATAAGTGTTAAATAAAATTCATAAATATAAAGCGAAAATACCAAAGTTATAAAAACTATTTTTTAATATTAATTTTTAACAACAGCAACAATAAGCTATGTCTTGTCTATTTTATACCAATATATTAATCTCTTTTTTAGTTTTACATTTGTTTTTTAAATCAAAATTAAATTTATTTATTGACTAATCTGCTCATTTTTAGAATTCTTTTTCTTGATTATAAATTATTATCTAAATTATCAGCATAGTTAGAACTTTAAAAATAAAAAATTAATAATTTTAATAATGAATAAGAGAAAGAAAAAAGCTATTTGAATTTAATATTCAAAATTATTAGTTTTTACCTCAAATCAAGTTCTAAAGTTAAAATATTTTAACATAGTCCTAATGACTAGCAAATATACTATATTCCTTCATCTTATATATAGTTTTAGCTTAGAATTTGAAAAAAGTTAAACAATATATAAAATGACAATTTATTACTTACTATAAATCTAACTTTAAATTAGATAGATTTGAACATTTTGTAAAAAATTAGCACAGACCTTTTGCACCATCGTTTTGAATTTCATTTGAGCTTAAAAAATAAATTTAAAACATAAAAATCTTCTACACAAATGAATTATGTAAAGTTAAATATAAATTATTATCTTTAAATTTACTATTACATTTATAATTAAATACCTTAAATCAATCTCCAATGATATTAATTTTTGTAAAGATGATAAAGAATTTCCTATGAATAAAGCTGAATCATCGTTTAGCATATTTCCGCTAAAAGATTTTTATTTCATAAAAAATAATTTGAAGAAATTATTCAAAGTTAAGTATGTATTATTTAAAATTAATTAACTTATCAATTAAAATTACTAAATCGATAATTTTAAATAAATTAGGTTAGTGCATGAACTCAAAAAGTCTGATATAAATGCTGCATCAACTTCATTAAGATTTTACAGTCTTTTAAAATGTATAAAAATGAATATATTTTTTGTAGAAATAAAATAATATTTATTTATCTTTTTAGTTATTTATTTTACCCAAAGATTAGTTCCATATTTTGATGCATTTTTAAATTAGAATTTATGAACTATAAATAATAAAAATATCTATATTAAATGCTGGAGAAATATCAAGTACATCTTTTGTTGAAAAATATTTTTAAACTTAATTGGACATTTTTTTATTTAATTTATCTTTTTTCTTCTTTTTGCTATCTCTTTGATAAAAATATAATTCAACTAAAATTACTATTTTTAACCTTTTTTAAAGAATTTCAAATTATTTTAAAAGATATTTGAATGAAATTTTTAATCAATAATTTATTTACAATTCATTTCATATCTATTAGCTTATTATGTAAATTATTTAATCAAACTGCATTTTTTTTCTTCTTTTATTTCCATTTATGTTCATTTTAAATAAAATTTAATTATCTAAGAACATAGAACTGGCTTTATTTAATTTTTATAAAATATTTTACTGTAAATCTATCTCCATTACCTGTGATTCATAAAGTCCGAATTTCCAAATTCACTAATCTCAGAAGATATTTTTTCAGTCTTTAATAGAAAGCTTATCAGAAAATGATAATATTAGTATTTAATAAAAATAGATACAAATATTTTTATTCAAGGCTATTATGACATTTTGATTTTAATAAATTTTAAAACAATATATTAATTAAATTTATATTATCCTATGATGATATAAAATAATTTCCAATAACATTTTAAAATATTCTTAAGTTTTTTCCTTCCTTTAATTATTAAGCTTCTTTATTTAATTATTAAATTCAATGTAATAATGGTATATTTATTATTAATATAGTCATGAATATTAAAATACTTTAATATTAACCAATTAAATTCCAGATATTTTAATTGATTGATAATTAACCTATTATCTACCTTAGATAATTTTGTTACTAATTTTATGCATTCCTTTTTACTTAATTTTAAAATTTTGAAAATCTTCCTATTATAAATTTGAGAAATTATCAAAAAATTGCAAAAAAAAGTAATTTTATAGCTTTCATTAACTTCAAATCATTATAAATAATTTATCCTAACTCACAATTTAAAGTTAAAATGGATTGAAAATAAGCGTCTCTAGGAAGATTGGAGGGAAGGTCTTATTTCTTTCATTTAAAATAAAGTAAATATTTTTTAAATTTAAATCAACCAATTTCTTCATCTGTCATTTTTGACAAAAAAATATCCCTCTCTTATTCTAACAGCTGTTGCTTATGTCTTATTTAAGACTCCAATTTTAGCTAAGATTTAAAATTTATAAAATAAATAACTTTTTAAAAATATAATAAATCTTCTAAAAGTGTTTCAATAAGTAATTAACTTATTTTAGCAATAGAAACATATCTTTTAATATAATACTTTACCTTCGAATTAATACATATATTTATTTATTACTGAAGCTGATTACTTTTTGGAAAAATTGTAAAACAGAGATGTAATTAAAGAAAATTTGGATGATTTGTTTTGTTTTTATGAAAAGAAGTAAGTTATGAATGAATAATTTGAGAGAAAGATTTAGTAAAGATACTAATAAGAAGATGAAATTAATATAAACATATATATTACAAATTAAGTTAATGCATAAAAATTATTATTTATTTGTATATATAAAAAAATGTGATGATTAATTAGTAAATTTAAATAGATTATTAGAGTTATTTAATATAAAATTTTCTAATATTTTATAGATGCCAAGTTATCAAAATTTTAAGAGAATGAGAGAGAACTTTATTTAATTAATCTTTTGTTTAAATACTTTCTTATCTTTTCATTTGTAGTAGTTTAGTTCTATTTTACATGATTAAAGCTAGCTTGTAGCAGCTAGAATTTAATTTTAGTTGATTTTATTAAAAGTTTGTATTAAAATGTTTAAGATTTTTTTTTTAATGATATAGTCTAGCAAAAGCTAGCCTTTTCATTCAGAAATATAGATAGAGCTATCAATTCACATTCAATTTTATTAGCCTATCTATCTGTCTGTTTAGTTTTTGTTATAGAAAGAAATTTCAAACAGCTTCTATTTATTTATTTCTATCATAATTTTATTTTTTTCTATCTAATGATTGCTTCTTTCGCTTTTATTTTTTATCAATTTAAGAATGCAAATGGCAGTAGCTCTAGTAGCTGATCATATTGCTTAACTATTTTATAAATTTTTCTTTAATATAATTATAGTTTATTTATTAAATATACAAATTTAAATGTTTAAACTAACTTAAATTAATAAATAAAGGATATATATTTTCTATCTTTGCATTTTTATTGTTTTAAAAGGTATTTTACAATCCTTTTAATAATATGAAATTTCGTATAATTTTGCTTATTATAATAAAATGATAATATTTAATTTTTTACTGTATCTGTTTCTTGATATTTTGAGTGAATGTTTTAATATTAAGCACAAGAAAGGTTTGGATGCCATTTGCATTTGCAGTTAAGACAATAGGACTATTTACAGCAACTACAAGAAAACATAACATCACCATCTTCTTTTAAATATCGCATATTACAATCTTAAGAAGGGCAATAAATAATATTATTTTCAACACGGAATTCATCGAATTTAAAATCTAAGTAGCTTTAAAATTTATTTTATGGCAAAGTTTCTTGAATTTCTTAATCGCTAATTTCCTTGTTGCAAGTTCCGACATAGCATCTGATTGTGTTATATTTTTCTATTTCAAACTTTTGAGAAATTAAAATATGGTTAAGTATTTAAAAAAAAAATATCTTAGAATAATTTATTTATTCTCAATTTTATCTGTAGAAAAACTAGTGGGCAAAAAAATGTTAGGATTTATTTTCAGTTTCTTTTTAAATCTGAAATTAAGTGCAAAATGTTTCTATATAAATTTTAATGCCTAATAAATTCCTACAAATAAATTAACAGTGGCTACTAAATGATAAAAATAAATCTGATTAACAAAGAGCTATGAATTAATCAATTTCTTTAATTGACTCTAAAAGTACAAAAATACTTCTATGAGATCAAATTATTTTTGATATTTTAATAATATCAAATAATCATTGAAATAGATAAAAAACAATATAAAAATATATTTTTTCACTTTATTTTCAATAAAATCAGCGATTTATTTTTTTAAATTTGGTATTATGAAAGTAAAAAAAACCAGCCCATTAATCTACATTAAAATTACTTCAAATAATTCAATTAAATTATTACTTGATTAATGATTTTATCTGCCAAGCAGTCTCTATGGAAATTGTGTAGACAACTAAGAGGCTAGTATTAATTTAATTTAATATCTTGTTAGCAGATATCACAATTTCCAATTTTATAATTACTAAACTCTTTTTATGATTGACTACTCACTTCGTTAAGTAAACCGAGTTCGTCATCAGTTTCTTCTTTAATTTCTTGCATTTACTTTTGGTATATCCTTGAAATCAGGCTTAGTCTCCTTTAATCAACCCTCTTAACTACAAATTATTATGAATCAACTTCAGAGTTCTGCTACTATTTAAAATTAATTTTATTTGTTAATATTACTTTGAAGTAAAGTGAAATAGATAGCATGCATCAAAAGATATTTGTACAATCAAATACTTCTGATGATGTATGTAATTGAGAATATTCTAATCATTATCAAAAATTAGTTTGTTTGTTTGATTGTTGCAAAGCAAAATTATAATTTTACATCAAATTTATATTGGTCAGACAGAGGTACTTGAGAGTTATTGTTGCCGTTATTACTATTATTATTATTATTGTACAAATCTTTATCTTCAGCAAAAAATTATTAAACCTTTTCTATTTCCTCTTAAAATGAGCCTATTTAAATCGGACTTTTCTAAGTAAAAAAAAAAAATTGAATAAACATTTTACTATATAGTTATTTACTATATTTATAAAGTAAGTGTGCAAATAAAAATAAATCAAATGTTATAATAAAATTTTGTTATAGTCAGATAGTTTTTCTTTAAAATTACATATCTTTATTAAATTAAAGATTCAAATTTATGTCTTTTAATTTTTATTTTACATTCATATTTTTATGAATTAAAAACAGTATTTCATATCATTTTATTTTGATATTCTTTTTTTCTATATTCATTTATTAATAAGATAAATGAAGTAATTATTTTTAAGATCGATTGACAACATATTCTCACAATTATCTAATACGATCAAATGTATTCACTTTTCTCATTTTTATTTGCACTTTCATGTTGTGTTAAACATTGATTATAACATCTTAATATATTACTTTGCTCTATTGTGCTTCACAAAATTTATTTGATTCTTATATGACTATTTCCTATATCTTTAATAAATATAATCAGTCGGCATCAATCAATATTTGTAAATAAAGGTTTGAAAAAAGCATCATCATCATTTGTTTTCACCATTTACTTCAGTAGATGGCATTATTTAAATAAGCTTCAACTACTTCTAAATAAATTAAGATAATGATTGACAAGCAACGATGATAAAGTTTTTTAAAAATAAAATAATTAATTAAAATTACATTTTAAGAATGCTTGATAATTATTTATTCCATAACGAGAATGAACTATGAAAAGGTCAACTTCTTATTTTATTTTACTTCTAATAAATTAGTGATAGTGTTGAGGATAAAGTCAAAATCATCTAAATCTTTATTTGGTCTCAATGCGAAGATATACCCAACTATGAATGAAGAAAGTAAGTTGTAAGTCATTTAATCGTTAGGTAGAGAATTAAATTTAGATTGAAGTTTTTCATCTGCTTCAACTAGAAAAAGAGCGGGCTAATCCATCAAAATGTATTTATATAGAGTTTTATATTGTCAAAATATATTGAATGCTTCAGCTTGGTTAGTAGAATTAGAAGAGTTATGCGTTTCTTAGTAGTAGATTTGGTTAGCTTAATAAAAGAAAGGTAGCAGGTAAGAAGCAGTATTATTGTTGTCTTGTATTAAAGATCAATGAAATCAATCTTTGGTTTAAGGATTAAGAAAAATAAATAGAAAATTAAAAAAGAGTTAGTATTTTAATATTTTTTTAGATAGAATTAATTACGCGAAAGTGAATGACCTGCCTTTATAATTTTTACTTTTGATTCAAACTAGTGTTAGCTAAGTCGTATAATTAGAATAGAAAAATATCATCAAATATTCTCTTCATTTGATTGCTTGTTTCTGTCTTTTTTCTATGTATATATATATATTATATATGTATGTATCTTATTTGACTAAATTTTTTTAATTGTTTTTTTTCATTCATAACAAACTGATTTACTTTTTTAGACTATTATCTTGCAATCTACTATCAATAGAATAACAAGATCCAGTATTTCTCATATCCTAGTACCAGATATTTTCATGCGAAATTACTAACAGCTTTTAAAAACTTTTAAAAGCTTGCTTTTGGAACAAGTAAAAATGCACTACTACCATATTTTTAGAATAAACATCTTAAAATTTGTTAATACAAAATATCCTAATTAAAGAAATAAAAATTGATATTTTTTGTTGATGAAATATTTTTCTATATAAATACCATAAATTAATACAATTTAAACAATAGTTTATTCTCATATAGATCAAAAAATTGTATCTAAAAAAATATTATTAGCTTCCTAAAAAACTTATGAAAATTATTTCATAGTTAAAAAGAAGATGCAATTGATTAAATTCACTAATTAAATATATATGAATAAAAAGGATATTTTTTAAATATTTTTCTTTTAGTTCATTCAATTTTAAAGGTTTTTATAAGCACAATTCTCAGTGCTACTTATGTCTAAAATTAAATAACCATTCATTCTGTTAAATATTAACATGCATGTGTCCTCAATACAAACATGAATGGTAAATAAAGTGAAAACCTCAAAATATATTTCTAACTTAAATTTAATAAAATTTGATCAAAAAATTTTAAAACATCTACCTTTAAAAAAACCATATTCTAATATTAATTTTTCTATTTTATAGTAATCAGGTTAATAGTACAACTTCTTTTTTTAATTGCTGGTTGCAAATCAAAAATATGAATTTACATTAATTACTAAATTTTTGCCACCAGTTATTTTTTTTTGCATTCGAAATTTAATTAAATAAATATATTATTTAGCTACTCTGTTCTATTTTCAAATTATAGTTTCTATCATCTTTTTCCTATAGACGCAAGCTTATTTTTTCAACTTTTTAAAAACTCTACAATTTTGAAAGAACAAATAAAAATGCAAATGTTTTGCACAAAAAAACATTCTGATTAATTTTTAATCTCTTTATTTGATATTTCTTGGTTAGGTAAATAAATTTATCCCTGTGAAAATTTTAGAATTAGTTAAGGAAACTTAACTGAGAAACTACTAATCAGTATTTGAAATTAAATTTCTATATAGTTTTAAAATTTTCTATATTCTTTTTCTTTCTAATTAATTTAACATAGCTAAATAAACTATTGATTTTTTATTAATAATTTTAAATCAATGAAGATTAAATATCATTTTATTCTAAATAGAAAATAGCTTTTTCTATAATAGAAAATAATTAATCTCTTTTTTTGTTCAGATTTTCATCATCTTTATTTTATTTTTCGAGGATAGTCCTTAGTTATTTAATTAATTGTCTATATTACTAAATTTTTTAAAATTTTCAAAAAATTCTAATAATTTGAGATATTAAAATAATTAATTTTAAATGAATTTTTTTTAATTTTTTATTCTTCATTTTAGCTCCATATGTAATAATCTGCAATATCCTATATTAATAACTAATTAATTTACATTAACAAATGTTTTAAATATTTTTTTTAGTCTTTAAAAAGTCCCATTTTTATTGAGTAATTCTACCTTATCAAAAAAATTTAACTTTAATAAATTTTTATTTTTAAAATATCTCTAAGGATAGATATTAAATGATTTAAAAATGTAATAATTAAGCAACTACCACTTTCGTTCTCCTAAAATTGTGATGAAATTTATTTATTAATTCATCTAAAACAAAATATTTTGTTACTTTATTCCTTTTTGCATAATAAATCAAGTTGAGATAAATGTGAGAGATAAGAATAAAATTTTATAAAAAATAATTGAGTAATAAATATTTAAAAAATATTTTTAAAAATTTGAATTAACTAATTATTTACATGCATGATATTCAATCTTAGAATAAGATATTTTAGATGTATCTATCTCATCAGCTTCAAGAGAACTTTTAAGTGTTAATAATATCAAAATTGATTAAAAACCCTTAATCATCCTTATATTAAAATAAGATACTGCAAATCCTCATAAAATAAGGTCTAATTTTTTAAAAATCAATCAAATTTTTTAATATATATAAAGAATTTTGTTGTTACTATTTTACAAAAGATTAGGTGTCAAATTTGAGAATTTAGTGTAAATGTTAGAGGTTTTCAATCAAGTATAAGGATGAAATGTTAATTAATGATAATTTGTATCATATCATCATATTAAACAATCAATGAGAAGAACAAAAATAACTATGAAGGCTATAAAATAAAAAAAGTCAAACATAAAAGATTAGTCAAAATTTGCTTAAATAAAAATAAAAAAATTTCAATTTAATAATCTAAATTAAGATTGGGTTGTCTTATTGTATTTAGATAGTTGATGATCGGATATTGAATGAAATGTATATCTCATTTTATTACTAATTTTTAGTATAAAAAAGATAGATAGTAAAATGTGAAGGTTATTTATTAAAATAATTTATAAACAAAATTATTGAATTTATTAAATAATAGATTTTAATCTAATTTAAAAATAATAATAGTTGCAAAGGAGTTTTGATAAATCATAATCATAGTTTTCAATAAAGATTTTAATAATTACTTATTTTTTTTATTTATTTATCAATTCTAAATTTTTAATTAAAGTAAATTAAAATAAATTCTTAAAATAATTAAATTATTTCAATTTATTCCATGTATTTATTTGTTTTTGAGATTTTAAAAGATTTAAATTATATTAAAACTACTTTCTTAGTATTCATTTTTGTTTATTTTTTAAGTAATTATTCAGTTAAGAAAAAGTTTTAATTCAAATACCTTTGAATTTATAAATTTGATTAAGTATTGATTGAAAGAATTAAATCTAATTCTTGGTTTAAAAGCAACGATATAATCAAACAAATGCAATTATAGGGTTTTTGTATTTTTTTTGAAAAACCATTAAAAAGTAGAAAGCTATTAAATAAAGAATAATTAAGTTTTTTTGAAAATTTTGAAAAGTGTTAAAAAGTTTTGTGAGAAATTAAGATAGAAAAACATAAAAACTAAACAAAATTATATTATTTGTAATCAAACAATACAATATTTTTCTAGAAATCATAGTATTTGAATTGAGATAGCAACCATCTTATTGAAAGTACCTGCATAGAATAGATTTGATTGAAAATACCTTCTATATTAATCATCTTAGAATAGAAAAATTGCTAGAGCTAGCTTGAAAATTATTTTTATAGGTTTCTGAAATAGCAAAATTTTGATACAAATTAATTACCATGTTAAGCAACGATTATGACTACACTATTGATAAATATTTAGTACCAAAAGTTAGGTTGAGATGTCCAACTCATAACAAAGAGTAAGCATAATTCATATGCACAGACAGCTCTTGCAAGAGGCAATCAATCATATGCAAAAGCTGCTAGTACGAAAATGATTCTCATTTCAGAGATCATAAAGCTTAATTCAAAAATATAGATAATTATTTAGTGGATGCAGTTAATGAAATGGAAAACTTTACACCAGTGAACAGATAGATTTTGTAGGAAATTTATAGCTAAACTCCAAATCTTTAAAAGTGGTAAGATGATGATGAAATGCATCTAAGGAATGTTGAAAAGCATATACATGCATAGAAATCCTTAATAGACGAAGAAATGGGAGCACTCAGCTCAATGTTGCTTTCAAATTTAGACTAAATTAGGGAAAAGTTGTATAGCAGATTAGACGGTTTCTATAAAAATTATTGTGACACATTTAACAAATAGAAAACATCATTAAATGAAAATTTTGGATTAGCAAAAACCTTTTATCTCTTCATCAATCCTTCGAATCTTGCTGCAAAACTTCAAAGTGAAATGCCACTCTAAGCATCTTAATTTGTTTCACAACTTAATAAAGCTATTGAAAAGGCAAAAACTGTCTCATAAAATAAGTAGACTTTTGTAACAAACTTCAGAGCAATCAATTCGTAGCTTAATAAAATGACTGATAATCTTCCTTACTATCTTCCAAGTGATTAGATGGCTTAGCAGGTTTAAATTATTATTAAAAATGTAGAGTAATTTTTCAATAAAAACATTCTCTACCCTGAAGATGCGCCTCCTGCTGAGCTAGGAGGAAACTTTGCTGCAGGAACTCAATAGCAGTTATAGCCACAATCCTCCTCTTCATCTTCCTCATCTTCTAATGGCTAAATTATAAATCAAAACAACAACAATGCAAATAATATAAGCAATCTTAATGTAAATAATTATCTAAATTTAGCTTCTGCAGCTCCCCCAACAATTCCTGCTATGCAAAACAACTTCTTATCAAGTAATATTCAAAGTAATAACAATAATGGCTTAAATCTCAACAGATAGGGATCTAATAATTAAAACAACAATATCATTAATGTATCTAATAATAGTGGAGGTAAAAAGTAGTTCAAAATATCCAAGAATGGCAAGTAGATGCAGCTCAAAAATACAGAATAGAATATTAATATCAAACCTGTTAAGAAGTATTAGCTTGAAATTCCTATTTGCTCTGTGTGTTCGCTTTCAGAGACTCACTACGCATTAGCTTCTGCTGGTGATTCAAAAATTAAAATATTTGAATCTTCATTGAAGAAAATGCACACTTTCCCTGCTCACTCTGCTCCTATTACTTGCGTGACTAAAATTAAAGCCATTTTCGATGCTTATTCAGATTAGATAATATCTTAGCCTAAGCATGACTTAGTAAACTAACAAAGTAATGTCAATAATGGAGAAAATAGTAAAAAAATTCTTATAGCAACATGCTCTTAAGATATGAGTGTCTTGATTTAGAAATATGATCTTGAAAAATCATCCTAGCCAACAATTTATAATAAAATAACTTCATTCACATCTACTCCTTAATTCATAGTAGATATTCAAGATGGCATTCATATAGCAGTGGGAGATAGCTTTGGAGATATTTAAGTTTTTAATTTCCATGATGGAAAAATTATCCATCAAGTTAAAGGAAAGCACAATGGTAAAATTATTGGAATTTACTTGATTAAATCACAAAAGAAGCTGATAGTTGCAAGCGATGACACTATTTCTATTTGGAAATATTCTTACTTACCTGCTACTTAGTCTCCTGTAGCTTAGATGGACAGACTCTACTAGGACAATTTGATCAGTGACAGCTAGTTAGGCAGAATATCTTGCTTTATCCCTTCGTATAGAGATAATATTTGCTTCTTAGGAAATAATGATGGAGAAGTTATCATTTACGACCTTGTTAGTAGAAGAATACTCAGCAGATGGAATGCTCATGGTCATGTGCCTGTTCTAGATTTCTGTCTATTTGAATTTGATGGAAAAAGAGATATAGGCACTTTGCTATCTATAGGTTTAAGTGATAAATAAATAAAGATTTGGAAGATCACAGCAGATGACAGAAATAATTTCGTTACAGAAGATCCTGTAATTTTGGATGGTAATTCTATCAATGATGATATCTAATCTAAAAATAAATTATAAATCGTGCAAGCAAGCTGCCCCAAATTAGTGATAGCGAACGAAAGAGACAAAGAGTTACTCCTTTACAATCTTATTCTTTGAAAATGATTTAAAATTAAGTATAAGCAAAATATCAAATCTTTAACTAAATTAAAAAATTATATATAATAAAAATTAAAAACTAAGCTTAAAAATATTTTTAATCGCAATACTATAAAAACCATTAGTTCATTTTTATATTAATTTGTTTGTCACAGTTATTAATTTTAATCTTAATAAACTTTTCATCCTTACTTTATTTAAATAAATGATAAGAAAAAAAATTTTATTTTAATATTTTTATCTATCTTAGTTAAAAGGTCTTGTTAATTAACAAGTAGAATTAGTGTTTTAAGTTAACAAGAGAAGTAATTTCACCACAAAACAAAATTGAGCTTATGAAATTTTAGTTAGGGAATATCTCAGTTTATAGATAAATTAACCCTAAGATTCTCATTTAAAATATTACTCTTAACTAAGCTACATGAATGATTATAAATAAAATATATAAATACATTAATAAATTATTAAATGAAGCTAATAAATAATAAATTTATATACAGTATCCTTTTGTTGTTGCTGTTATTAAAATAAGAAAATACTTGTTATTTAAAAGTGTATGTATATCTAGTTGAAAACTATAATTATAAAAAAGGTGAATGATGCTAACGTAACATAAAATTAATATACATAAAGTAGTTGAAAATTTAATAAAAATTGAATGGTTAATAGAAATAAATATTAATTTAAATTTCATTTTTTGTATCAAATATTTAATAATTTTATTTATCAAAGCTAATATATCAATTTTATCCCTAATAAAGGAGAAGAAATAGTGAAAAAAATTAGAAAGAAAAGGAGTTTTCACAATATTTATTAAAAAAATATATATATAAATATGTAATTAGGACATTTTAATTTGATATTATATTAGTTGAAAATCATATTTTTAAGAGTATGATGAAATTTAAGTTAAAGTTTGTTGAGAAAGTAATTAAATATTGAGTGATTAATTATAATTTATTAATTTATTTTTTATTTTTCGTTTGTAAATTTCAGACAATATAATGAATATATACATAAGTATAATTTAAAACAAGCTTTGTAAAAATAATTGTTGGAGATTAATTAAGTATTATCCATAGAGTTTTTTTGTAGGAGTATGTATGATATATTTTAATAACAAAATAAATTGTATAAAAAATAAATAGTTCTACATAAAAATATATTTAAAAAATGAATAAAGAAGAAAATAAAAACATAGAAGAAGTCTTTAGTAATTAAAATTTAAACAGAAATTCTTAATCTCAATACAATTCAACTTAGCCTTCTTAAAATTGTGATAGCCAGTCTCTAAACTTGTGCATTTTTAGTCCTTAAAATCAATTTAAATCGTAGTTGACATAGCATGATTTTTTAAAGCAATAGTGTAATGAACAATTATCTTAAAATAGCTAGAGACAATCAGAAAGACTTCCTATTATAAACTCTGCACCAGACATTGCTGATAACAATATTTAGATAAAGAAAAAAAATATGCCAACTATTTACTCAGAACAAGCAATAAAAATTGAAGTGCCGTCCGAATGGCTCTAAAAAAATAAATAGTAATATGAAATAGCAAATTAAGAAAAAAAAATATAAATGAACAACTTTAAAAATAAATGTGAAAAAAGTTCACAAATAAATGAAATAGAAGAGAGAAATAAGAATATCAAAATATAAATAATTTAGTTTGGCTGGAAGAGATGCTTTTCATTGATATTGATGCTTGGAAGCTCAATTTACACTTATTTATGGTTTTTTTACGTAGTAGGATTTATAAATTAGTCAAAGAACATCAAGTTAAGAGTGATGAATAAAAATAGTCTATCTGATACTTATTTAGTTTACATTCCTGTTATACTGTAAACTATTTCATATTTAGTTCACTCTATTTCTTATTTGTTGTTAGTAAGGAAACTTAAAAAAGAAAACACCATCTCTTAAAGGCTAGTTATCTATATGAAAATATAATACATTTCTTTAGATGTATTTCCAATAGCTTTAATCATAATCTATTCAACTTTTTTAGATAGTTTTTTTAAAATTACAGGGATTGTAATTTATTTTGCTTAACTGATTACTTAATTGTATAATATTAAATAATATTAAAAATACATTGATAATAAGCTTACCCTTCAAAAAATATAAATTGAATTATAAACAAAAAACTCTGTACATGAAATGACAACATCATAAAATTATTGACCATTTCTGTATAAAATTAGATTCTAAAATAATATAATATTATAATTTGCTAATATTCAAGATATTTTTATAAAATTTTTGTTAAGTCTATTTTATATTTTAAATTCTTATCTTACTGAGTTGACTGCTTTAAATATACCTTGTTTTCATTTTATTTAAATTTTAATCTTTATTTATTAATTGATCATAAATTTAATCGAATCTCAAGACTATTAAAAAAATAATTTTTCTTTGTTTACTTATTTACTACTCATTCTTAAAATTTCAAAAACCATTTTATTTTAAAGTATTATTTGACTTGTATAATCAATCTATTTATTTGATTAAAAAGATAGATAGATACTCGCTTATTTTTGATACTATTTATCTGATATAATAATTGTATGAAAATTTATGTTATAGAAAGTACCACTAATAATAAATAAATAAAATTTAAGAAATTAAGCTGAGTTTATAATTATTTTATATTTTGAGAGCTGTAAAAAATAAATATTTTTGAATTATCTGATGAAATTTTGGTATAAAATAAGCAAAAATTGATTGAATTATTTTATGGCTTTTAAGCCTAACTTTTTCTAATTTAAAAATATAAACTTATGACGTATTTTAGATTCATTATGCTAATAAATAAATTTGATGATTAGAGCTCATTCAATTTATTATTTAAATAATATGTTAAAAATGTTAATAAAATACTAAATTAAACATCATTATTGAGTTTGATAAAGATATTTAAATAAAATAAAATATTACAACTATGTTAACACTTTTAAGTTAAGTTAAGTTAAGTCTGAAATTAAATTATCTATTTTTCCAAATAAAATTAGATTAATAAGCTCGAATTCAATATTTATTATAAATAATGAACACCAAATAATCAGCGTGTATTTTTTTATAATTATTTTTTTACTTCATCATTCTTAATTTTAAAAGTATTTAGAAGTAAAATTTTAAGTATTTATTTAGTAACATATGTCCTTATAAGTTTTTATTTAAACTAATAAATTCTTGTAATCCTTTTTATATAAAGAGAAATATCAAATTTAATTTAAAAAAGTTCTCTTTATCTAATCAGTATTTATTAACTAATATTAAATTTTCTTGAAGGAATATCTTATTTGAGTGATTTTTATGTTAAATCATCTTAATAATACCAATTTTAAGCTCAATATTTTAAGTCATCAAATCAAGAAAATCAAATTTTAGAGCAAAAAAACCCAATTTACAAAAGAAAATTAATTATTGATTTTTAAGTTAGATTTGATATTTTTTTAGATAATTAATAATTTAGAAAACAAATTCTTCAAATTATTTTTCAGATACATTTTTATTAAGAAGTTTATATAAAAATACTTTAAAATTATTCTTTAAAATATACAATACTATATATTTATAAGGGCAAGATACCGTAATTCGTCATTACCTAACCTATTTAACCCTCGGATTTGAGCTGGCCGAGATGTAAATTTTTATTGTTTCTAAATTTAAAAAAATTCTTCAAATGAGAAGATCTAAATTGAGTAATTAAAGTACTTTGAGCAATAGTAAACATTATTAAACAAATCTGTTCTATTTTTCCAACTTATGAAAAAACCGGAAAAATGTTTTTATAATTTCCAAATATTATTTTTCTTTATTATTGTTAATTTATTGTTTATGTGAAGAAATTCTTTAATGGGTTCATATTTTAGTAAAAAAAAGCAAAAATTATTAACATAAATTAAAAATATTCTTACATATCTTACAAATAGAAAAAACACTCAACATTTTTGATAAAAATCAGATGAATATTTTTCTTTAATACTCTACATTTTTAAATATTTTTAATTCAACTTAAGTCTATTTAATTTAATAAAATTAATCATTCAAATTAATTATCCAAATTAATTTTCTAGATTATCTAGATAGAATCTAAATTTTCAACAAGCAAGAAAGGAAAAAAAAACACAGATTTTAATTATAAAAAGAAGCAAACTGGTTGATTTTTAATTAGTTTTTCAGACTGATTGGTTGGTGGATTAAAAGCCTAATCAACCAAATAAAAATATTAATAAAAAAAAAACAATAAATTCCTTTTTACTTTAAAAATTATGAGAAAGTTAGAAATTCCATCTGAAATAGAATATAAAATTGATGTTGTGTCAGATATCAACACTGAGAGAAGATAACTAAAGAATAAATTACCAAATATGGTCTGTGATGGCAGTGAATAAATAGAGACTAAAAGCTATGAGAGTAATACTAAAGGTTCAATTTAACAGTCTACTACTAATTCAGAGTCTTGTAATCAGAAAGGAAATTAAAAAGTGGATTTTGTAGAAAAAAATGAAAACGATTGTTTTTAAAAAGTAGAAGAATACTTAACAGATCAATCACCAAAATCATTGCTACAATAATAAAAAGAGAGTGAAGCTGATTAAATAAATACAAGTCCTTAATAATTGATGTAGAAAGCTTTCGCAAAATAATTAAAGGAAAAATACGAAGGAGAAATTAAATGTGAATTGTTGCTTTAAGGAGCCCACTTAAGTAGACTTGGTATTTGCAGATTTTTTTAGCTGATATCAGTAATCGGTTACTAAGTTTATTACATCTTTTGGCAGCTATATACTTAATCTTTATTGAGTTCTTACTATACTATCAAGAAATTTGATTCTAGTAATGAAATTGATATTTTACTTGTATCTATGACTCTTTTATGTATAAGCATATCGTTTTTACTTTTTCCTGTGAGCCTAAGCATAATATTAGAATTAAAAAAATCAAATTCTATTAAAAATATTAAAATTAATGCCCTAAGAGTATAATTGGGTATATTTGATTTATTAGCATGTGTATGCTTTTTAATTTACAATCAAACTTTATTGAGCAGTGACTTTATAATAGCTGGTTTTATTAACTTTGGTTAGTATTTTCTAATATCATTCTACTATTTAAAATAGTATCAAGAATTTATAGGAAAATAAAAAATTCTTTAGTAGTATCTTTAAAAAAATCCTATTGATTGAGTTTAAAAAATATACATTTTATTAAAAAATATTACAAATTATTTTAACTAATACTTTATTTTAGTTTCAATTTATTTATATTTATGGTATAAAAATTCACTGATTTAATTTATGTTTTCGCTTTGCTTACTTACTGTTCCTATATCTGTTTATTTTAGAAGTGATAATTATTGGTTTGTTTGTTTATTTATTAATTTTTTAAGGTTAATAAAAATGTATGGCTTATAATAGACAATATTATAATTCAGATTTTTTTTAAATCTGTTTTTAGTTTGTATTTTTATCATAAAATTTAAATAATTTTCATCATAAAATAAAATTTGGTAGTATTCATTAATAAGATGATGGAATTAAATGTAATAAAACAGAAAATATTTTCTTTTTTCATTATAACGTATTATGTGGATAAAAGAAAAGATCTTGCTTGAAAATAATCAATTTATTCAATTTTTAGTTATAATATTTTGGTTTCTTTTATATTTGTAGTCACTTAATTAAGAGAAAAAGAGATTAAGTAAAAATTTATCCTAATTTTTAATCAAAGAAAAATTAATATTAAACATAAATAAGCTTTTGAGATATTGAATTTAAATATGCGAATAAATATACATATGCCTTAGTTTTTCATAAGTTAAAACCTATTTTGATTTATACCAAACCAAAAAATATTTCGCTTTAATGCTAGTTTTAAAACTTAGAATATGTGATATTAGGGAGACTAACATTTGAAGATTTATAATATATTTCTTATTAAAGAAGAAAATTATAAAATTGAGATGTATTTTAATAATAAAAATAATTGTTTAACTGATGATATAACCTAACATTTGAATAAGTAGGTACATAACTCTAGTCATCTAAGATATTTGAAAGAGTCTTATTTTTTTAAAAACAGGTAATTTATGTGAAATAAATTTCCTCATTCTCACCATTTGAAATCAAAATATTGTGTATTTAATTTATGTAATATTTATAATCTATTTAAAATTTGAAAAACTTATTAAATTCTGATATAAAACAGTAATAGCTAAATAGTTACTATTATTATATAGGTTTGAAAGTAATGTTTATGATTTATACTTAATATAGAGTAAAAAATTTGGAACAATTGATTTAACACTTATTGAAACTCTTTGCGAATTTACTATTAAAAATAAATACATGAAACTTAGAAGTTGACCAAACATGCATAAATTATTACTAATAAGGATATAGAAATAAATCAAGCCTGCTTAAATAATCATAAAAGAAGAAATAAACAAAAATTAAATAATAAATAAATAAATAATATTAACTTTAATTAATTGATAATTTGCAAAAAATATATTTCATAAAATTGGGTGTTTTAGTAAAAAACAGTTGCTAAATAAGAACTAGATTACAGTAAAATTATACTTGAAACTGCGTATGATGTGTCTTGAGTAATAGTAATAAGAGGAGCACTATAATATCAGTTAAAACAAAATTATTTTAAAAGGAAATACTAATGAATTAAATAAAGTACAAGATCAAAAATAAAATGTCTCACCTAACATAAGCTAAGGAATTTAGGAGCATCGCATAACCGAGTCTACAACTCCTGAGCAATTCGTTAAATCCAAGGTTTTTATTGCTCACAACAATGAAATAAAAATTGCTTAAAATGTTGAAAAAATAAGTGAGGTTGATAAGAGCTAGTCATTGAGAATTTTCAATCCAAATTTTATAATGATGATAATCGAAAAAGACTTAAAAGCAGACAGCAGTCCAGCTCAAGTTTAAGAGTGTGGAAAAGAAGCTCAATCAATACTAATAGAAGATGACACCATACAAAAATAGCCTAATAACCCCAATTTAACAGAACAACACTAAAATAAAGCATAAATTAAAGATATTAGGTATTTGAATTACCATAACTAAGATCTAATAAAAAAGATTCGTCTTCAAACAAGCTCTTTGAAAAAATTAACTTTTTATAATCTAATTCAAAATGCGATAATATGGAGTTATATAATTATCAAATTTGTTTGGATTTTCTACATCTTTGGAGTTTTATCATAGGATTAAAGTGAGAATTCTAACTAAAATATCATGTAGATTGATAGGTACGACACTTCGCAAAAAACTTTGATTTACATCGATTGCTTAGTTTTGGCTCTTTAAGTTGTTTTATTACCGCTCTGCAAGCTTTTCATTTACAGAAGTTTAAGAAAGCTGCAAATTTACAAACGTTTTATTATACTAGTACTAAAAATTTATCTGGTTTCAGATTTACTCTTTTTCGGACTGATCTAGTATTATTAATTTGGTTTCGATAGCAAATTTAAAATAGTTGCTGGAATCTTTTTTATACTTTAATCCATCCTATAACTTAACGATATTTAACTTTATTCAAGTATTTATAATTCTTATAAATATTGCACTGATGTCTTAAATGTTGATCCTTTAGAAATCAATATTGTTAATTGATAAATTTAGAGAATCTCTATTAAATTCAACTATTTGTATTAACTTCTTAAGCATCATTCTTTAAATCATTCTTCTTTACAAAACAATCAGAAAAATAAAACTTTATGGCTAAAAATAAATAGCAAATATACATAAAAAGTGCTATTTCATTTTAAATATTTTATATAAAATCTTTTCTTTACCAAAAATAACTCTTTAATAGCAAAAATCTTGAATCAAAAAAAAAAATATATATATATATATATATTTATTAATCCTCTTTCTTAGATATTTCTTTCTAAAAACACCGAAAATAGCCTGAATCTTTCTTTGATATCTTCCTCTCTTCTTCAGATATCTATCTATATATTATTATAATATAAATATAATGAAATCATAATTATTAGTAATTTATATATTTACATCAATGTTACTACTTACTTACTTTAGTATTATTTTTTAAATGATAACTTTATTAAAAAAAAGTAAATTTCTCATCTTTTTCTTCCTCACTCTCATTTTGTGTTAATCCGAAGTAGCTGGTTATAAATTAATTTATTAATTTTAAAATAAAAGTAAAACAATAATTTTGTATATATAGAATGGTAGCAATCAAAGAATTATCTCATAAATAAAATTAATTAAAAGAAAGTACATTGATTAACTCAATAAAAGGTTTATTTAGTCTTAAAATAAATTAATTAATTTTTGAAAATTGCTTATCAAATTTATTCCTAAAACTAATATCATCTAATCTCTATTAAAGATATCAATATTTTAATAACAAAAAGTATATAAAACTGTCTTTCATTCTTCATATAATGCCTCTTTCCACTCCCAAAATTTTTTGAAAAAAATACCTTAACACAAAATATAATACATGCTCACCAAAATATTCCTTTACCTTAATCAACCAGGAATTACTTATATTTTAAATTATATGATAGAAAAGGTAGATAAAAATATAAAAAATAACATTTATTTTAGAAGGACAACTTCATATTTGATTTAAACAAATTTAAATAGTGTTTATTATTCTAAGAAAATATAACATCAAAGATAGTCATTTTTGAGAAATAAATTTCAACCAAATGGCTATTAGTATAAGCTAATTATACAAATTTATTGAAATATTTTAATTCTTTCAAATTTATCTTTAAAAAATATTCAAGCATTTATTTTCTTTTAACATTTTTATAATGATCAAAATAAGAATTAAATCACTAACTTAGGAGTAAATTTATTTCTAAACAATTTTTCTTTTAACCAATATAACAAAAACCAATAATTGAATAGCATTTTACATTTCTACTAAAATAATTATAATATTTATTTAAGTATATATCAATCTTAGAAAAAAATAAATGATTGACCTTATATTATGATATTTATATATTTTCAAGGACATTATTTTTTTTAACTAAGTTGATTGCTGTTTAGGGTACTTGCTTATAATAATTACAAAACAAATTTTGATGTTTAAAACAAAATAAAACTCAAATTTTGATATTGCAAATATTTGATGAGATTACAGTCTACTAAAAAAAAATAAATAATTATAATTTGTTTGCAATAAATCATTGATATTTCTTATTTAAAATCAGTTTTCAATACATATTAAAATTTTTTCATGGTAATCCAATAATGACAACTATTTTTTGAAAACTGAGAAATCCTAGTAAAATTTTTCCAAAAACAAAATATTTTTTAAAAAGTCAAAAGTTAAGAAATTATTTTAATCAATTTATCTCTTACCTTCAAAGTTATGCAAAAAATGCCATGTATTTATCTACGCTCTTAGAATAGAGAAACCATAAAAAGTTTTCAATTATATAGAATTTCTTTCTTTCTATCTACAATAAAATTAGAATCTTCACACAGCTGAAAAAAAGAATCAATAAATTTTTAACAAAGACTCTTTTGTTTTTAGGAAGAGTAAAAGAATTTAAAAATATAAAATACACTGTTCTTAAATTATTAATGAGTATTTTTAATGAATGACGTTTCTAATTTCATTTATATTCACATTCAATAAATTTTATGAATTGCACGAAAAAAAAAAAACATTTAATTTTAATTTATTAAAAGAAATATAAAAAAATTTGATTTAAAGACTTTTATTTTTTGAATGACATTTTTTCTAAATTCATTTTGTTATTAAAATGTCAAGAGTATTTTAAATAGTTTATTTTCTTACTAAATTTCATTTTATTTCTTTTTAAAAAGTTTTTTATAGGCTTAAAAGTAAATTGTTTGACAAAGAGTTTGTCTTAAAATATAATTTAATACTTTCTGTAAAAATTAACCTATAAAAAAATTGGGTTTTTAACTTAAGTTTAAAAGCAAATAATTCTTAAAGGTGTTTGAAACTATATTGAAGTATTTTTATTTCACTTTTTCAAAATTAAACTTCTAATTTTTTAAATTTCAATTATTTTAAATAAGCTATTATGATAACGAGAGACTGAATGAATAATTTGCAATTCTTGTATTACTACTTCATTACTAAAAACGAATTAATTAAAAATTGTAAAAGTTTGTTCAAGCTTTATAAAGACTTAAACAGATTTTATATTCATATAAACAAAACCAAAGGCTAAAAACTTAGTGGTTCTCTGATTTAAGTTAATTTTATAAAAATAATTGAGTACTTAAGAAAGCAAATATAGGCTCAATCAACTAAATAGATAAATCAATAAAAAAATAATGAGTTAATTTATTAGAAATTAACAGAATTATAAAATAATATATTACAATCATATATTGTCAACAAATAAATAATCATTAAATAGAAAAGTCTTTTTTACTTCTAATAAACGCCTCAAAACTTTTAATATATTTTAAACCTTAAAAAAAAATTTTTTATTGAAATATTTATTAATTTATTCATTATTAGAAAAGTAAACAAACAAGCATAAATTAATAAAATTACAATTAATTATTTTAATTTACTATTAATATTTATTTTATTTATTTATTTGTTTATTTATTTATTATTAAATCAATACGAAATTGAGTAAAATTTATTGTCAGTCAACCTATTCTAACACCTTATCCCTAAAATTGTCTAAAATTAAATCCTTATTATCCTTAATTATTTTATTGCTAATTGTTTGGATTTTAATAGTTATGAGCTTAAGTCTTTGATATATACTTATTTACAAATGAAGTACTTTTTATATAATAAGATTGTTAATAAATTTTTTTTAAGAAATAGAATTATTTTACAAGAATCTAGGAGTTCTTAAGAAATCCTTTCCACTGGAAACTGGATAGATATATTTAAAGAATACGTAACCATGACCTGCAGCAACACCAATTAAATCTGAAATTATGCTTTGTCCTAAAATTAAGTGTAATCCCATCAAAATATAAGGGAAATAGCCACCTTTATTTTAAAAAAATAAATACAAAATTAAAAATATTTTATTTAGCTTTATATTTTAATTGGAAGGAATATTTTTAAAATAAATAAAGAGCTAGTTTTGTTTTTACTTTTGAATTTTAAACCAAAGAAGAATTGAACTGTCTCAAAAGGCTATCTTTTGCACCAAATATATATGAAAGCGAATAGTAAAGTGGAACACAAAAATGGTGTACTGAAAATTAATCCTGCAATCTATTTTAAAAATCGTTATAGGTATTTATTACAAAATCTTTTTATTAATCTTACTGATAAGAAAGTCATGACTACGATGTAAAGCCATAGTTATTCATCAACTTATCTGTCAGTAAAAAGTGAATCAAGTCTTGTTGTTGCAAAATATCTAATTTATAATTTATGATTTAAACCTAACCTTTAAAATTAAATTCTAAATGGATTACAGATAGACTAAATCCCAAATTATATTAGGTCCAAATGTCCCAAGAAAGAAGAAGTTTGTGAAAATTCTCCAAATCTATTATATTTTATAAATTTTAAGAAATTCTAAACTTTTGTTTGAGGTTAGTTAGTAAGTAAGTAAATAAATAAATATGATCAAAGATTTAAATCTTTTTACTTAGAAATTCTTGAGCTTTTAAAAATCTAGGTACATATAATATGGGAGAGGTGAATATATTAAGCTAGCTACAACAGTGACAGCTACTACCGCTGTTATAAATGATCTAGAAACTACTGGAAATTAAAAATACCAAGTTTTAAAGTCTTCCATTTACTTAAATTTACTATATGATTTTGTTCCTATTTTTACGCTAACTTTTTTTAATATTTAAATGAATAAAATATCTTATTTATATTATTAAATAATAATAATTTTTCAAATTATTTATAATCCACAATACTGAAATTTCTTAAAAGCTAATTTATTGATAATCAATCGATTGATTGATTGATTCTATCTGACTATTTTCAGAATAAATAAAGTGCCTACATTCTAAAATCTAAAGAAATTTCTTTAAAAAACACGTGTAAAATATTAAAAACGTCTTTGTTAATAATGTATTTAAGTAGAGATAATTTTATGGAGAAATATTCTAATTTATAAAGGTGTTTATTTAGATAATAATTATCTTATATGATATTATAGATAAAAGAAATTTATTTGTTTCACATTTTATTATGAAAATTAATCTTAAATCAACAATTTAAGTTTAAAAAATTGTACTTACTTTTAATTAAATAATAAGAATTGATTTTTTATTTCTTAATAATAAGTACAAAAGGGTGAGTGACGATTTTAGATTTCTCAATTTAATAGAAGTATTTACTACTTATTTAAATTTTACTGCTTATAATAATTATTTTAGTTTTATAATAAATGTTAAGTAAGTAATTAAGTAAGTAAGTTTGTTTTAGCTGAATTTGGGAAATGAAATATTTTAAAAGTTAATTTGTCTTAAGCTAAATGTATAAATATCAAATATTAAATATGAATAAAAATTTAATTTAATTAATGCAAATAATTTATTAATTAATAAACATCTTATTTGCACTTTTTATAAAAATTATTAAGTTAAATATGTTTTAATAAAAAAATCTTACTAAAGGGCTTCATTTAATTATTTTTTCATTTACATAATATATGTAAGGATTTTATGTAATTGCATTCTAAAATTTTAAACCTTGTTTTTAATAGAGTTTTTTCCATGTTTGCTAGATTTAAGTTTAGTTTCTATCGATATTTTTCTAATATTCCAAATATTTTCTTAATTTTATTTATAATTAAATCAAATATTAACAAATTTACAATTAAAAAAAATTTTCAATGATTAAATCAATTTATTTTTCTAAATTTAACTAATTTTTAAAATTTAATCTAATTTGTTTTTTAAGCTAAAAATTTGTCTAAAAATCTTTTAATTAAGTATTGATTAGTTAGTATAGCCTATCTAAAATTAAAAAGGTATTTAACTCTATTTCGATAGTAAAATTTAAAAAACTTTTAATTAGAAAATAATTTTACAAATAATTTTTTAATTGATAAATTTGAAAATCAAAAAGTAAAAAATAACTTTTATAATTTTAAAAAACAAACAAGATTTTAATAAAGTCTTAATACTGAAATAAATATGAATTTATTGATTGATAAATTTATGAATTAAAAAAAAATAAATCATTTTGTATTTAAATCCTAAAATAAAAGATATTTAGTATGAACAAAAAAAAATTTAATTAATACAAATAATTTACTCTTTAATTGCATTTATTATTTTAATTGTTAAGTTTGATATTTCTTCATAAAGAAATATATTTAGTGCTAAAATAGCATCATTAAATTACTTTTTACATTAATATTACTTATACTCCTAAAATAGCAAATATGAAAGGCCTTTATTCTGATATTTTAGACAATTTAAAACCTTGTTTTTAATAGAATTTGTTTCCATGTTTATTTGAGCTTAATTTGCCTAAAAATAAATACTTTCTATTTATTTTTTTTGCATGTTCTTCTACCATTTTCATAATTTAGCTTGCAATACCTCTTCCTTCGTATTCCTTTCTTACAGCAACTCTGCTAACTTCTCCTGTTTCGTTAACAGGTAAATTTAAGACATTCTCAAAATCAGTATCATATGTAGTCATAGCCACAAGCAAATCCTTTTCAGTATCTACTGCAATAAAAAACTTTCTATCTCCAGAAAAATACTACATCATTGAGTCTTTTTAAAAGTATCTTCGTATAATGAAGCTAGAATAGGATATTTAAGTTGATAAAAACAATTTCTTAGCTATGAAAAAGCAGTAGAGGTGAATAGTGCCAATAAAAATAGAAATTATGTAACCTATATTTAAAAAGCTGAAAAGGATAGCATATTAAATGCCAAATATTATTGCTAAAACTAACCCTACAATTAAAATCCCCTATTATTTTATTGGCTCTATCAAGTAATCATAACCCTAAGGAGTATGTGTTCTTGGTAGATTCTAAGGATAAAACTCTATCAATTAATCGTAGTATTTCAAATCAAATTCCATGTATTTTATATTTTGGGAAGCTACATTTTTTACCTTAGAATCAATCTAACTCATTTTTTATTATTGAAATTGTAATACCTATTTTTTAGTTTTAAAGTTTAGTTTACAAGCAAATTAACTTTGATTAATTTAAAAATTATATATTATTGTGCAATTTTGATTAGCTTAAATTTAATGTAGAATTAATAATCAATTGCTTTATTTATACATGCTAATTTCGCTACAAAAATCAATATCCTTAAAAATAATATCATTAATTCTTAAACTTTTATTTTCAGATGAAAAAATGTCTTATAACATTCAGTAAAAACCGGATTCTTTAAAAAAGGCTGGTAATTTATTTGTTTAATGAGTTTGAATATAATAAATACATTATGTTCTTTCTTTCTATCTATCTATCTATCTATCTATCTATCTACTAATTTACATTTAAAAAATTATTTTATAGATAATAATAAATCTATAATCCCTATCAACCAATAAATAAATAAAAAAATTATATAGCTACTTCTCGAATATTTAATTCTCGAGTAGGAAATATATATTTAATAGTATAATAAATATTATTTAATATAATATATACTATAAAGAAATAAAAAAAAGGCTTTGAAACAGGTATCAAACCTGATAGAATAAAAAAAAAATAAGTAAAAAATATTTAATCAAAGATTTAATTTTTTGATGAAAATTCTTTTTACAAACATTAAATCTAAAATTTAATATTTATTTATATATTAAAATGAATGAAAAATATTTTTAAACTCTAGATTAAATGTTTGACTGATATTAAAATTTAGATTTCTTCTAGTAGGTAAGAAAAAAAAAAAGAAATAAATCATAAGCGATTTAAAATTCTTTCATCTTCAAAATAAATGCTAAGGAAGGAAGATTATTTGTTTTATATCTAAATATTTGGTGAATCTAGTATAAAATTTAAATTAAATTAATATATAAATTTTTAATCAAAATTTATTTTATTTATTAAGCTGTAGGTAAAAGTTGTATTGTTTTATAAGCTACATAAAATAACTTCAAAGATGAACATGATAAAACGATTACACTAAAATTAGCAACTAAAATAATAAAATAAGATAATAAAATCTTTAAACTACGCATCTGGGATACAGTAATTAATAAATAAATAGGTCATTTTCATATTTTTAATGAAAATCTTTTTAATTATTTTCTTATAATTTAATCAACATCAATAAAAAATTTTAAAATATTTAATTAAAGACTATTTGTAATATATTTTTTAATATTTTTGATATAATTATTAGCCTGGTTAAAAAATACTTAGGTGTCTTGTTTTGCATTCCTATGAAAAAACAGCATAAGGAGCTATTTTAATTTACGATATTACTAAGTAATGTAATTTAAACTATTGTTTAACTTAAAAAATAAATTTATATAATATTAGTCGTGAAAACTTTCTTAATATTAGTGGAATCATCAAATAAATCAGAGATAGTGAGAAATCTTATGTGCCTTTGATTTTAGTAGGAAATAAGTTTGATTTAGAATAAAAGTACATAATTAACTATTTTGGTTTTTTCAAATAATTTAACATAAATTTTCTAGTTTAATTAAATATCAAACATATAACTTTAAAATAAAGTCGTGAAGTAAGTTATACAGAAGGAGAAAATTTTGCTAAAGAACATGATCTTTTTTTCTTTGAGGTGAGTGCATTTACTGGTTATAATATTGAAGTATTATTTAATAAAATTACTGAATTGGTATATGAGAATTAAAACAAATGATATAAAATTTAAATATTAATTATTTATATTATTTATTAATATATTTAGCTAGCTTTTAGTTAGAGTGCTTAATTGGTTGGTTAGCTAATTTTGCAATTTATTTTTTTTCAGATCCATAAATATTTCAAAAATTAACAAATTTCCAAAATAAAATATAATTTTTTTTAAGCTAAACAAATGTTTAAATTTCTTTTAATTAAATATTCATGAGTTTAATTGATACATTTGAAAATCAAAAAGTAAAAAATAACTTATTCTAATTTTAAAAAACAAAATTTTTATCAAGTATTAATTTTCAAATAAATAAGAAGTTATTGATAAATTTATGAGATAAATAAATAAATAAATAAAATAAATTTTTTTGTATTTAAATCTTAAAATAAAAGATATATCGTACAATCAAAATAACAAATTTAATTAATACAAATAATTTACTCTTTAATTATGCTTAATATTTTAATTGCTAAATTTGATATTTCTTCAAAAAGAAATATGTTTAGAACTAAAAAAGAATCCCTCAATTACTTTTTTCATTAATATTACTTATACATACTCATAAAATAGCAAAAATGAAAAGTCTTTATTCAGAAATTTTCTAAAATTTAAAATCTTATTTTTAATAAGTATTATTGCTAAAACTACCATAAAAATCTCCTATTATTTTATTGGCTCTATCAAGTAATCATAAACCTAAGGAGTATGTGTTCTTGGTAGATTCTAAGGATGAAATTCTATCAATTAATCATAGTGTTTCAAGCTATAGAATCAATCTAGCTTATTTTTATTATTGAAATTGCTATACCTACCTAGTTTTTAATTGTAAAGTTTAGTTAACAAGCAAATTAATTTTGATTAATTTAAAAATTATATATTATTGTGCAATTTTGATTAGGTTAAATTTACTGTAGAATTAATGGTCAATTGCTTTATTTATATTTATGTTAGTTTCACTATAAAAATCAATATTTTTAAAATAATATCATTAATCCTTAAACTTTTATTTTAAGATGAAAAAATGTCTTAACATATTCAGTAAAACGATGAACTTTAAAATGACTGGTAATTCTTTTAAGTTTAATGAGTTTGAATCAAATAAATATATTATGTGCTATCTATCTTTAAAAAATTATTTTATAGAAAATAATAAGTCTATAATCCCTATCAACCAATAAATAAATAAATAAATAAATAAATAATATAGCTATCCTAGAATAGTTATTTCTCAAGTAGGAAATAAACATTTAATACTACAATAAATATTATTTAATAAAATAAATTTAAAAAAAATAAAAAAAGGTTTTGAAATAGGTTTCGAACCTAATAGAAGAAAAAAAAATAAGTAAAAAATGTTTAAACAAAGATTTAATTTTTTAAGAATATTTTTATAACAAACATTTAATCTAAAATTTAAAATTTTTTATATAAATAAAATTTTTTTTAACTCAAGATTAAATGTTTGACTTATATTAAAATTTAGATTTCTTATAGTAAGTAAGTAAAAAAAGGAAATAAATCATAAACGATTTAAAATTCAATCATCTTCAAAATAAATGCTAACGAAGTAAGATTATAGGTTTAATATTTAAATATTTGGTGAATCTTGTATAAAATTTAAATTAAATTAATATTTCAATTTTTATTCTAAATTTATTATTTTAACTAAGCTGTAGGAAAAAGTTGTATTGTTTTATAAGCTTCAGAAAATAAATTCAAAGATGAACATGATAAAACGATTGGAGTAGAATTCTTAAATAAAATAATATAATATGATAATAAAATCTTTAAACTATCCATCTGGGATACAGTAATTTATTAATTAATGAATAAATCATTTTCATATTTTAAATGAAACTTTTTTTAATTATTTACTAATAATTTAATAAAAATTAATAAAATCTTTTAAATATTGAATAAAAGATGATTTTTGATATATTTTTAATTTTTTTTCAATATATTTATTATTTTTAGGCTGGCTAGAGTAGATTTAGGAGTATTGTTTTTTGCTACTTTGAAAAAGCATAAGGAGTTATTTTAGTTTATGATATTACTAAGTAAATTAATTTAAACTATTGATTAGCTAAAAAAATAAATTTATGTAAATTAGTCGTGAAAGCTTTCTTAATATTAGTGAATTCATTCAAAAATGTAGAGAAAGAACTAGATCTTATGTGCCTTTGATTTTAGTAGGAAATAAATTTGATTTAGAATAAAAGTACATAATTAATTATTTTGGTTTTTTGAATTAATTTAACATAAATTTTTTAGTTAAATAAATATCAAACATATAACATTAAAATAAAGTCGTCAAGTAAGTTATACAGAAGGAGAAAATTTTGCTAAAAAACATGATCTTTTTTTCTTTGAGGTGAGTGCATATACTGGTTATAACATTGATGAATTATTTAACAAAATTACTGAATTGGTATATGAAAATTAAAAATGATGACTGAATATTTTAGTTGATTTAATTGATTAAATTATATATTTAAAGCAAAAAAATTAAGTAATAGATAAAATTTTTAACTTTTTTAATAATAATTAGTTTGTTTATTTGAAGAATTTTTTCAATTAAAATTAAATTTATTTTTTGTTTAATTCATTTTTACATAAAATGAGCAGAAAAGTTTACTCGTAACTAAAAACCAAATAATTGAAATCTATTTAATCTACTTTACTGTTTTTATCTATTTATTTAAAATATAAAGAATATCTTTTTGTTAGAAAAATGAATATTGTTTTTATTTAAAATAAATAAGTAAAGTTATAGCCTTGTTTTAATTATTATAATAAATACAAAAATAAATCTTCAAAATGACTCTAAGAATTTAGATTTTCTTTTTAGCTAAGCTTTTTCTTAATACAAAAATAAGTTAGATACCTTTAAACCCTTTAAATAATAATTGGCAAAACTTCATCAAAATTAAAATGATTTTTATAATTGACTTTGAAACAAAAAATAAAATATTCATTTTGAATTTCAATTCTTCTTAATAAATTCTTAATCTGTAAGCTTATAATTTATTTTTAGTAAGCTAAATAATTAAATGTTTTTGCAAATTTTTCATTCATTTAGTTATTATTTGAAATTGTAAACCGACTTTCTTATCATTTACCTAACTAATATCTTTTGAATAGGTGCTTTTTTTTCTGAATAGTGTAAGATATATAAAAGAATTACTTAATTATTTATTTATATCTTATTATTATTATCATCATCATCATCGTTACTAAGAAATGCTTGAGTAATCAGATTTATAATATCATTTTTGTAATGATTCGTAGTTGTTTTAAAATAACATGTTATATTAAAGAAATAGATTATTTTTTTTATTGCTATCATTTTATTAAATTATAAATTTTATTATTTTTAATAATGTCTAAATATATTTCCTAATTCTAATTGGTAGCCTAAGAGTAAAAGCGGATCTATGTTTCTAAATTTGAATTCCTTAAGTGATCATATATTGCTTATGTCTTAATATCTTTTTAGATTAGGCTTTTATAAAAAATTTGATGAGAAGATGACAATTAATCTTATTTATGACCTAATAATTTTTAATTAAAAAGATTGAAAAAGTAAGGAAAATAAGTTATTAAAGATTATTGATAATTTAATCAAATAATTAAAAAAATATGTAGCATAAAAGATATTTCCTAATTTTGCTTTTACTTACTGCTTTCTGTTAGTGCTAAGTTATTAATAAGCGAAAGCAGCTCAATCTATAAAACAACGAGCTTTATCTGTAAAGTCTATCGGATTTTATTAATGAACCTGCTACCTAAATAAATTGGCCTTCTTTTGATGGAGTTAAACAGATTTTAAAACCTTTTTAAATACTTTAAACCTACTAGGATGCATAGCCTATTAAAACTTTGGCAGTTTTGGATTAGGGAGAATAAGTAAAGTATATTATTGGGTATACTGAACAAGCAACTGTTTAGTCAAATTATTAGCTTTCAGTAGTTTATTAGAAATTGACATTTGATTCTACTTGCTAATGCCTAGTCTAGACTAATATCTCTTAATAACTAGAAACTGTAAGCTCAATTCCAGAGTTATTCTTTGGGAGCTTTTACAACTTTAATAGTGGTTTTATTTCCTACACTATTGGCTTTGCAGTAAAGACTTACAGATTCTAAATTACTTCGTAGAATTAATTTCAATTAGATGCTTTAATTTCATTGAAATTATATCATCATGTTTCAATCTAAGGAACTAATGGCTCTATTTATGTTATTCAGTATGTTGATACAAATTAAAGTTATTATCTCATAAAATTAGATGCTTCTTTGAATGTTATTTTTACAAAAGAAACCTAAACTCCAATTTGCGATCTATAGACAGCAATAGTTGATACTGGAAGATTCTATTTTAACTATTGCTACTTTCTTAATAATACCAGCTTAATCGCTGTTAGTATTAACTTCATCAATGAAACTCTATCTTTTTAAAAATTCGATAACATTTCTTAATCTGCTCCTTTATCATATGTATCTAAGAGGATTGGAAATTTTATTATGATTGCATTATATGAAATTTAAGAATGTACTATCTTAAAATTAAAGTCAAACGAAAGCATAAATGATAATGTATTTAATTTGATTTCAAACATTAAATTTCCAAAATCTTTTTAAAACCAAATAAATTTTATAAATCAAAATCTTTTGGGTTTATATTCAGATAATATTTTGTAATTATTTGATTAAGATAGATAATAAACAATTTATCAAACTCAAGTAGATTAAGATGGATTTAGTATTTAATCTGTACACAGTTTAGGAAATTAAATGTTTCTCTATTTATTCGACAGCTTTAAGAAATATTCAAAAACTCTTTCAGTATAAGTATACATACCATCATTTACAATTCAATTAACCCAATCTACAACCTCTCCAATTTAATTTAGTGTAGTAACAGTTTCTCAAACTACATTTTTAATAGAAATAAATGTAAATATAGTGTAGCAAAATACTGTACTTTTTGTGTCAGATTAAGTTACAAAATAAAAGACTATTCAGGTTTTTTAAGATGAAAATGTACAATTATAACCTATAGAAGATCAAGTAATTGGATCTGATCTTTAGTTAAATGTTTCTATAGATCCTTCGTCTTAATAATATATAAAGAATGCTAGTTTTATTAAAATTGTTAATCTACCAATTAAGGGTGACATTAATTCTATTAGTCAAAGCTGCATTGGTTATTAAACTGATGGATTTTTCTCAACTCTTTTTGTGTGTCCTTCTTAATAAATGTTCAATATAATAGCTGCTTAAGCTAATTCTACCAATTAGAATTATTAAAGTAAATAAGGTCTGATAAATACTTATAAAAGTTTGACTGATTTCCCAAACACAATAAAATATATTGATAATTAAGGTTCATTTACATTAGAATAAAGCTAGTCATAGAACTTAATTAATATTTATCTTCCTTATTTGAATAATTAAATCTTATATTTTACAATGATTCCCATTTAATGCACTGATCAAAACTTCTAGTTCGCTTCAGATCCAGCACAAAGTGTATTTTTTACTTATTGTAATAATGATATTACATTATATTTATACACAAACAGTAATTCTAACTAGATTATTAGTAAAACGGTTATTATTTCCAATTAATATTTTAATGAATTGATTTGCATTGATGGAATACTCTTCGCTTATAATGCTTAAACGATTTATGCTTACAATTATATTTAATTTGGCTCTCTTGGTTAAATAACTATCCCTACTGAGGGAAACACCTAATAATTAACTCTATTTAAGAGTTCATTTTTAGTAACCGTTATTGATAATCCTTTGACAAAAATTGCACAATATTCTTACAATAATTTCTCTTCATAATCAGCTACTTTTATTAGGTATCTATAAATAGACAGCAGTCATCCTATAAATATTTAAGGTATAATTATAGCTAAGAGATCTGAAGTTGAAATAGCTTACATCCTCTCTACAACAGTAAACCAGTATTACATTTATAGGGTTAACAGTTAACAATGGTCTAATTAACTCTATGCTCCTGTAAGCTTTAATTTACCATAAACAGTTATAAGTGGCTATAACATATGCTAAATGAATCCTCTTGTCTTCTAATAAGTCCTAAAAGAAGCCAGTGTAAAATATGAACTAAACTTAACTCCTAATTAATTTAACACTAACCATTTATGGTCAGCTTTATTTGCTCTTTCCCTTTAAAAAGACTAAAATTAAAGTCGCTAGAATTTAAAATCTATCTAATAAATCCAAAGAATACTGTAAACTAATTAGGTCTAGTACACATTGCTTATTAACAGAGATGCAAGTGCTGCTTTTGGAAATGTCAATCAATAATCAGAATAAATCTAACAACTTAAAACATAAATTCAAGATATTTAAGTTGGTGACGATGAAAATGATTTTATTTTCAACTTCAAAGATTATTCTGTTTATAATGCTTGCCTAACTGGATGGTAAAATTCAGAAAGAGTATAAATAATACCAAGAATTGACACTTCAACACCACTCATTGGAAACTAAGTTTTCACAATTCTCTACAATTAGCGTGTCTAAATTCAAAAAAATTAAATTTCTAGTTTCTTTACAATTTAAGGAAACTTTAACGATTGCATAATTTTAGATGATAAAGCTTCACTTTAAAGTCCTTCTAGCCATAATTATTCATTCACTCTATACATTATATGCCAATCTTATGTTTCTTAATACTAAATTTAATATCAGATTGATGAAAATACGGGATAAATTAGCAATTCTAATGTATCTGATCCAGTTAATTACTTTTTTGATTCTAAGATCTTACTATTGTCAAACATTAAAGAAATTATAAGTTACAATTAATAATTTTATTTATATTTTATTGGAGGATTGAATCCTTCTTTGCTAATATTAAATTCTCAGCTAAAGTAAGCTTCTATACAATTGTTAAACAACTCTTTTTACAATAAAAAGAGCATTAATTTCATCTATTAATTAAACCTTTACATAACTATATATTCTACAGGATTAATTTAGTATCATTTAGCTTCATAATAAACATAAACGACCTATGCACTTTATTTGTAGGATCTATTAAGTGCTTTTAATTTTATAGTAAGTCCAAACGATTATGTCTAAACTATAGAATAATATTCTGATCTACAATTTAGGATATCATTTGCAAAATCTTATATCTATGATATTACTTTCCAGTTAAATTCAAATTAATAATTACAAATTTAGTCTGTAAGTTAATACTACTACTTAGATGCTTTCTCAGAGTATATTTCTGGATATAAAGGAAGTAAATACACAATATTATTTGGATAAAATTAAGTCAAGCAGTTGTATTTTGTTTTATATCAAAATTCAGCTTCATTATAAAGCATATACTTAATTTAATCAGCTTATTAATATGAATCAATAGAAGCCTATAGTGTTAGTCCTACATATGTCAAACAAATGACTCCCAATAGTATTTAAGTTGTTATTTCAAGTGGCTATACCTTTAGTATAAAAATATCTGATTTTTTAGGTGTTAAAATTATATATCTAGATGAATCACAAACATAAAACTAAGGCTAAATAGCTCCTAATTAATAAAACAACCCAGATAATACAATAACATTTAATATACCTCCAAATTAAAATTCAAAAAGTAAATCTTATGGTCAAAATTTACTTTTTAATTTATTAAATATTATCATTACTGTGATTTTAATTATTTGAATTAAGTTTACATTTTATTTTTATATAAACAAATTTTAAAAAGTTATTTTTTACTTTGTAAACAAAATCATAAAATTAAATTTATAAATTTCATTTAATTACCTTCCAATAAAATATTTTTCATGTAAATTCTTGATTTATTTTAATATATTTGTTTGTTATAAAGGTCTTTTTATATTAAACTATTTATAAAATCACAAAATTAAATTTAAAAATAATTAATTATAAAAATATTTATGCATAAATTTTATTTAATTAACAAAATATTTTTTAATAAAATTTAATTTCCTTTTGATAAAATATTTTTACAAATAATTTTATTGATTTGAATTTATTTGTTGTAAAGGTCTTTTTTCTTATTTTGTAAACTGTTTGCAAAATCATAATAAATAATTTAATTAACAAAATATTTATAATTTAATATCATTTAATTAGTTAATAATGTGTAAATAATAAATTGGATTTAGTTTACTTTTAGTAAAATATTTTTTTAAAGTAATTTTTTGATTTGAAATAATTAAATGATTTTTTTTTAAAATGGTTTTTTAGAGTTTGGAATAAATTTAATTTTAATAATAATATTTTTAAAAATAAAATAAAAAATTTTAAACAAAATAAAAAATCAAGTAAGTAGATGTTATAAGATTTTTTCATTGAGACAGACAGAATCATAATTACTTTATTGTGTAGAAGTATAAATGCATTGATTCTATTTAATATTTTGTAAATTGATAAAGAATTAAAGGGTAAAATAATCTACATTATTATATATAGTAAAAATTAAATATTATAATAGATATATATTTTGAAATATTATTCTGTTCATTATTAAGACTAGATTTAAATATTTTAAATTTCACTGTTATTTTACAGGCTTTGCTAAACAAAAGTTTCTACATTTGATTATCTAAGGGAGATACTAATTGATACTCTGCAGTTAGGACATGTATTCTTCTTAGTTTTTAACCATTAGCGGATACATTAGCTATGAAAAATGTGATTACATTCGAATGAAACTATTTTACCACTCTAGATATCTTCTTAACATATAGAGCAAGTGTTGTCATACTTGAACTCGTTAGGAACATCCATGCTTAAAACGCTTTCTGTTTTGATATAAACTTAGCCATCGATTTAGTTCTCACTAAGTAGAGGTGAGTTCATTTAACCTACTTGCGAATTTAAGAGCTTCTTTAATTTTATTGTAATTATCATGTAGTATAAATGTATAGGCAAAAAAATCCAATAGAAGGTAAGATTTCCTGAGAAATTATTTTAGAGAATGATATCATTGAATTCATTCCATATATTAAGAGAAAAGATTAATTCTACTGAGCAGTAACTAATAATGACTACGAAAAACAATAAACAGACAACCTAAAGGAATGTTAAAAAGTAAATAGAGAACTTTAATTTTCTTAAATTTTCATGAGTTATTAAATTGATCGATCTCGCTCTATAAATAAGAGATAATGCTGAAGAAGAAGTATACAAAAGGACTATACTTCCAATTTAAAAAGCTAATTCATAATCTTATATTACAACGAATGTTATTGAACCAGCCAAGAGAATTACCAACACAAATAAAGATATAATTATCTCAAAGATGATCTAACCTCTTGGATTATCTAAACACCCCATCGCTTAGTTAGGACACTGCTTAGGTTTATACTATTTAGATCTTGTTTTGAAAGTGTTTACTCAAAAAACTTAAATTTTTAATATTATAAAGAAAGTATTACTAATTAATTAATTAATTTATATAAAATCTGATCATTATTTTAAATTAGAAAATTTTAAAACATAATTTTTTTCTTAACTTTTTTGTTGATTCTAGCAAAAAATATTTATTAGAATGTTAGTTGTTATTATTATATATGATATTTAAAAATTTAAATAATTAGAAATTATTTAATCTATTTTCTTATCTAATTATATTTCAATAGTAAAGTAATAATTTAATCATTTACACATTTTAGCTTAATAGAACAAAAATAATTTACACAAAAATAGGTCTAAAAAAAAATGGATGATAAAGCTATTGAAATACTTTCATAAATAAATTTTGAATGCATGATTAATAAATAAATTTTATTAAACTTACTTTAAAATGCATTAAAATAATTTAAGGAATAAACAAAAGTTTATTATTACGACAACGACTCTCATTCTGTAACTTTAATAATAGATAATTCAGATGCTCCAATTTATTTAAAAATATGTCTTTTTGAATCAGATCAAATGAGTTAATTAATTAAGATTTTATAAAAATACTTAAAAATTTTTAAAAAATAAACTTAAATAATAAAATAGAATTGAATTCATCTGATTTAGTAGACTCTCAAGTAGCTTACAAGGTGTCTTAAGTTGAAAATTTTGCTTTGTATTACTATGAAAAAAAATAATGTAAATTTTTTACATTTTATGTGTAAATAATCTCAAGTTAATTCCTAATTTTAATATAAAGTTGAAAACCTGAGAAAAATATTTTAATTAGACTAAGTAAAAATATTAAATAAAGTAAATATTAAAAACAAAGACTAATTTTATATTAGATCACTGAAGAAACATCTAATCTTATTAGAAATCTTCAAATTAAAGAGTAATTAATTAAATAGATTTTAAATTTATAAGTATTAAATAAAATCTTTTTTAAAGTTGTATTAGCATGGGATAGTAAGACTGCCTTGATTTAGGAAATTAAATAAGCAAATGCTTTAATCTTTCTACTCTTAACATTGACTTAACGTAAATATGTTCTTTTTCTTGAGAGAATATTAAAATTAATTAATTTTATTAGATTGTGCACTTTCTTTAAATATAAAGGATGTGAATAGCTCGCAGATGCAATTTCTAAATGTTAATTTATCAGAGAAATTTATTTAGAATTGATGTACGTTTTTATTGATATTCTTATATTAATATTATTTAATAATATTTACATTCATAAAATAAGGAAAACGAACATAAAAAAAGAAGGAGCTACTGTTTTAGGTTAAAAAATATCAAAATGCTAAAATCTTTGTAAAATAACATTAGGTTTATAGTAAATTTTTTCTTTATTTCCATAATACCTTTACTTACATATAATCAATCAAAGAGAAAATGATATAGGATCGGATGGCCTTTCATCTATTATAGAAGGGATAAGCAAGTCAAGCTAATTAGAAATGCTAACTCTTTATCTTCAGTAAAAAATCAAATATTTAAAAAATAAATAAATTAATTATTTTTTAATCAAAAGGGATAATAATATTGGTGTTAATGACTTAAGTTAATTTTCTATTTATCTTAAAGAGTGTTAAAAGCTTAACTTTTTGCATTTACAATTAAGGTTGATTTACTTATTTATTGATGATGTTTCAATTCTATTTAAATTTATTTTTTAAATGTTTAAATTAAAGCCGAAATAAATTCGATCAGAACTCTTTGAAACAACTTGCACAAGGAATAGCGTTATCGTCAACTTTAAAGACCTTGATTTTAATTATCTCGTAATTAATTTTACATTTTAAAGGATAAAAATTTTAATTTTTTTAGAGGAAATAAATTAGATGACTATAGTTTAAGTGAATTAGGAAAGGTTCTAGCGAATAGTTGCAGCATTTAAAATATTACAACTGATTTTTAGTAAAAATAAATAATATAAAATTTATTCGTATAACTTTAATACTTTATATAAAGCCAGCTTTAAACAAGCGAAAATAAAAATTAAGAATAGGCTTCACTCAAAGAAAAAAAATAAATCTTCTAAACTCTGAAGACACTAAATTTGGATCTATTGTATCTATTTATTTATTTTAACAGCAATTATAATTTAAAATTAACTTAATTGTTAAAAAGTGCAAGCAAAATAAACTAATAAGGTTTATTGAGTTTAGGCCAAGAACTAGCTAAATGCTAACAATTATCTCAGCTTGAAATGGATTTTAAGTAATTTTTTTATTTTTAAATGTTTAATTTTAATTTTATTTTATTAGAGCTAGTTAAATAGATGGTTAAGGATTAGCTAACTTTTCGCTGGGATTGAAAGAAATTGATAATTTAACTAATTTAACATTAAATTTCAGTAACTACAACTGTGGAAAATAGTATATTCCTCTTCAAAATAATATTTCATTTTCTCAATAAAATTAATAAAAGCTATAACAGGATTAATTCGATTGGAATAGAAGAACTAGCAAAAGGAATCTCAAAACTTATAAATTTACAGTTACTAAACTTGAATTTATAGTAATTGCAAATAAAATATTATATCTAAATAAATATTTTAATATTTTGTAATATATAATAGAAACAATAACATCACCAGTGAATCATTAATACAAATTGGAAACTCCATAAGCAATTGCTAAAAGTTAATGATTTTGCTATTAAATGCATCTAATCCTATTAACCAAAGTTTAGTGTATATATTAGTATTAATTAAACTGATAATACAGATTTCATTTTAAATAAAAAATAGTAACAATGAGTTTTATTAGTTTATGAGCTCAGTTTGCAAATGTAGATTGTTGAAGCAAATTTCTATTTCTAGGAAGTATATTTATTTATTTATTTATTTATTTATATATTTTTTATATCAATTTCAAAATAATAAAAAATAGTTAGAGCAGTTCATGCTAGCAAATTAATGAGATTAAAAAATAAATAAAATAACTAGAGCATCTTAATTATATAAAATTATAAATAAGCGAAGCTTAGGATTATTATTTTAGGTAATAGTGTGTTTGGTACAATCAATTTTGTAAGATTTAGACTTTCAAAAAAGCAAAAAGACTTGTGCGCTCCTAAATACTTTGACTCGAAATATAAATTAATTATATTTATTATATTTTTTCTTTTTTGTAAATCGTAGAATATTAGTTAAATAGTAAATAAAATTTTGATAAAATTATTGTTTAATTGTAAAATATTTAAAATGTTTTTTTGAAAGAATAATAAATGCAAATTATAAAGTATGATTAAATTAAATTAATTAGAATTTATATGCTTAAGTTGTTTTGAGTATTATATTTGACAATAAATAACTATTTAATGATTTAATATTAGAAAATAAATATTTAACCATTTAATTGAAAAAATGAATTTTTATTTAATCATTTTATTTTTTGAAAATAAATATTTAATGATGAAATTTCTAAGACTTTTAATTTGTAAAACAGTTTTAATTTAGATAAAAGATAAATAGCAAGTAAATACGTTAGAGAAATAGTTGGTAGATATAGAAAGATCTTCTTTCTATTTTAATAAGCGATATATAATTGATTTTACTTTTCTTTTATATATCTTAATAAATTCTGATATAGAAAGTTTCAATTCTATCATATTAAATAGACAATTTATTACTGTATAAACTAAAAATTCTTAAAGTCAAAATCAATTAGTTATTAGAAAAAAATTAATATTTTCATAAAAAGTTTAATAGTTTCAAAAAGAAAAATGTGTTTAAGCATAAGCTAATAAGATTTCTTGGTGTTTACAGGAATAATAGCAAGTGTTATTATTTCATCAATGAATATTTATGAATTTATATTACTCAGCTAAGAAGGAGAGACAAAAGCTCTGTATGCTATTATATGGACTTGGATTATATCTAAAATACTATCTTTACCATCATAAAAATGTAGAATAAAGTGTGAAGAATTGATGATTTAACTTCTAGGATTTATTTTTTAATGTGAGTGGTATTTCAACTATCAGGACACTAAAAATACAATCAATAGGCTGCTTAAATAGCTGCTATTTATAACAATACCTACCTTGGTGGTTAATATATATTTGCTTTCTGATTTAAACAGAAATATTACGCATTGCTATTACATAATTATGATTTTTATGACTTTTACTATTTTGTGGCTTCAAATTATTTATTAAGTTATGGATTCATAACTTTCAGTACCTGATCAAACATTCACAAGGATATTCTCAATGTTCTCCAATTTTTGCTTTTACTACCTGTTTGTTCAAACAATATTTTATTAATAATATATTTGCATAAGTCTCATGATAATAAATGCTTTAGTAGGAGTTTTAGATTTTTGGTTTTTTAGATATTAAAGACGCATCGAAGAGTGGTAGGAAGATATACAAATAAATATATTTTCTTACATATTCTAGATAAATATAAATAACTTTTAAACATTTCCTAAAAACTGTAGAAACTTAAATTTACCAAGTTGGGAGTAGATTTTGAGACTTGCTGTTTAGTAAATTAATATAATTGTTTTCTTTATTGTTAAGCTTACTTGCTTTCCTTTAATCATTCAACTAGACAAAGCATTTTATGTGTATTTTGCTTTGAGCATCCCATAATTTTATTTACTTGGAATTAACTTATACTATAAATTGGTTAAACATGAAAGAGTATCCGCAAAATTGTGTTTGAACTAAGACAAATTTATCATAAATAACTAATTATACGAAGCTTTAAAAGACAGATTTACTTATAATTATGAGTTAGATGTCATGATTAACATAAACAATATTGAAGAATTGAATTCATATTAGTTTGGAGAAAATGTGAAGACTTTACAAAAATTCATGGCTTTTGCTTACAAATATTCATTAAATAGCGCTATGCTATCTATTCAAAGTTAAGATTAGTAATTATAAATTTATTTAACATTGAATAAAACACTAATTGAAGGAGAATAAAAAATACAGGTTTCTAATTAATTCTTTAAAAACAATCTAAACATTAATTTATTAGGATATCTAAGACAAATACTTGTTTTAGACAATTCTTATTAGGTAGATTTGGTTTGCCCTATCCAAAAAATGAATGAAGCTGAACATTTACTAATAACAACTCAGCAATACAATCATAATGTATTCACAGTTAACAAAATCAAAAATGATATATTAAATGAACAGCTTATTTAAATAACCGCGAATAACTTTCAAATTATGGCATTTTATAAAAATATTAAATAATTTATACCAATAAACCCAAGTCATTTATTGTTTGATTTATATAACGAATGAATATAAATTATTTATTTTCTTAAAAAAAACAAAGATATTTCTTTTTAAAAGTTTGTTTTATTAATTCACTCTAATTTTATATAGTCCATTGAAGCTACTCCTTAAACTTTTAATTAAGTCATTTTGAAATTTTAGTATATAGATTATTTGAAATTTTTAATTGCAAATTATTTAAAATGTTACATAGAAAGATATATAAATACTGATTATAAAGTAAGATTAAATTAAAATAATCAGAATTTATATGCTTTAATTATTTTGAGTAATATTATTGGCAATAAATATATTTTTTATGATATTGAAAAAAATAAAAATTAGAAAATATTTTTTTATTTATGTTTTAATTTTTTAAACAGTTTTATTCATATAAATAAATAGCAAGCAAATAAGTTAGTTAGATAAATAGTTGGTAGATAATAGAAATGCCTTCTTTCTATTTTAATAAGCTATATAATTGATTTTACTTTTCTTTTCTATATCTTAATAAATTCTGATATCTAAAGTTTAAATTCTATCATATTAAATAGACAATAAATAACTCTAAAAACAAAAAATTCTTAAAATCATAACAAATTATTTAAAGAAAAAAATTAATATTTTTATCAAAAGTTAATAGTTTCAAAAAGAAAAATGTGTTATAGCTAAAAAGATTTCATGATATTTTAAGGAATATTATCAAGTGTTATTATTTCATCAATGAGCATTTATGAATTTTAATTACTCAGCTAAGAAGGAGAGACAAAAGCTCTATTTGCTATTATATGGACTTGGATAATATCTAAAATACTATCTTTACCATCATAAAAATCTAAAGTGAAATGTGAATATTTTATAATTTAACTTATAGGATTTATTTTTTAATGTGAATGGTATTTTAATTATAAGTTCATCAAAAATACATCCAATAAGCTGCTTAAATAGCTGTTATTTTTAACAATACCTACCTTGGTGGTTAATATATATTTGCTTTCTGATTTAAACAGAAATATTACTCATTGCTATTACATAATTATGATTTTTATAAATTTTACTATTATGTGGATTCAAATTATTAATTAAGTTATGGATTCATAACTTTCAGTACCTGATCAAACATTCACAAGGATATTCTCAATGTTCTCAAATTTTTGCTTTTACTACCTGTTTGTTCAAACAATACTTTATTAAAAATATATTTGCATTAGTCTGGTGATAATTAATTCTTTAGTAGGAGTTTTAGATTTTTGGTTATTTAGATATTAAAGACGCATCGAAGAAAGGTAGGAAGATATACAAATAAGTATATTTTCTTACATATTTTAGATAAATACAAATAACTTTTAAACATTTCCAAAAAACTGTAAAAAATTTAAATTACCAAGCTGGGAGTAGATTTTGAGACTTGCTGTTTAGTAAATTAATATAGTTGTTTTCTTTATTGTTAAGCTCTCTTGCTTTCCCTTAATTATTCAATTAGACAAGGTATTTTATGTGTATTTTGCTTTGAGTATACCATAATTTTACTTACTTGGAATTAACTTATACTATAAATTGGTTAAACATGAAAGAGTATCTACAAAATTGTATTTAAATTCAGAGAGATTTATCATAAATGATGAACAATATGAAGCCTTATAAGACAGATTTACTTAAAATTATGAGTTAGATGTCAATGTTAATATAGACAATATTGAAGAATTGAATTCAAATTAATTTGGATAAAATGTGAAGACTTTACAAAAATTAATGGCTTTTGCTTATAAATATTCATAAAATAGCACTATGTTATCTATTTATAGTTAAGATTAGTAAATTTATTTAACATTAAATAAAACATAAAATTAAGCAGAATAAAAAATATAAATATCTAATTAATTCTTTAAAAACGAGCTAAACATTAATTTATTAGGATATCTAAGACAAATACTAGTTTTAGAAAATTCTTTTTAGGTAGATTTGGTTTGCCCTATCGAAAAAATGAATGAAGCTGAACATTTATTAATAACAACTCAGCAATACAACCATAATGTATTCAAAATTAACAAAATCAAAAATGATATATTAAATGAACAGCTTATTTAAATAACCGTGAATAACTTTCAAATTATGGCATTTTATAAAAATATTAAATAATTTATACCAATAAACCCAAGTCATTTATTGTTTGATTTATATAATTAATGAATATAAATTATTTATTTCCTTAATTATTAAAAAGATATTTAGTTTTTTTTTAAAAATTTTTATTACTTCCTTCTCATTTAAAAATTTTGTTTTTTTCCCTTAAAACTTTTTAGAATATTAAATTGTTTTAGAAATATTACAAGTAAACCTATTGCATAAAGCACTTATTCTTCTATAGTTAAAAATTATTAATCATTTAGTAAATAAGAACATTCATTCAATGATATAATTAATTGCATCATATGTTTATTCATGCTAAAAATAATTCTATGGTAATAGTTAGAAAATTTTGAGTCGTAAAGAATTACTTAAATTAGAAAAGAATTTATTTATTAAGACAAAAAGGAATAAATAAAGTGAAAGCAAATCTTAATAAAATATAAATTAGATTTAAATCAATAAATTTTGTATAATAAATAAATAATTGTTTGTAAATTGCGCATTCAAAATTAAAAAAGTAGATTCATCTAATTAAAAAAAAAAATATTTATATATATTATAAGGTAAACTAAAACTAACGAAAATGGGGAATGCGCTTTGCTGTAGTGAAAGAAATGATATAAATCAATAAAAAGAATAAAGTTTTACGTTAGATGATGCCAAAAGAAGAAAGCTCATAGCTGCGAATTCTCATTATAGCAATTAAAATATGCAAGATGAAGTAATTTTTGGGTTTTTTAAACAAATAAATTTGATTGGTATTGAAAATATTTTTTTGAAGTACAAAGCGAATAATAATTTTAAAGCCATTTCATAGAATGATATAAAAATATTGTTGATATTTAAATAGGATGGAAGATTAAGCACATTGAATCCAACCCCAACTCTTGAAAGCTAGTCTCCAACTCCAAACAGAATCGAAAACGCAAATAGAGTAAACATTCAAGAAACAACAGAGCAAGGAATATCAGATTTTAAGTTAGAAACTCTTCCAACTGAATAAGCTGAGGTCTTATTAGATTGCAAGGTATAAAATATTTTTGAAGATCTAAAAGGATTTCAGTTTCTCATTTATAATTTATTTATTTTATAAAAATTTCTGCTATAATTTAGCAAATGTAGTCAGAAAATAGATTGGAGATGCTTTATATTGATTTGAGCAAACTCAAAAATGATGACACTCCAATACATTAAAATCATCATCAAATAAATTAGAATAACTCATAAGCACTAAATGTACAAAATATAAATTATAGTTTATATTACAAATAAATTTAATAGCAAAAATTTCAACATAAAATATCCATTTACTTGCTTGAGAGTGTTTTAAAAATATCGCTTTTAAAAGAACCTCATTCAGCAAGTTAAAATTCGCAAATGGTTCGGTTTATATATCTATAATTTTAATAGATGAATTAAAACTCTTAATTTGCTTATCTGCTGCATTATATCCTACTGTATCAAAAATACCCAATCGTTTAATTAAACAAAATTTTACTACTCAAGATTTATTAAAAACGCCTAATATATATTTTTGGGAATTTATTTCCTAAATTTTGTTTCAATTTTTTAAATTTCTTTTATTTTTTTCTTTGTTTGTTCTATTTTATAAGATTAGATTAGGTACATGAATTTCTTATTCATCAAAAACCAACCATTCTTTCATTAAATAAAAAATACTTTTTTTAATTTAAAACTCAACAATCTTCTTTTTACTTCAAGATTTTATAAGATTTCTTAGCATATCATTTCAATAAATAAATAGATACTTTTTGATTTGCTTTTCTAACAAAAATTATACAAACAAAATTTATTTTCTTCAAATATTCCATTTTAATTATTTCTAAATTACGATTGTTATAAAAAGAGGGTAAGCAGCAGAGTAGACGATCCAAGCTATTTAGAGGGAAGTCCTAATGCTATTTTATCATATTTTCAAGATAACAGAAGATTTTTAATGCAAAGAAGCTCAGATGAATTTTAGTTCAATAATAAAGAATATGTTCTGCTAGGTTCATATCAAAGAGATGGATATGAAGTTAATTAATATTATAGCTTGCAAACAAATAGTGTAATCATATAAAAGAAATTTAAGTAAATCAACAATTTGCATAATGAGGTTGACTCAAGTAAGAGCTTTAAGTGTTGCAAGAATCTTAAAGTTTTTATTTCAAATCTGTTAAGTGTCAATGAAAAAGATTTAACCATATTTTACGAAATGGGTAACTTTAGATTGAAGGATCTTATTACTTTAAATTTGCTCACAGAGATTTAAATTATGAAGATGGCTTTGAATTTGGTTTAATTCGTGCTTCTTTCTCACAGCAACTAAGTTTGCTTGAGGGAAATTGATTTAGACTAAATTAGTCTTTCTCTAAGCAGCAGTTAATCAGCATCTGGAGCTTATTTACATAAATACTTTGTGCAACTTAACAACTTCATAGATCCACAAGATAAATTTAATTTTATATGGTAAAACCAAATTCAAAAAGTGAGTGACATCTTTTGTGGATATAGCAATACAAATAAATTCGTTTAATCTAATAACTTAATTAAGTTCTTAAAGTAGGTTAATGACCAAACAAATATGTTAGATTTCTTGAATCACTTAAGATAAAATTACGAAGATTTAATGAAAGATACTCTTGTTGATATTTCTGAAGACTAAGTTGACACTCTAAATACCTTTTATTTAACAGAACAAGACCTATAAACAAACATCTAATTCTATTTTAAATTGTTTGAAAATGGAACTACTTATTTGAATAATGAATAATTATAAATAGTAGTCAATAAACTAAACAATTATATCTATGAAAACTTCAAAGATAAATAAAAATATTAATATGTTGACCATTGCCTTTCTCTATTCGAATAGCAGTGTGAAGACGAACAATTACATGAACTTGAAATCATTTATAGAATTTATCATACTTTTCTTTGTTTCCGTAATTTAAATACCAAATAATCTTTAAAGTAACTCTAATTGGCTTTGAAAACTTGTAAAAACCCTGATGTGATTTTGTTATACTAATCTTTAATTTATGCTTTATTAAGTCTTTCATACATTCAAGAAAAAGATCTAAGTTAAGCCAAAATTCTTTTTGTCAACTCAAATAGAATTTACTAAGCTCATCATAAAAACACCTACCATTTCCCAAGAAATAATTACTATTAAATATTAGTTTTTGCTTAAAGTTTGATAACTTATAAACTAGGCTACTTTGAGACTAGTATTAAAAGGTATTAATTAATTTCTTAATAATTTTTATTTTTATTTAAATCATTTTTTTATTTTAGATTGGATTACTTAGAAAAATTTTAAGCCAAAGGAAAATTACTTATTGACTTTAAATACATCTGGTTTATGAAAGGATTGAATAAAATGGAATTAGATTCCTATCAAGAAGCAGAGGAATACTTTGAAAAGACTTTAAACAGAGTTACAAATGAAGAAACCAGAATCGCCAGCATGTCAGATTTCTCCTAAGCTGATGATTCTAATTCAACAATTGACAAAAATATTTTTGATATCTTAATAATGAACATATTAGCCAACTCATTTAATAAAAGCAACGAAAAGTTAGAATAAAACATCGACTCTTACTAAAATTATAACAGCGATTACGCTAATGATAATAAAGATGTATTTTAAATTTTAAATAAAATATTGACTGTAATATTATGAAGCAACAATGTAATAAATTATCTAAATAAATTCTTATTAAAAAAATAGCTTCCTAAATAATAACATAACTATCAAAATCTACTTAAGCAATTAACTCAATAACTAACAATAGTTACCATCCAAATTAAAACCATTAGAATATGATAATAAAAAAACACTATTCTTTTTTAAATTTTATAATTAATTAGATTAAAAATATTTAAATCTCTATATTTAATTTAGTGTTAATTCCTTCATATTTAATTTTTATAAATATAGTTTCCGTTTAAAAATTTTATACAACTATTTTTGTAAAATTTTATTTATTTTTATGAAATGTCAAGTTAATTTTTATACATTAAAATAAATTCATTACAATTACCATAAAGTCTCTTATTTCAGTTAGCAGGTCAAGTTAATTTTTATACATTAAAATAAATTCATAGCCATAATAATATTACTTTAAACAACTTATAACAGGTGTTTTATATGCATGTTTTGGGGTATATTAATTTATTGAAATTTCATACGAATTTAATAAATAATATTATAGAATATAATAAATTTAAATGTTAACAAAGAGATATTACTTAATTAATTAGATTAATAATTTAAATAAAAAATTTTTAATTTTAAATCTAAATAATTTAATTTAAAATTATTACTTTAAAATGATTTTTCTTTTTTTGCTTTAGTGTTGCATTTCTCTTTTAACTTAAAATTTAAAATAAATGAATTATTAATACATTAAAATTTTGTTTTTTTATTATCAAATATACTTTTTTTAATATTAATTCTATTTAAATTAATATTTAAAATAATATCTAAACAAATAAATGATTTTATAATCCAAAAAAAATAAAAAATTTTTAAAATTTAAAAAAAATAAATTAAATATGCAATAGATTAAATTTTTAGAAATCTAAAAACTACATAAATATCTAAAAAGAATTGATAGTAATCTTAATAAGAAACTAGGATATTAAATTTGTAATTGAATTAGTTCGTTGAAAATAGATAAGAAAATTTAATTAATTTGTTGCAAATAATTACATAGAAAATTAATTGCTATGGCTGAAAATATTCTGCCTAACTAATCGACAACTAGCTTGATTGTTAATTCAAGACTTATTCACAGACCACCTTAGAGTATTCCTAAGTTTTTAGAAAATTTCGAGGAAATACCTTTAAGAGAAAAGAGGGATGAATAAAATTAGAATTTTTAAAATAGTAATACAAGATCATATGATCAAAATCACTAAACTAAAGACATTAGTCTTAGTAATTTGTAAATAAATTAGTCCTTTGATAGTAACAGAAATGCGATGTATTTACGCTCTTCTTAATAAAAGAAGAAGATTTTTGAAGAAAATTACTCAAATACTTCAAAATAAAATCCAGCTACTGCATCAGTTCAAAATTACAAAAGACACAGAACTTTTAGTACTCAAATTTATGATTATGTCTAAACTGATAATAGCTTTAATTAGGTCAACCAAAGCCTTAATGTTTAATCTTTTAATTAGAATAGAATCCATTTATTGTCATTCTAAGACGAGGAAGTAATGCCATAGATAAATATTTAGTCTGAAAAAGATTAGCAAACGAAGATAATTTAAGAAATACTTGCAAATTTCAAGTAGGAAATAATGAAAGAATAATCTAACGCTCTTGATCACTTGAGATATTTTGTGAATTCTAACGAATAGTAAATCAACACTACTTTAAAATTTGATTTTGCATTTCGTTCACAAACTCAATAATTTAATTTATTAATTTCTATATTTTAAAAAATAATTCTATTAGAAAAATATCTTAGCTCACAGATCAATAGATAAAAAAATAACATATAAATTCTCCATAAGTCACACTTTCTAAATTAAATTAGCTTTCATAAATAAAATAAGACATTACTTAAAAAATTTAGTAGCAGATTTCTTCTTAGATAGGTGAAAAACTATTGAAAATAGAAGAAAACTAAAATACTCTCTACGAATATAGTAAAAAAATTAAATAAGACCTTGCTAACTTCTTTAATGAATCCATAAATAATGTTTTTGAAAACACATTCAAAGCTTAGATTGAATAAAAAATAGATTCATTTTAAAATTAAATGCAAGAAAAAATAATTTCTTTTGAGTCTTAGTAAAGCACCATAATTAGTTGTAATTAAAAATATTTACATTATTTACTCTAAAACATTTAACTTTAACTAAAATTTTTTTTTTAAATTATTTTAAAATTTATGGCGAGCTTAGAAAATTAAATATTTTTTTCTCTTAATATAAAGAATAAAGCTAAGAATCAGGGTATATAAGTCTAGAAGCTGAAAAAAAGCAATAAGAATTAAAGGAATTGGAGAATAAATTTGATAGGATAAAATTTGATATGGATTCTATTTGTAGCTAAATTGGATAAAAAGCTGATATTTAAACACTTTAAGAGTAATTTAATAATATTTTTGGAGAAAAAGTAGTTTAAATAAATGAAGATATTAAGTAAATCAATGATTTAAAAGAGGAGTAGAAATAATTTCAACAAAATTTGATTTAAATGCAAATAAAAAATTTAGAAAAAGTAGAAAATATTTAGAATAACTATTAATAATTGGAGTAGGAATAAAGTTAATTTTAAGAGAATGAGATGGTTAGCTAGTAATAATAAAATAAAAATTAATTTATGAAAAGCTTAGATGGTTTAATTCAAAAAGTGAAATAGCTAAATTAATTGCACAAGAAGCTGATGGAATAAAAAAAACAATATGAAGATAATATCAAAGAAAAATAAACAAGTTTAAACAAAAATGATGAATTTTCTACTGATAGACAATAATTTAAAGAAACAAGTTTGGAAGGAGAGTAAATTCATGATTTGATAGTTAGTTAGAATGACTTAGATAATTTTATTACAATGACTATTGATGATGAAAAAAGATAATAGACAAGAGAACCAAACCCATATAGGAAATCAAGTAAACTCTAAGACAGTTAAATTATTTAGAAAGAAATACAAGAGGAAAGCAATTTATTTAGATATTCTACTATTAATTAGAATGAAAACTAAAACTAACTTTAGGAGATTCACAATATTTTATCTAGAAACTAAAATGTGGTCAGCAAGCCTCCGAAATAGCAGCCTAAAATTGTTTTTAGGAGAAAAAAACTAAGTGAATCTAAAGTAGAGTCATATTAAAATGCGACTAACTACAATAGTTAGGTTGAGTAACACAACGAGTTTCCAAACTAAGAAATTTTAACATTTAAAAATGTTATTCCTTGCAAAGTAGTTAATTCTTTACTCTCTTCACCTTGTGGTGCAAATAAAGAAATTTTATTTAATTCACAGTAAAAAATAATAATGAACTAAACAAACTAATTTAGCAATACTAAAAATAGTTTTAGGCAGTCTTTAGATAACTTTGCATATTCATCTTCTAGAAAAGTTTAAACATAAGAGAATTAATCTCCTGGGAAGGAAGAGTAAACACAACCAATTTCTTTGAGCTAATATTATAAGCTTTAAATAAATAGGAGATCTTGTGATTTTACATCTTATTCTAAAAGTTATTCTTATTCATAGGAAAAAAATATTATAAATGCAAACACAGTAGATAAATTTAATTGTGAAGAATATTAATATAAGCCTAGTTAAAGAATAAATACCGTTCCTAGTTAGCCAGAATCTAATTCTATATTAGATGAATATGATATATAATAAGATTCAAGAGGGTTAGATAAAAGATCTTTAACGACTGAAGTTAAATCATCATATCTAGAAAAAAAAATAAAAACTATTACTTAAGATATCACTAAACTGCCAATAAAATTCCCTAAATAAAATTAAAAATAACCTATACTGGTAGGAGTAGATACACCATAAGAAGCAAAGAGCGATTTAAAGAAAAGAATAATAGATCAGAAGCACAAGAAAGAAGGCAACAAATATTTAATACCCTCTATAAATCTAAACAACCTTTAAATTTAAATTTAAGGTAAATTTACTTTTTTCTTTAAAAAAAATATATTTAAATTATTTAATTAAAAGACTGAGAATAGAAATTATTCACTTGCAAGAAAACAACATTTAAACTCATAAAAACACATATCGAAAAATAATTTCCATTAAAATACTTACTTTACTTTAATAAATTTTTATGATAATATTAGTAATTAATATTAAAAACTCATTCTTATAATTTCCTATAAAATTCTTATTTATAATCTATCTTTATGTAATTAAAATATTATAGATAATAACCAAATTAATTAATAATTTATCAACATAATGGAATGAAAAAAATCAATTTATTGATAATATTGTCAATTTAAAACAGCTTATAATTTTACAAAAAATGTGACTATTGATAATTATTAATTTCTCAACATAAAAGAATGAAAAAAATTAATTTATTGATATTATTATCAGAAAAAAACTTATAATTTTACAATTAATGTCACATATTTCGTAATTTTATTTTATATTTTAGTGTTATTATTTCTTAAAATTTATTAAATTATTTTTATATTATATGACTGACTCCTATATAATATTAAATTCATCTTATAATATAAAAATAATTTTATGCTAGCTTTGATTAGTTAATTAGCAATATAAATTTATCAAAATACTTAAAATTATTCTTTTATTTTGTTGTTACCAAATTTCTAGCTTTTTATTAAAGATTTTATTTCTTTAAAATTATTATGAAAATTTTAAAAAAATTAATTTTATATAATTTAAATACAATTATTATTTTTTAAAATCAAATCATGGTTTTCTTTAGAATAAATTTAATTTATTAATCAAGTAGTTTATTTTATTTTTATATAACGAAGCATCTATTCATATATTATTAAATTTTCAAAAAATGATAAATGAATATTACTTCTTCAATAATTTCTCTTTTTGAGTTTTGGCAAACGAATAAATAACTTGATTTCACTATAATATGATCAGATAACAATAATCTAATTATTTATAGTTTATTTTCTATCAGTAATAAATTAATATCAAAATTTGAAAGGTTTTTTTCATCAGCTATTGAAAATGATTTTATGGTGTATTCTTAAGACAGAAAGCATAGGAAGAATATTCTTTTAGTTAAATCAAGTTACTAAAATAGAATGTTGTAAAAAGTTGAATATTAGTTCAAATAAGATTTCTGACGATTTTTTGCTCTCTAAAGGTGAAGAAATAGATTGTAATTTTTATACGATAGAAATCCCTCTTATTAATTTTGTAGATAGTCTGCAAAATATTGATTATTATTCTATTAAATTTTTTAGACTCAAAACTTAGTTGTAAAATAGATTAATCATTTTACTAAATCAAAAGAAATGAAAGGTAATAAAAATATTTAGGAGAACAATAGATGTGATATGAATAGCTACGGAGACCATAGTAATATAGTTAAATTTTTACAAATATTTCTTTAGTTAATCTAAGTCTTTTAAAGAAAAGAAGAAATCAGATGTTTAATAGTAAGCTTCTAAAATATCTAAAAGTTTTGGTAATCATTAAGTTTATAAACCAACTTAGCTCGTTGAAATAAATCATATAAAAAATAATTATTTAAAAATAAATTTAGATCAAGCCTCCAGTGAAGCAGAAAATAATAATGCCAATGATGATGATAGCTTTTATGATTGGAATAAGAATGGAAATTTAGAAAAAACAAACATTGATAGAGTTAAAAGTGATATCCCATAAACTAGGATGATACACGCTTAAATTGAAAATGAAGAAGAAGGAGAAGAAACAAAAACTCCTGAAGATGAAGATAAATAAAGAAATAAAATGTTTCAACAATATGAAATGAGAAAAGAGGAACCTTCTCTTGTGTCAGAGTATGTTGTGGGCAGCTCCCCTAAAGATGAATCATCATCTGAATAAAGTATTGAAGAAAAAATAAAAGAAGCATCAAGTCAACATGAAAGAAATATCAGAAATGTGAATTTGGAAGTGAACAATAATTAGAATCTAAACATAAATTAAAATATAGAGTCTTCAAAATACATATATTCTTCTGAAATCTAAGCTCATATTAGAATGAAAGAATAAGAACTAAAAAAGACAGTAAGTAAATTTGTTAAGTTGAATAAAGTTAAGCTTATAAAATTATAAAATAATAACGAATTCCACTCATCTATCTATATATCTATCTCACTCATTTGATATTATTTACTTAATTGCTTTATTCATTTCACTGATTTGAATTTTTAAAAACTAACTTTTAAAACTAAAAGATAAGTCTAAATATAATTGTCATAGGCAAAACTGGAATAGGAAAATCGACCTTTATAGAAGCTTTTTTAAATGAGGTAAGTGCTTTCTTTAAAGATTTGTTTCGGTATCTGATCATTAAATATTATTTTTAAATAGAAATTCGAAAAATTAAATAATGAAATACGACCAACCACTATTGATATAATAGAGAAAAAGGCAGTGAGAAAAGAAAATGGAATAACTTTGAATTTAAATATGATTGATACTCCTGGATATGATGCAGATACATAAATAGCTTAGTGGCAGCAAAAAATAATTGGATATATTACTTCAAAAGTAATTTCTTATGTTAAAATTTCTTGATTAAATTTATATTTTATTTTAAAAGTTCGAAAAATTCAAACAAGTAAAAAAAGAGTAAGATAATAAAGATGCGTCAAAGTAATAAGAAATCTAAGACTAAAGAGTAATTTATATGATTGTATTTTTAAAATATTTTAAATCTGATTCTTTTAAAATTATTTAATTTAAATTTTTTATTATTATGATTCATTTATCTGCATTCCTTAGTGTTCTTATCTTTTCATTTAATTTTTTAGTCATATCATAGTCACTATTACTATTGATTGTGAACATTTTTATATTTATGTTCTATTTATTCAGAAGTTAATTTTATAAAGAATAAATCATTTGATTGAAAAACTTTAGCTGATATAACATACATTTATGAATGGATAAAAATACAAATTTAGTTATTGATTTATCTTACCAATAATAAAGGTTCATGGATGCTTATATTTTTTGTGTGGACCTAGAATAAATAAAGTAGACCTAGATAACTTAAAAAAATTGTAAGAATATGTCTCTATTATTCCTATACTAGCTAGAGGTGATTCATATACTCCAGAAGAAGTGAAATAATATAAAAAATAGTTGAGAAATGATGCAGATCAAAATAAAATTTTTTTCTTTGATCCATAAGAGGTATGCATTCATGCATCAATGCTTTATCTTTAATAAAAAATATAATATTTTATATTTATAAAATTATTTAGGTCTTTTAAGATCAGCCTGAAAAGCTTAATAAACTACTTAAAAGTCCTTTTGGTTCTGTTCCTCCGTTTTTGATTATCTCTTCTATAAAATAAATTTAAAAATCAGAAAATCAAGTATTTTATGGAAGGTATATGGTTTGTTTTAAATAATTCAATATATTCTTAAATTTTTTTATTTATTAAAATCAGGGAATACAAATGGGGAATATGTGATATAAAAAATCCTGAGCATTCGGATTTTATGCTTCTTTATACTTCACTTATTGGTTATTTTAGCACAAAACTCATTAAATTGGCTGATGTTTACCAAAATAGTTATTTCAATTAAAAAAAGAAATAATAAAAAATAAAAGAAAAAGAAAATAAAATAGAAAAAGGGATATTATTTGCTGGGTTATTTTCTGCAGCAGCAGCATACATTTATACAAAATTCTAAAAAAACTGATAATAACTAGTTAAGTAACTAAATAACTTGCTTACTTACTCCACTAACTTCATTGCTTGCATACTTCAATTTACTTATTAATTGATAATTAATTTTCAAAATATTTATAAATATTCAATTTATTTTTTATAAAAATGATCATTACATATATTCATGTTAATTTATTCAACTATTGTTATAAATGCGCTTACAACAAAAATAAATAAATCTGAATCAAGACTATCACCGAAAGCACCGATGGTTTAGTGGTAGAATAGAGCGTTGCCATCGCTTTGACCCGGGTTCGATTCCCGGTCGGTGCATTTTTTATAAAAATAAATAATTTGTTTGTTTTTTGATTTTAAAAAATGAAATATCTATAAAAGTAGTTTAAGGTATTCTATTATTTTTAGTAAATAAATTAAAATAATAAAAATAATTCGAAAATATAATTTTTTCGACATAATATTAATTAATTAATTACTTTATTTGTTTAAAAAATAATCAGTATTTAATAAATTTACTTTCATTAAACATATATATATAAATTGAAAAGAATATTAATAAATTTTTAATTGCTTTCATTCATTTCATTAATTTTAAAGTTAAGCCTTTAAATGAATTATCACTATCTTTTTTACTATAACGTCTCTTATAAGATGGAGACTCGATTTAGTCGATATCTTAAGTGAAATTTTTTATTTTAGTATTAATAGGAGATAGAACTTTTTATATTTTTTTTTCACTCTCTTAAATAGCATTTTTGATTTCTTCCACTACGGATTCATCTTCTATTGAAGGAGGTATTTTATAATTCTCCTCATTTATTATTTTTTTCAATAAACTTCTTAGGATTTCTCCATTTCTAGTTTGGGGTAATCTTGGAACTATTATGACTTATTTAAAATTAGCATAGCTTCCTATTTAATATTAATAATTAAATAAATAAGATTTACTAATTAAGCATTTTTTTTACCTATTTCAACATCTACTAAATCTACTAGCTGACTTAGGAATTATTATTTGTTTTTAATTAGCTTTCCTTTTTCAATTACTACAAAACCAACTGGAACTTCACCAAGAGTTTCATCGTATTTAGAAACAACGGCGGCATTCACAATTTCTGGAGCTGATTATAATACTTATTCTACTGATGACATAGAAAGCTTTTTACCTCCTGTTTTTATTATATCATCAATACGCCCTACAACCCAAAGATAGCTATCCTCGTCAAAGAAACCGGCATCACCTGTTGTGTAATAACCAGGAGAGTCTCCTAAATACTTTTTCATAAAGATTTCATCATTGTTAAAAAGACTAAGCATAAATGGAGGAGGAAGAGGTGTTTTCAAGCATACTTTACCAAGCTTATTGGCTTCTTCTATTTTTTTATTTTAATTATCTAAAATGTGCACTTCAAAGCTAGGACATGGCATTGTAACGCTACCTGGCTTATCTTAAAATGATTAAAAGCTTTAAGGGTAATTTGCTGATATTGCTCCTCCTATCTCCTATTAAATGTAAATGTTGTTTATAAACAAGTTTTTATTTATGTGCTTCTTTAGATATTCAGAAGTTTCTTAATCTGTGTGCTCTCCTGTTGTGTGGACACTTTATAGAGAAGTTAATTTGAATTTCTTAGTATTCATTCCGTTGGGATCTTCCTTTCTAATTTCTCTAATACTTGTAGGGTTTGTAAACAAGCACTTTACATTATATTTATCAATTATTCTCCAGAATCTTTTTTAATTTATAAAAATTTTATAGAGTATAATCGCAAAAATATTTAAATAATTAAATAAAAAATAAAATAAATTAATAATCTTTAAAAGTTACTGAATATTATCTGGTGTTCCAGTAGACCTTCCTTCATATAATATTGTTGTAGCACCTTTGATAAAAGCTCCATATATCATGAAAATGTGTCCTACTATCCAGCCTACGTCTGTTGCTGAAAATAGAGTATCATTAGAACCAATATCAAGAATATGTTTCATTTGCCAATCGCAATATACTGCAGTACCAGCATGATCATGCACAATACCTTTAGGATGATTTTCTCCTGAAGAAAACAAAATATATAAAGGATCATTAGAGTTCATGTGCTCACATTCAGTTTCTAATTATGCAATTTTTAATGCAGTATAATAATCATAATCCCTTTTTAAAACAAAGTTTGATGTCATGTGAATATCTCTTTGAACTATTAAACTAATCAAGTTGTGTTATCCACTCATTTCAAGTGCAGCATCAACTATTCCTATTTTTTAAAATATTTAATTGAAAAATTAATTAAAATATATTCAGTAGATAAAATATTCATTTATGTTTTATATCACTCATAAAATAGCTTTATTTAAATTATCTTTAAAGAAACCATTTTAATTTATTTATGGTTTGATTCTAGCATATTTTATTTTTAAGTATTTAGATTAATTTGCTTAAGCTGTTTAACATAGCTCATTTTATACATTTAAGTTTTAAAATTTTGTTTTTTTGTTTTGAATTATTTGATTTATCTTTTGATGGCTAGATATTCTATTTTAATTTTCTAAAGATTTCAAAAGTTAAGAATTATGATAGATATTTGAATAAATCAATCCATCATTTTACCTTTGTAATATATAATTTTATCGCCTCTTTCAATACCAGCAGATGCAGTTATAATGAGCTTTGGTTGACATTCAATTATTCTTCCTGCTAATTCTTTTGCTGGATATCCTCCATACACTACAACGTGTATGGCTCCTATCCTAGAGCATGCTAACATAGAAAAAACGGCTTCTGGAACATTGGGTAAATAAATTATAACCCTATCTCCTTTTTTTACACCAAATTACTTAAGTACCCAAGCTAATTTAGCTACATTTTCATATAATTACTTATAGGTATATGTTTCGCTCTAAACTGAAGATTTCAGAGAAGGGCTCTCCCAAATCAAGGCAGTCTTATTTCCATGTTATGCTTAGTGTCTATCTATTGCATTGTAACAAATATTAATTTCTCCATCAGAATACCACCTGTAAAATGGAGGTTAGCTCTTATCTAATATTTTGCTAGGTTTTTTAAACCAATGTAGATTTTCAGCAGCTTTTTACCAAAATTATTCTTTACTCTTTTCTTAAACTGATTCATTGTATAATTTGTTATACTAACCTATATTCATATTTATATTGCTCTAACTTTTCTTTAAAACTATTTTAGGTATACTATGTATTGATTTTTATTGGTTAATTGCCTAATTTTCCTATTTATTTATGTGTATCTGTAAAATACTATGATAATTCTTAAATTGAATTTAATTTATTTGATTAACTAACTAACTAATTAATTAAATAACTCACAAACTAATTTTTAGTCATGCAAGTTAATATGAATCGCAAGCTAAAATTTTTGTTTTAATAAAAGTCAAATCCTCGTAGTCATATCATATTTTAAATACACATTTTTTAAAAGTTTGTGTTGTAATCAATCGCATTATTAATATTTTTCAATTGTAAATTAATTAATAAGTAAATCTTTTAATTAATAATTATGTAAAATTTATAATAAGGTTGTAAGATAAGCTTAAAGCTTTCTTTATATCTAATGACCAATTTATAAATTAAGCAAAGGGCTCTTTTACAGATAAAAACATTTATCATAAAGATTATAAATTTTTTATCTGCATTAATATTTTGTTTTAAATTATTATTAAAAAAAATTTTGTTTTATTTTAAACCTTTATATTCTTTTAATAAAATGAATTTAATCAATTCGATAAACTTTATTATCAGAATTAATAAAATATTAGTGATCATTATCAAATAAATAAAAAATATATATATCATACCTCCTAACATATTAAGGCCAGATTATGTTAACACTTATAATTTTCCATTTTTTTTATTTTTATTTTTTTAATAAAATTTAATTAAAATATTTAAAGAAAATAGATATATAAAATACTATTATATAAATTTATTTAATATTATATTAATTTCTATTAGAAAGATAAATAGTTATAGGCTATCACTATTTATTTCTCTATTACAAAAAAAAAAATCTGCAATTAGCAATATTACAAATATTCCTAAAATTACAGAGCTAAAACAGAAAAATCTACTTATAAACATTATTTTTATAATATTTAAGAACATTAACTACAGGTTTTTTTCAAATATGGCTAAATAAATAACTGGCCATCTCTAATTCCTACTATATATATTTTTAAGTATATGTTTAAATTCAAATATTAATTTTAAATAGTGAATGTTAAATTAATCTTCTGTTATCTCTTCATAAAACCAAATATATAAATTAATATTTGACAATTAATTAATTAATTATTATATTTATTTGTTCTTTTTAACCATTTATTATTTATTTATTAATTAATTAATTAAATTTCATAAATTGCTTTTCAATATTTTTGAAAAAATAAATAAATGATATAATAGATTAAAGAATATTATAATTTGGAAGAAGTAATTATTAGCTTTTTAATTAAAATCCTTTAAATTTATATAAATTAATAAAAAAAGTTTTAAAGCTCTTCACTTTTATCTCATTAGGTTCTCGATATTATTCTGAGGTATATTTAATTAAAAAAATTACTTTTATTATTATTAATATTTTTTATATATTTAAATTTCAATTTATTTAAATAAATAATTTTTATTATACAAATTATCATCATTATTTATTGATGATAAAACTAAAATTTTTTATATTTTAACTTAATTTTCATTTAAATTTTTAATTATTTATTTATAATTCATTTTTTATTATTTGATATATTTTCTTCATTTTTTGCTATTAAAACTTACACTTAATAAAAGCTATTAATTTGTTTTATATTGTAATATTTTTAATTATAAAAGTTAATTTAAAACATTAAAGTTCTTTTAATTTATTTGATTTATTTTCCTTTTACTTTTTTTTATGGTTTCTTATTTTTTCATTCTTTGTTAATTTTATTAATTTTTAATTAATTTTATTATTTCATTTTTTTCTTCATTTTTTCCTCCTAATTAACAAAAGTGAAATACCTATTTAATTTATATCTTTCTTCATTTTTTCCTTCTAATTAACTATTTAATGATATATTATTTCTTCAATATTTAAAAAGGTTTAATTAAATTGGTGATGAAGGTGCATCAGGCTTAGGTTCTGCTTTAGCAAATTGCATTAATCTCTCAAATTTGACACTTGACCTTGGGTAAAAATAGTTTATTTGTTTTGGATTGTGATATGTTTAATTATAAAAACTAATTAAAAACAATAAAGCTCTTTTTTCTTTTTCTTTTTATTGTGCTTGCTTTTTTTTGTTTTTTCTTTGTTAATTTAGCTCATCATTTTATTTTCAACTTTTGCTTTTATTATTTATTTCTTATTATTTCATATTTTTTCTTCATTTTTTCCTTCTAATTAACTATTTAATGATATATTTTTTCTTCAATATTTAAAAAGCAAAAATTAAATTGGTGCAATTGGTGCATCAGGCTTAGGTTCTGCTTTAGCAAATTGCATTAATCTCTCAAATTTGACACTTTACCTTTAGTAAAAATAGTTTATTTGTTTTGGATTGTGATATTTTTAATTATAAAAACTAATTAAAAACAATAAAGCTCTTTTTTCTTTTTCTTTTTATTGTGCTTGCTTTTTTTTGTTCTTTCTTTGTTAATTTAGCTCATCATTTTATTTTCAACTTTTGCTTTTATTATTTATTTCTTATTATTTCATATTTTTTCTTCATTTTTTCCTTCTAATTAACTATTTAATGATATATTTTTTCTTCAATATTTAAAAAGTGGAAATTAAATTGGTGCAATTGGTGCATCAGGCTTAGGTTCTGCTTTAGCAAATTGCATTAATCTCTCAAATTTGACACTTGACCTTCTGTAAAAATAGTTTATTTGTTTTGGATTGTGATATGTTTAATTATAAAAACTAATTAAAAACAATAAAGCTCTTTTTTCTTTTTCTTTTTATTGTGCTTGCTTTTTTTTGTTTTTTCTTTGTTAATTTAGCTCATCATTTTATTTTCAACTTTTGCTTTTATTATTTATTTCTTATTATTTCAT